CATACACAAAATAAGGAAACCTGATTTTAATAATGTGTTTTTAGTTTAGTGAATATTGTTTTAAAAAATCGAAAGGGTGGGGGGGGGGGTTGTCCACACCAGAGGCACCTGCACTGGATCTGCCTCTGATTTAGCGGCGTTCTAGCATTAGAATTTTGCTAATATGCTGCTCTCGGAAGTATTCGTTCAACGAAGTATAGGTATTGCTAAAAAATACACAAGTTTCGAAAATAGTTGAAAATGTTGAAAAACAGAAAGATGACAGGGAAAAATGAAACTTCAACCATTTCTAGTGATTGTCAATAAACACGCTGTATAGATAATTGAAAATAAATCCATTTATTATTTCTTCTAAAAACTTTGCAAAGCCAATTGATGATCGTGATAACATTTTGCTAATACATGAGGATGATTACTTTGAGAAAAAGAATATCTTCACAAGTCCGTGCGTAAAATATCACGTGGTACCCTCTTTAGATTGATTGATTGTATATTCTTTAACGTCCCTCTCGAGAATTTTTCACTCATATGGAGACGCCACCAGTTGCCGGTGAAGAGCAGCTTTTGTCCTATATTCGGCACTTAGGGCCATTGAGCAGGGAGGGATCTTTTTCGTGGCAGCACCTACTGCGACACAGGACCTCGGTTTATACGGTCTCATCCGAAGGACCGGTCTCCACGTCCCACAGTGGGATTCGAACCCGCGACGTAAGGATTGACTCCTTACTTCGCGACTCTAGAGCAGACGCTCTAACCACTGCGCCACGCGGGCGACCCCTCTTTAGAGGTGTAATGTGTATGGAACACCGGTACTGTCTTACATATTAGGAATAAACATTATACGCAGTGTTCTCTACGCCTGTGCACCTAAAACTTGGGAGGTAAAAAATATGTATTTACTAGTATTTATTTTAAGTCGTGTTCAGAGGAATTGTAAGTTTCTGCCATTTAGATTTTTACCACCACCCCACCCCACCCCACCCCCCTCCTCACCAACGCACACATTAATTCTGGGTCTTTAGATCTATTATTTAATTGTGTGCGGATTATAACTCATTCATTTGTTTATGAAATTTCCACCTTTTTGATTTGTAAATATTAAAATATTTTAACTGCTAGACTGAAAAATATTTCGTGTATCCTTTATATTTTCCAAAAAGCAGTGTCATTTATTCACCCCATGCAGACATACAATCTTATAGATGCAGTGAATCAATCGAATTTCCTTTTTATTCACTATCTTTTGTACATTGTAATAACATTTTACCATTCTTCGCAATTTTTCTGTCTTTATATGAAATTTAGAAGAAAATGAACGATCAAATAAATTTTCACTTCGCAGTAGCATTGAGGTAGCGTATTATTGTTCCAGATATACCGTATAAGTAGAATTTTTAGCGAGGATTTAATTTTGGCATTATTAGCGAGGGTGCAGACATCGCTAAAATTGAATATCGCTAAAAATTAATTGTGTATTATTTGTAATAGCTTCTTTATTTAGCATTTTAAAATCGCTAAAATTACATCTCACTAAAAATAAAATAGCAGATTTTAGGTAGAAATCGCTAAATTTGCGTCTCGCTAAAATTTCCACTTATACGGTAGTTTTTTTAAAATTAATTTTCACATATATGGTAAAAAAAGATATATCGTTTTATGCTGAATTCAAGCAACAACAAAAAAAATACATCTTGACCTATTGAGAGCAATGTTTAAACTAGAACTGTCCAATACGCAAGTTTCGAGATTATCTCCCTTGGTGCGCTCTTTCGTTGAGGAGGGGAGTTTCGTTGCCGCGTAAACAAACAGGTGGGACAGATATTTAATACTGTGAATGTTGGATACATTGCATCATCGATATATACCGTATTATCATAACTACACGATTGTCAGGATGCACTCTAAAACTTGAGAATAACCAAATGAAAGTATAGGCGTCATTTTTCAAAGCAGAAAATCGTAACAAAAAAAAAAGAAGATATCGGTGGATGTGAGACTTTTCGGAGGAGGGAAGAGGTATGGACCTTTAATAAATACGGTACACATGCATCTTATCATTGTACGTCGGGAATCTAAATGACATAATGATTGTTTTCCTTGTTATAACATAAAAACACTAACTTTTTAGAAAATGTTCGTACAATCAAGAAAATTGGTTACTTTTTTTAAAGACTACGACATTTCTTTCGTTTTCAAGTACCCGAAAATTGATAGCAGGTATGTAAATATGCATAGTTGAGCTTGATAAAGTCATCAAATGCATCACTGCTTAACATTATTATCTGCTATAACATTTTAAAAAAATTTAAAAGCCATAAATATCGTTCTTTTATGTATGCACGTTTGTATACAGAGACAAACTGTCCCACCTCTATGCTGAAATGGGTACTTTTTGCGCCTCTATCGTAGGAGAGTTACAATCTCGAAACTCGCGTATTGGGACAAAATACCCCCCGCTGGGTTTTTCAGAAGTAAGTTTTTGCATAATAAAGATATGTATCAAACACGAATTATAAAATTTTTCTTCCAGTGACCTTGAACTTCCCAAATGACCTTGGGTCAAGGTCATGACACACCCTTGGGTCATAGACAATCTTTGAGTAAAATAAGAACCTACCACGTTTATCAATAAGAAAGATATGGACCGGACACAAATTATGAAATTTTTCTTCCAGTGACCTTGAACTTCCCCAAATGACCTTGGGTCATGGTCATGACACACCCATAGGTCATGGGCAATCTTTGTGTGAAATGAAAACCTACCAAGTTTATCCTTAAGAAAGATATGGACCGGACACGAATTATTAGATTTTTCTACCAGTGACCTTGAACTTCTCCAAATGACCTTGGGTCAAGGTCATGACACACCCTTGGGTCATGGGCAATCTTTATGTGAAATGAAAACCTACCAAGTTTATCCATAAGAAAGATATAGACCGGACACGGATTATGAAATTTTTCTTCCAGTGACCTTGAACTTCCCCAAATGACCTTGGGTCAAGGTCATGACACACCCTTGGGTCATGGGCAATCTTTGTATGAAATGAGAACCTACCAAGTTTATCCTTAAGAAAGATATGGACCGGACACGAATTATTAGATTTTTCTACCAGTGACCTTGAACTTCTCCAAATGACCTTGGGTCAAGGTCATGACACACCCTTGGGTCATGGGCAATCTTTATGTGAAATGAAAACCTACCAAGTTTATCCATTAGAAAGATATAGACCGGACACGAATTATGAAATTTTTCTTCCAGTGACCTTGAACTTCCCCAAATGACCTTGGGTCAAGGTCATGACACACCCTTGGGTCATGGGCAATCTTTGTATGAAATGAGAACCTACCAAGTTTATCCATAAAAGATATATGTCAAACATGAATTTTGAAATTTTTCTCCCAGTGACCTTGAACTTCCCCAAATGACCTTGGGTCAAGGTCATGACACACCCTTGGGTCATGGGCAATCTTTGTGTGAAATGAGAACCTACCAAATTAATCCATAAGAAAGATATGGACCGGACACGAATTATGAAATTTTTCTTCCAGTGACCTTGAACTTCCCCAAATGACCTTGGGTCAAGGTCATGACACACCCTTAGGTTATGAGCAATCTTAGTGTGGAGTAGTAGATTCTAATGTCCCTCTGTAAGAAAGATATGGACCGGACACAATTGCACAGACAGACGGACAGACGGACAGACGGACAGACAGACAGACGGACAGACGGACAGACGGACAAGGTGATTCCTATATACCCCCCCCAAACTTCGTTTGCGGGGGGTATAATTATAATATTTTCTAATGAATTCTACAGTCTTATCAAATGACTCTTGTATGGATTACTAGTAAATATTTTGTTTGAGAAAATAATTGTTTCCAAAAAGACTGAATGGATGTCGCCCGCTAGCTGTTTCCCCCTGATGTCATAAAAAAGTGAAATGTTAAGCAAACACTCGGTCATAATACTAAACACCACTGCTGAATCCATCATATATATACATGTAACTATTAGATAATTATTAATAATTAAAAGAGACAATGAGATAAAAAAAAATTAATGCGCATGGGCAAATATTAAATATTATGTAACTATTAATTACCGTGGTAAAATTACAAAAGAAAATCATTTTACGTTCACTCTGAAAAGGTTTGACGTTGTTGAAAAGCATGACGTCATTATGAACTTGTTAAAGTATCTTTGATTAAAATGAAGAAAAAACCTACTTAGAGTAGACGTAGGACCAAAAAAAATTCATATTTGACAACTTTTAACTTTACTCTATCAAAATCCGTGAAAAACTCAAAATGCATAAAAATTGCTAAAAAGGGCCCTTTTCCCATTGGCGCAATCAATTGTGTGACCAGTACTATTTTTATTTTAACATTTAACATCCCCGGGTTGCTACGTTTAATTCTGGACTTGGCTTTATAAAACATTATCAATGTCAATAATGAAATGTTACAATGTATCTAATTATTTACGTGTACCGCGATAAACACACGGGAGCTGAACGGACGCGCTGTCATTTTCACTTGTACATGTACCTATGCTTGTTTACACCTGACGTTATAATTTCAAATTAAGTTATCTTTTATTAGCAAAATATCAAAGTACTATCTGTTATATATTGTAAAATACATTTTTGTGAAATTCTCATCAATTAATAAATATTTACCACTTTATTTATGAGAACTCAGAAGTGTTAAAATTCACAACGCCATTATGACGTTCCGTAAAATGTAAAATGAAATTCGGCCATATACATATGCTATTTTGAAGACCTCTTACGGAAAATATGAAAGAGATATTGAAAAAAGAAAGCTGGTTTGAAAAAATACACAGTCTGTAGATATATATAGAGGCAAAATAGTCATATTTTGAAAACAGGCGAATTTGTGTACTTTCTGACTCAAGCTCTTCAATAATTTAACAAATTCAGTCAGGGGGATCCGACCCCTCACTCTTCCCCCGAACTGTGCATGGTCTTCTTTTTTTCTTAATCTTCGTTGCACCATGCAGTAAAATGAAGGAACATTTTCCCATTCCTAAACAAAAAAAAAATAAAACAAAAATAAAAATAACAATTCATACAATGATATTTTTCTGTTCCTGACAAACTGCTTATCAAGTATAAAAATGATCCATTGAAAATAAATGCGTCAGTAAAAACAATACATCATTGATTTTTCTATGGATTTGACGTTTTTTTCGATCATGACAAGGAACACAAGGCGGTGCTTACTTCTTCATGGCACCTGATCTCACCTCTGTATGCTGCTCCTGCTTTGTACAGTTTGAATTGATCATGTTATGACACCTTATCAGTACAATATATACCCTCTATTCAATAACATTCCAAAATCATTTTTTGTACTAAGTGTTTTTATCATCTTTTAGTGTAAATGGACGTAAAATATCATTAAATAACGGTAATTACATTAATGAATTTTAAAAATATGTCAATTCGTAGTATATTTGTTAAAATATGTATCAGGGATTAAACAAATTAAAACCAATTTACTTTACCTTTGTAATGTCATTGATCTTGGTTCAAACTGCGAGTTTTGAGATTTGCAAAATGATTTCCCCATCAAAAGAAGATTGTTTGATATGTTGTTTTCTATTTCTTTCTTATTTTTCATGAAAGGCACTTCGACGACACCAGACTTCAACCCTGATTTACAAAAAAAAAAATTAAGATTATTGAAGCAATATTAAATAATATTGAAGCAATATTAAATAAAATTGATATGAATTTTTATATTTTGTAAAAATGTTCAGGTAACTTTTCTTTCTCAAAGCAAGAATAAAACATCGAACATTACGACTAATATTTGAAACTTGATGTACACTGTATATTTTTAAATAAATCTTGGAATTACAATGAACTTTTTTTTATCTGAAAAAGACGATTCTTTTTTTAGACAGTTAATGCTTCATTTTTTGTGATTCCATTTCTTTTACCTGAAAAATCTGATTCTCTTTTTCTTCTGCGTTCCCAAATACACGTGTATCCACCATCTTCATTATAGCAAATTGATTTAGCAGGACACACATTCATTTTACATTCATTTCGGTCATTCTCGCATTGCATACCTATGTAACCACCATGACAGCGGCATTCGAAAGTAGATTGATTCATAAAACAAGTTCCATTGTTTTGGCATGGACCTGAAAGACACTGATCAAACTTTTCACACACTTTTCCTAAATACCCCGGCTTGCAAGAACAGAGAAATGAATCCTTTCCACTCTGACAAGTTCCATTATTACGACAAGGTAAATTGAAGCAGTAGTTGTACTCTTCACAATTTCTCCCCTTCCATTCTCTTGGACAATCACAACTGTATGATGTATTTTTGTTATTGCAAATACCGTTATTTAAACACGGTAGTGTGTGGCAGTAGTCTTGTGTTTCACAGTTTTTGCCAACCCAACCTTGTGGACATGTACAGATATAAGAACCCAACTGATTTTGACAAATACCACCGTTTAAACAAGGATAATCAAAGCAATAGTCAAACAGTTCACAACGTTCTCCATACCAGTTGATGGGACATGTACAATGAAAGGAAGAGTTTCCGTTTCTACAAGTACCATTGTTTTCGCAAACAACTGTTTCACAGTAGTTTTTCTCCTCACAAAAGGTTCCTTTCCAACCAGCCTGACATTCACAGTAGTATCCAGCTCCGTTTTCGACACATTTTGCATTGTTTTTACATGGAGAACTTTTGCAAGCATGATATTCACAAGTGTAGGCGTTTTTAGTATTAATACAGATCTGGAGTGATCCACATGGATTGTCTTTGCAAAAATTTCGTTGACCGCAATTAATGCCTGTCCAGTCCTGTGAACAATTACATTTGGGGCCAGTGTCTGAATCAACGCACTGTCCACCATTAAGGCACCTATATGTAGAACAATCTTTGCATTCAAAACCATTTATTTGGTTTACACAAGTAGTGTTTTTTGGGCAAGGATTTGTTAAGCACTCATCGATATCAACGTCACAGGTCTTGCCACTCCATCCTGCTGGACACATGCAGTAGAAAGACCCATATATATTTAAACAAGACGCACCGTTTTTGCAAGGTGAACTTGTCTTGCATTCGTCGACATCAATATCACAGTGTCGACCTGTAAAGCGATTGTCACAAGTGCAAAAGAATGTATCTTCTACATTGAAACACGTTGCATTATTTTTACATGGTTGAAGAGAACATGAACTGATGTGATTTTCACAGTGACGCCCTGTCCAATTTGGAGAACACAAACATCTATAATCACCATAAGTGTTCACACAAGTTCCATGAGATCCGCACACAAAGTACTGACATTCATTGACATCTTTGTCGCACAGCTCTCCATAGAAGAACGAAGAGCACGAGCAAGTATATCCATCTACGCCATCGAGACATGTACCATTGTTATGACATGGGTTGGAAGCGCATTCATTTATATCGACATCACATTCCGAACCAGAAAACCCATTATCACAGTTACAAGTGAATCCACCGTTACTATTTATACAAAAACCGTGACCGTGGCAAGGGTTTTGTTTCTGGCATTCATTTATATCCGTCTGACACGTTTTTCCTTCCCATCCTTTGGCACATCTGCACGCTCCTGTTGCTTGTAAATCAGATTTGTACGAAATTAACGATGAATTTGATTTTGAAAACGGTTTATGTAAGGTCACCTGACATTGTCCTCCATTGGTACAGTTCAAAGTATTACAAGGATCTATGATATTACAATCATGTCCTATCCAGCCAGAATCACAGTCACAAGAAAACAAAGCATTCTTGCTGGCGTGGCAATATCCATGAAGACAAGTGTTGTTTTCGCAGACATATGTTTCACAATTTTTACCCGTCCACTGTGGATCACACTTACAAGAATAGGTATCTGCCAAATTTTGACAGGTTCCCATTGAACCACAAGGTAAGTCATAACAGTAATCTTTGATTGTGCAATTTTCTCCCATCCAACCTGATAAGCAAGAACACGAAACTTGCGATCCGACTTGAAAACAGTGAGCATGGTCTCCACATGGCTGCCTAGTAACACAAAGATTTTCGATCTCGCAGTGGAGTCCTGTCCACTCTTTTGGACATAAACACGTAGAACTGTTGAAATGGTTATGGCATGTTCCGTTGTTGAGGCATTGTTCAGTGAGACAATGGTCAACATTTTCACACAATAAACCATAAAAACCCTTTCTACATGTGCATGTAAAATTAAGCGCATTATTTTGACACAAAGCACCATGTTTGCAAAGAGAATTAGCGCAGTGATCAATATCGATGCACAAAGTACCTGTCCATCCGGAGAAACAAGAGCAGTTGTAACCAGTGTTTGTATCAATACAGTTCCCATGACTTCCACATGGATGACTTAAGCAGTGATCAATTCGATCACATTTGTCTCCAGCTAACCCATATGGACATACACAAGTATAGCCCTTCGCATCTTCTTTACATACATGTGGGGCAACACAAGACGATGCTTTGCAAAACTTAATAGATTCACAAAATTCCCCAGAAAATCCATTATCACACACGCAAACAAAATCATTATTCCCGGTAAAACATTTCCCGTGATTAGAACAAGTTATATTATGGCAATAGTTGTAAGACTGACATTCCAAACCCGACCATCCAGCATCACATTTACAAGTAAAATCCTGATAATTTGATTCTACTACCCTGTGACACACACCATGACCGTTACATGTTTGTTTAAAGCACACATCTTTTGTTTCACAATTTGGTCCAAGAAATCCGGAGTTGCATTCGCAAGTGTAATTATGAGGGTTGTTTATACAACGGCCATTAAAAGAGCAATTTTGATGAAAACAATAATCAACTAATTCACAGCTAATGCCTGTAAAACCATCAAAGCAAGTGCAGGTGAACTTTGTTCCATTATTGCTACAAACACCCTGCAAGCATGGACTGAACTTGCAATAATCAATTAATTCACAGTTTTTTCCGTAGTATCCATCTTGGCATTGACATGTATAATCATTATGGTTGCTTTGACATGTGCCTTTGTTGGAACACGTCTGGTTGTAACAATAGTCTATTTCGTCACAACTCTTACCCTTGAAACCGTCGTTGCATTTGCAAATAAATCCTGTTCCATTTCTACTGCATATACCATTAAGGCAAGGGTTAAATTGACAATAATCGATGAATTCACAGTTTTTTCCTTCATATCCTCTTTGGCATACACAAAAATAATCGGAACTATTTCTTACACATGCGCCATGACCATTGCAAGATTGTTGAAAGCAATGATCTATATTCTCGCAATTTCTTCCCATGAATCCTCTGTCACATTGGCAGTAATAACCATTTCGTGTTACGTTACAGGTACCGTGGCCACTACATGAATGCCCATTACATGGATCTAAAACATCACAGTTCTTCCCAATAAAACCATTTGTGCAGGAACATACATAGTCTAATCCAGTGTTGGAGCAATTGTTAGCGTTTGCACAAGGGTTATACAAGCAAAAGTCCACAACTTCACAATTCTGGCCAGTGTATCCCTTTGCACAATGACATTTGTAGCCGTGACCGGTTGATGAGCAGGTTGCGTGATGTTTACATGGATCGGAGGCACAAAAATCGCGCAAGGAGCAATCAGTTCCAGTAAATCCTCTATTACAAGTACAGACAGCGTGTCCGTCCTTGACCTGACAGGTTCCATGGTGATGACACGTGCCTGCTTTACAGTGTGAGGATGTCAATGTTTCACAGTCTTTTCCAGTCATTCCGCTTTTACATAAACATTCATAACTTCCAATTTTGTTTTGACATATGCCACCATTGCAATTTTGAAATAAGCATTCGTCTTCATCAAGTTGACATCTAATTCCGTATACTGAGGGCGGACAAGTACAATGAAAACTACCAACTGTGTTCGAGCAATTCCCATGGCTACAAAATGCAGGTATATTGCATTCGTTTATATCCTGATCACAGTTTACACCATTCCAACCTTCAGAAAAAATGACAGGAACATTTTCAAAGTTTTAATTGTTTGGCCTTGACTTAACATAAGTTACATACGTTTTACAATCTTACCCATTTTACAGTAGGTATGACCGTTGACGACACACTTTTTTGGATTTCCGGGACAATGTACAGAGCAGTCAGATCCATAATAACCTTCAGAACAGTATGCTTTGTAGGTTATCTGGATACTGAAACAATTTTTTTTTTAAATATTCAGCTTCATTTTAGGTGCATTGCACTTAATAAATACATTTTAGTGACATTAAAATTATCAAAATATGCAACTTTTTCGATATATATCTTTTCTAGATATATTATTGATTTGTACTAACCTAAAACTGTTTTTGTCGATGAAAAAAGTAGCTTGTAGTTTTCTCTGACGCCAAAATTGAGACAACATATTGTCACCAATATGGAGGTCATGATCCGTGAATTCTGATTTCAACAAAAGGGATAGAGTTGAAGACTGTATGTCATACACTTCCAAAGAAAGTCGATCATGATATTTATCCTGTGTTAGGAAAACCAGACGGGCATCAACAAAAGTTTCTTATTTAAATATTGGTAAAAAAAGTGACTCTTTTTTTTTATTCTGCAGAGATACATTTACCTGTTACATGTTCCAGATTTTTTAAGTGTTTGACCTATGTAAAATTGTCATATTGCACTGCTTATCTAAGTTTGTCACAAGACATGATTTATTGTGAAAAATATAAAAATATATTTATTTTTTTTTAATTTTCAAAATACATGTCCATGTATTTCCATACTATATTTAGATTTGACATCCTATCTTAAATGTTCAACAAGGTCAAATTTACATGATTTAGACTTACAAGTAAAAGTGTCTTTGAAGTAAATGCGATTTTGTATACGTTTTTTCTTGATAAAAAATATTTCTATGTTTGATATTTTCCCTTTTTGGATTCTCTCAAAGATTTCCACAGTATTTGAAAATAAAACGTTGCAAGTATGAAATGGTATAACACAACAATAATGCATATTACTGAAACTTACAAGGGTTGTTCGTCAAGTTCGTGGACAACATTGATAATTACTGACAAACATTACAAAAGAGATTCACATTCATACCCGGAGCACTTAAATGAAAATTCTTAACGTTACCCGACGTAAAAAGCTTAATACGAGTACATGTAACTTTTCTCAACATAGTCACCGTTTAACTCAATATGTTGCATATGTCGCTTTAACCAGTCATAAAAATGTGCACAAAATGTCCAGGCTTCATACTTGAAATAATACTTACATATGTAACAAATTAATGCCTGTTTCATATCCTGCAAAGCATCCAACCTCTGTCCGCGTAACAGCGATTCTATTTACGGAAATACGACAAAGTCTAGTCACGTTACAGAATTCATTTTATACAGCTCTATAAGCTCGGAAAGATCATCTTCCTTCACTCACGCCATCCTGTAAAATGTTCCTTCCGTCCAAAGATATTATATGTCACTTAAATACTAATGAACGGCTTCTTTTACTATGTTTTCCCGATTGTTTATAGAATTAAAGGGTCTCTGTAGGTGTTTTTCCGATGTCTACGCAGAATTTTATCACTGCTCACTGCTCCAACTATCCCGAAACGTACCTTTTTTGAGCAATTCCGATCCTGTCTTAATTTTTTCTAACTTTGATTGCTCAGCCATTTTGAAATTTTGAACGTTCATATTTTACAGGTTTGACGTGATAACTTATGTCATCCTCATAATGTAAAAGTCATCCAGATTTCCGCGGAATTTTATAAAATACAAATGAAATTTTTAAAGTGATTAATAATTTTTAATTAAAATTTTGCCGTGCTCCGGGTCTCCATTCCAAGTCTAACTATGAAGCCATAATTGTAATTAAACATTTGAAATTGAATACAATTTTACATTTTTCAATTCTCATTTAGTAAAGGATGAGGTATATTCTAATAATGAATATCAATGACACAAGTTTTTATTCAATTTTTAGCTTGTCCAAGAACTTTACGGACAACCCTCGTACAAGAGAAAAATCGTTAATGCATCCTTTAAGTTGAAGTATTACATGTAATACTATCCTCTTTTCTTCGTTTTCTTTGATTTATGTAATGCTGATTTTAATTCAACAGAAGCTGTTATTGACATAGCAGGGTCAGAATGTATCCTCAACTTTGAAGTTGACTACTTCAAAAATAAACGATGACAATGGCTTATTTCCCTATAAATCTGTTATATGTGAGTTTTTAATACTAGTCTCGCATAAAGGTGGACAATTTTCTCCCTCAATTAACATAAGTATGATTCCTTCATTCTGCCATCATTCTGCACTAATATTAGTAGAATTGTTTTTAATAAATGTGAAAGGGGGCATTATCCATAATCAGTATTCTGTACGTTATCAAAGTTCAAACACTTTGAGAGTAGACTATTCAATCTCATACAATCATCTTCTGTTCGCAGTATTTAAAATATGTTATCTAACTAGTAATGTATATACAATAGCATCTATAATTTAGAATTTCTGAACATAAAAAACATTTTTGTGCTTAGTTAAGGAACTAATATGTCACTTCTTACCCAGCTGTCTACTTCAAGCAGAATAGGATTAGTGGTGTTTCCAATCACGGAACCGTAAATGACGTCATTCCTTTCCAAGTGAAGAGTCGTGGTAACATCATCAAGGCATTGCTTTGAGGAATCTCTGCAAAATGATGGAACCATGATTAAATGTCTCCCTTCATATTCACCCTATCGTCCTTTATTTAACCATTTTCTTTTTGTTTTCTTTTTAACCATAGTTTTCTTTTTCGTCCCCCTCTTTGTCTTCTTGTCTTTTCTAATCAACTCCTCTTAAATACCATTTATTTGAACCCTATTCCTGCACCTACATGCATCCCAACATTAGCAATATATAAAAACAAGAGGCCCATGGGCCACATCGCTCACATGAGAAGCTTTGACCACTACGTTCTTTACCAGATTACCCCCTTGCAATACATATTGTGACCCCACCCTACCTAACTGATCAAAATTTAGACAATTTGAAATCTACACTACCATAGGATGCTTTGATTCAACATTGTAAAACTTTGATTCCCCATTGTGGCCCCGCCCAACCCCTGGGGGTCATGATTAGAACAATTTAGAATCTACACTACCCTGGGATGCTTCCACTTAAGTTTCAACTTTTCTGGCACAGTGGTTCTTGAGAAGAAAATTTTCAAAGATTTTTTATACATATTTCTATGTAAAATTTTGATTCCCCATTGTGGCCCCGCCCAACCCCCGGGGGTCATGATTTGAATAATTTAGAATTGACACTACCCAAGGATGCTTCCACATAAGTTTCAGCTTTTCTAGCCCCGTGGTTTTTGAGTAGAAGATTTTCAAAGATTTTTCCTATATATTGCTATGTAAAACTTTGATTCCCATGATTGTGGCCCCGCCCAACCCCGAGGGTCATGATTTTAACAATTTAGAATCTTTACTATCCCAGCATGCTTCCACATAAGTTTCAGCTTTTCTGGCTCAGTGGTTCTTGAGTAGAAAATTTTCAAAGATTTTTCCTATATATTTCTATGTAAAACTTTGATTCCCCATTGTGGCCCCGCCCTACCCCCCGGGGTCATGATTTGAACAATTTAGAATCTATACTCCCTCAGGATGCTTTCACATAAGTTTCAGCTTTTCTGGCCCCGTGGTTCTTGAGCAGAAGATTTTCAAAGATTTTTCCCATATATTTCTATGTAAAACTTTGATTCCCCACTGTGGCCCCTTCCTACCCCCGGGGGTCATGATTTTAACAATTTAAAATTTGCACTAGGATGCTACCATGTAAGTTTCAGCCTTTCTGGCCCAGTGGTTCTTGAGTAGAAGATTTTCAAAGATTTTTCCTATATATTTCTATGTAAAACTTTGATTCCCCATTGTGGCCCCATCCTACCCCCGGGGGTCATGATTTTAACAATTTAGAATTTGCACTACCCCAGGATGCTTCCACATAAGTTTCAGCTTTTCTGGCCCAGTGGTTCTTGAGAAGAAGATTTTTTAATGACCCCACCCATTTTTTGTCTTTTCTTGATTATCTCCCCATGTGAGAGGACTTGGCCCTTCATTTTAACAATTTAAATTTCCCTTCACCCAGGGATGCTTTGTACAAAGTTTGGTCATAATTGGCCCATTGGTTCTTGAGATGAAGTCGAAAATGTGAAAAGTTTACAGACGGACAGACAGACAGACGGACAGACGACGGACAAAATGTGATCAGAAAAGCTCACTTGAGCCTTCGGCTCAGGTGAGCTAAAAAAAATTGCCAAACTTTGCCAAAATGTGAGAAAATTATTTGTTCAATAATTAATTTAGATATGTTATTTTTATTGTAAATAAAATTGGTAAAATTATATATTGATCTTATTTCTGACTGAACATGAATGCACAGGATTACACCAAAGTTGTACCATTTGAAAAAGTGCATTTTGCAACAAGAAGCCAACGGGCCTTATAGGTCACCTGAGCATCATGCAACAACTTTCAAATGATTGAATTTGGTTCATGTTTCAAGCTAGATGCTATGGCATTCACAATTCTAAAAGAGGCACCATTACTAATCATAACGATACACTTAGCAATTGTTTAGTGTTGTTTACTTAATACCCATATGCAGGGTAGAGGAACAAAAAATGCATTTCAACTAATCAGTACTATTCAGCAATAATCATAAGTGCCCCTACCACACATGACCCCCCCCCCCCCCGACCTTAGGTATACATATTGCACAATGTTTGAAAAGGCACACTTGCTTATAAAGTTTTTTTGATTAATACCGAGGAGCAGATTTCAAACAATTCATTTTCATTATATAAGTAGAGCCCCCCCCCCCCCTATTCGGTATTCCCTCACCCAGGCCTTGAAATTTACAATTCTGGAAGAAGAGCCCTTGCACATCATAACTATTTAGGCAGTTCATCTGCTTATTACCCAGGAGTAGAGAAATAGATTTTCATGGATGTAAAGTATTTTCACTATATACTCATTATAGAGCTGCGCCCTAACACCATAACCCCTGACCATGGGGCCATAAAAATCACAATTTTGGTAGAAGCATTCTTGCTCATCATAACTATGAACTTAAGTTAATTTATTTAATACCTAGAAGCAGAGAAGAGAATTTTCAAAGAAATAATGTATTTTCACTACATAATTAATAGAGCCCCTCCCTTATACCAGAACCCCTGACCCTGGGGCCATAAAATTCACAATTTTGGTGAGACACTCCTGCTCATCATAATTATTTACTTAGTTAGTTTATTTAATACCTAGGAGCAGAGAAGAAGATTTTCAAAGATTTAATGCATTTTCACTATATAATCAATAGAGCCCCGCCCTATCACCAGAACCCCTGACCCTGGGGCCTTAAACTTCACAATTTTGGTAGAGACACTCTTGCTCATGATAACTTTTTACTTAGTTGGTTTATTTAATACAGAAGAAGCAGAGAAGATTTTCAAAGAATAAATGCATTTTCACTATATAATCAATATAGCCCCGCCCTAACACCAGAACCCCTGACCCTGAGGCCATAAAATTCACAATTTTAGTAGAGGCACTCTAGCTCATCATTACTATGTACTTAATTAGTTTATTTAATACTCAGGAGCAGAGAAGAAGATTTTCAAAGAATTAATGTATTTTCACTATATAATCAATAGAGCCCCGCCGTAACGCCAGAACCCCTGACCCTGGGGCCGTGAGTTTCACAATTTTGGTAGAGGACCCAATGCTAATTACAATCATATCAACAGTTTGACTGCTTGATGTCCAGGAGTAAAGAAGAAGATTTTTAAAGATTTCACTAATTTTAGTTGTTTTGGCCCCCACCCCCACCCCCAGGCCCCAGGGGGGCAGGGACCATGAAATTCACAATTTTTGTTTCCCTTCACCCACAAATGCTATATGCCAAAATTGGTTGAAATTGGTTCAGTGGTTCCAGAGAAGAAGCTGAAAATGTTGAAATGTTAACGTACGACGAACGACGACGGACGAAAACGGATAGCAATAGGTCACCTGAGTTTACACAGGTTGACCTAAAAACTTAATCAGAATTTTGAATATTTGGAAATTTCACATATAAATCACTGATAAATACAAACTTTAGGCATAGCTTGAACAATGGTTTACAGAGATCTGGACAAGGACTTGTTCTGGCACCCTGGCAACATCCCCCGCCATGAAGAAAGTTATTAGGACTTTTAACTTCGTCTACATGAATGAAGAACGTTATCTTCCCATTGGTACACTATACAGAAAAAGAAAATAAAAACCCTCTTTTGTTAAACAGAGTGTAACGACGACAGTATTTCAAACTTTTGTAGATTGAAATACATACAGAAGGATCTTCATGTAAAATAGTCTTCTCCAGAAAAGAAAAACCTTGATTAGTCAATTCTTTGGGTTGTATAAATTCAATTTTCCTCAAATCATTACCCCTGATTAAAGCGTTGGGCCTTAATAGGGCATAACAATTCTATGTAGTATATGAAACCTCTTTTTAAATTTCTAAGATCTTGAAGAGAAAAGCATTGCTTATCATATCTATTTTGGTGCTTATCATATCTATTTTGGAGCATCCTTATGTAGTTTTAGTTTCAGATCATTACTCCTTGGGTTAGGGTTGAACCAGAAAATGTATTAAAAAATTTACATATTAATACCAGTTAAAACTCGTTATTTCGTACTCGATGGGACCAAGCAAAAAAACGTCGAGATATATGATGATATGAGATATCGAGGGTACAGCACTTGAGGAATCAGTGGTAGGCACTTCCAAATCACTTCATCATATCCATGATATTCGAGATATATCGGTGTTCGAGATACCGGAGTTCAACTGAACATGTATATAGATTTTATAGAAAAATTTTATTTGAACAGGTAAGTTTTCATCAATCATATTAATCTAAAGGAGTCTTAGGTAAATAGATTCAGTTTGTTCTAATCAATATCCCCTTGGGTAAGGCGAGCTACAATACGCTCAAGGGATAAAATTTACTTAAGTTAGCCCATTTTTACCCTCACTACATGTGGATATCTTTCGTCTTATTTTCATTTCAAATAGGATGTTATTTGCTAAAAGAAAACTATGGTGAATTAATTTTATGTTATTTGAATATGTTTATTTACAGCGATTCTCAAGTGCAAACTTTTGGTTTAGAAAAAATTGTTAACTTATTTATTACAAAGGAATCCACACTATACAATACATAATAAGTGAAATTTTCAAATGAAATTAAACTTGAAATTTATTCTCTTCTTCATTTAAACCTGACTAAATCTTAAAAGTTTTTGTTTTTTGTTTGTTTTTGTCGTTTTGTTTTGTTTTTAGTATAAAGATAAAAGTATTGAATTGAGGAAATATATAGTAGAATAGAAACATGAGAAAGAAGCACAACAATAAACACAAATACATGACATAATAATTTTCCCTCCCATAAAATGCCAAAGAGTGTATAAATTTTCAATATTGTTTTAAAATTCTTACCGAAGTCAAAGCGACGGAAATCCATATTAATCTTATTAACTCGTTCATTGTAGTTATTTGACCTGCACACTGGATTCATATTATTAAGAATAGATAACAATCAATATACAACTGTGCCGATTATCATAACAAATCAACCTATTTGATATCACTGTAGTCATTACCTCTTGAACTAATATTTCAAATTTTCAACATTAAATCATCAATATACGATCAGTCTCAAATCATTTTTTTTTTATTCTTAAATTTCCCGTATACCCTCTATTGATCGAACTGCAAGCAGCTTTACCAAGCACAATATTATTTGTATAGTATGAACAGTACTAGTATTTTTAATAGTATTTCAAATACAAATCCATCACCTATCTTAAACATTGTTATCGTATGCTCTAGGTACACTGTAAAACTGATAGATACTAAAATAATGAAGATAAAGACAGTTCATTAAACCAGAAAGAAAAGAATATGAGGTTTTCATCCGTATTTGTCTTCCTTACCATTGCAGTATGGATCAATTTAGTTCAGGTAATATTCTATTTTTTTCAAGTTTCTTTTATTCATCTTGAGAAATTTTTTTTTTCCGGAATTTGTGAAAATTTATCTCGATGAAGACCTCAAAGGACGCGATAGATTTTTGAAAGGATTTAATATATTTGAAATCTGCAAAGAGAAACATAAGAATTTCGTACCTAAAATCATACTAAAAACAGTCATCAATACAATAGTACGAAAATCGTTTCACATTGTTTAAGATTCAATTTCACTCTGAAGCCTTTAATCTGGATAAAGTCCTCTTAATAAATGAAAGGTGGTCAATCAGCCAGAGACGAATGTAAAATTCCATTTGTAAGTATTATTAAAAGAAAAATACAGAGCCCTAAAATTATACATTTTATCACTTTCACTAATTGACAAGATATATGTTACATATATTATTTCATAAAGTTAACACTAGCAATAACAATGGTAAGTACATTAAATCTATGGGATGGAATTACATAGAATGGGGTAAGATAATCTGAAAGGAAAACGGTTAGTGGCCTTTAGATAGCTTAATGCGACCCGCAAGGTATACATCAAAGCAAGTCCCTGGGAATCATTTCCAATCCCTGTAACTGGAAACAAATAAAATGGCTTTAAATAAAATTAACACTAAATCTTTACGGTCATTATTGCATTGTGACAAATTCAATGGTTTAAGGAGTCAATCACCTACCCTCACCTCCGAGGTTTCTCTTTGAAAGTACACATATCTAAAAAAAATACTGAGTATTTAATAATTTCCCCTTGTAACCATACATTATCCTGTTCTTTGTGTCACCATGTATATGATGGTATGAGGGATATGACATCTGAAGGTTATCGCCTATCCCTGAATCTAAAATGTTCACAATATGACTTGCAAAAAAATGCATCAATGATAATCTGCTTGATTTTTCATTCATGAATATCTAGGGTCAACCCATCCTCCTAGAATTAGACAAAATCATTCCCATCTTTAAACCTTGTGTATAATTCTGTGAATTTCTTCAAAATTTTAATGACAAAATAAAGTACTAATGTATACAAAGTACATAAACAAGCTAGGGCTGGGAAGGGGGAGGAGTGAAATCAAAGTATAAAAAAGGTATTTTTTTATAACCCGTGTCTAATATCTCACATTATCCGTAATTTAGCTTTTTAGGTTTTGCACAGTGCTTTATGTTAAAACATAGGATTATTTCTCTCACCTTCTCCTTTTCTTTTTCTGACATCTACTTGGGCCAAAAATTATAGTGGAATTATGACATTTTTTTATTTGACAAACTTTTATGGATTTTACACTTATACTGCAGGTAGAATGATTTTCCTCCCAGTACAGGTATATAAAAAATACGTTGCCCACGGTCTTGTCTTTGATTTACATCTTATTACAAAATGACACAGCAGGACGTCTTTTCTCATTGTTACAAGTTTACATGGAACTCAAGAACATGTAAGTTCACTGACTCAAATCCCTTAAAAAATACTTCACTGTTATTTTTTTTTATATTTGAAAACTACTTACTATGGACTTACTTGTAGTAGAAAGGCTCATAAACCTATCAGGGTATTCTTATCATACAAAGACCTAAACCAAAAATATGGAACCGAGGTAAATTATTGACAAACAAGTTGATGAAACAAGAATATCAGCAGTCTCGTTTAAAGAAATCATTTCGTAAGTTCTATGGTCGATACAATGAACTTGTCAGCAAAATACAATTCATCATTGAGTCAAATGCTGACTGACATTTTTCATACCAATTGTTAGTCCATTAAATATATACATTGAATTGACGACGGATTTTCCGTTATTTCCCAATCATGACAAAGAGCACACGACTGGTGTGACCGTTCGACAGGGTAGGCTCACTCCTCCATGGCACCTGATCTCACATCTGATGTTATGGAGGCCGGTGTTTGCTCTGCTACTGTTTTGTGTTGTTTTTTTTTGTGGACTTTTGGTATACTGTCTCCATATGTTTCATCTATATTTATGAAAGTAAACTGAATGTATAACGCTGCATGAAAATTACAGCTAAATCTGTCATGGATATTAAAGGAAAGGTAACAACCTCTAATGATAAAATGCCTTTAAATAATTGAAATATCAGTAACCGTTGCAATTTCAGTGCTCAATGCCATAAATTATAGCATTAATAGTTGACATTCTCAACCGCTTATGCCAAAAAAACCCATTAATGAAAGCATATAACTGTTGAAACGAACGCGGTAATTTATAGCATAAAGGTAACCAATGCACCTAAGTTTTTTTTCAAGAAAATACCTATATACCAAGCCTTATCTAAGTTTTGTGATATCGTTCCTCAGTACGGTTTAACAAAACCTTTACATTGTGAAGATGACCGTGTCCTTGTAAGAAAAAAATACTTATATGTTCTTCCAAGATCGTCCACCCGAGACAGATAAATTTTTCCTTCCCAGAAAAAAAGTTGACAAGAATAAAAAAGAAAATCTAGCAAAATTAAAAAAAAACTGTTTTCGGGGTGGGATGAAAATGGGTTTTACCTATGAATTAAGGTCAGATTAATAATTTTTCTTCCCAGAGAAAGACAAATTGTTCATTTCCAAGGATAGATTAAATCTGCCAGTCCCCTTCGCCTCCCTTCAGAATCAATTAGTCATTCTATGATACACTTAATAAAATTTCTAAGTGTTCACTCTAATAAATGTATTTATTTAAAAACTACAAGATTAGAATAGTATAATATTAAATTTTCAAAGTATTATAACCATTGAGTCATCTCTACAATTGTTGAAAGAAAATCATCACTGATGAGAGCTAATGTCCCGTGTCGGAACTTAAAAACAATAAATCTGTACTTTGCGCTACGTGTTTTGTGTAATCAGCTTCTTTTTGTGACCATTATCAATTCTTAACAAGTGGTATATCTAAAAAAAACAAAACATGAGTAAAATGGCAATTTATGGAGGAAGGAGGGCCATTGGAATGTTGATATCTGGATCATCCTTAGCGACACGTTTTATTCACTTTTATTTTAATTTTTATTTTGATATTACTTTTAAAAATAGATAACAAGTATAAAAAAAATGTTTTAAACACATTTGAGCAATTCTTTTTTATCATCAAATTATCACAATCTGAGAGCTTTAGATAAAATTTTAATCAAACTGGATGTGATCGAGATCTTCGTCTGAGGCCAATGTTTTGCGTCAAAAACAGCTTTATGGATTGTTATTCATGGTCCTAAATCACTTTAGAAACATTTTAATCAGCACCTTCAGTGGTACAAAATGGCACCAAATTGTTTCTTATCCTTTTTTTCATACCAATTGTTAGTCCATTATATATATATATACTGACACGGCGGGTGTGACCGGTCGTCAGGGGATGCTCACTCCTCCATGGCACCTGATCCCACCTCTGATGTTTCGGGGGTCCGTGTTTGCTCTGCTCTTATTTTGCATTGTTTTATGGACTTTGAGATTGAATTCTGTTCGTTATCTCCATATCCTTCTCAAACAGTCTGAATCATTCGTAGAGAGGTGCACTTACGTGTGAGACGCCCAAAGAGGCTCTAAATGTTGACCAAAAAGCATCTGTTTGAAGCACTGGCATGCCAAATCCTTGGATCTGAATCCCATTAACATATGGAACTTCTAAAAGGATTGTCAAAGCTTCCCCTCCTTCACACAATCAACTATGAATTTTTGTAAAGATTCATGCTGTAAGTGTTGCACCAGATACATCAACCTCCTATTCAAAGGGTACATGGTATCCATGAGAAAAGAATGTCTCACAGTAATTAGACCGAGTGGAGGTCTTATTCTATAGCGATTATTTTGTGTGAATTTTCAATTTGAGGGTACATCATGTTCTTGACACTTGGCTTTAAAGTCGTACAGGATACTTACATGAAATTTTCGCAACACTAAAGTGAAATATTGCATCTGTCACAGAGCAATCGCCCGATTTTAGTTAATTAATTGTAAATGAGTGAGTGATAGGTTGCAGGTGCGCAGCGCAGGCGTTGTAGCCCTGTTTCCCAAGAGTGTAATTTTAGTTAGTTAGAGAGAAAGCGAGTGGACAAGCATGGATTTATAATTTGTTTATTTGTCATTTCTGTTATCGTTGTTTATTGTGCGTGATAGAGTTCTGAGAGATGAAAGTGAGCACTAGATTGATTTGTGTGAGAAAGTGGGCCCTGGGAACATGAGTGAGAGAGAGGAGAACAAGTCTGAAAGTCCACGAGTGTGGACGTGTTTTTGTATTGTGAACATTGTGATTTCTTATAAATATATCTTGTGTTGTAATTATGTAAATAAACGATGTAAATAAAAACAATCGTCATTATTAAACCAGTGCCGGTGACGGGAAGGACCCCCGTCACATATTATGGTGGCCAGCGGTCGGATTAGATTATCTTAACTATGTCAACATATACTTTGGAAAATTAACTCTTGGTCAAATACTGTGAAGATGCCACGGAAGAAGAGACAGGAGCCAATTGAGGATGTTATTCCCGAAGCCGTGCCTGAAGTTAGACAGTCGTCCAACCTGATAAAGCCTACCCCATTTTACGGTAAACTCGACGAGGACTTTGATTCGTGGATTAAGAACTTCGATCGGATATCCAGAGCTAATTTCTGGACCGAACCAAGAAAATGCATAACGATACCTGCATTCCTCCGAGATCAAGCTGCAGATTATTATGAATCTTTAGACGACGATGTGAAAGATGACTATCGTTCTGTTTGTGACGCTCTGCGGGAAAGATTTATTCCTAAAGAACTCCAATCACTGTATTATTCCAACTTGTTCGGATACAAACAGGCAGAGATGCAAACCGTAGAAGATTATGCGGCGAACATAACGAAGCTTGCTACACGTGCCTATATGGACATGCCTGGGAGGCAAAAGGAAACCCTCACTAAAGAGCATTTCGTGCAAGGATTGCGGCCCGAAATCAAGAGGTATGTGCTACTTTCTAACCCTAAGACGTTTGAGGAAGCTTTTAGGCATGCGAAGAGGGAAGAGTGTAACAACCTCCTGGCAGATGCCCCGATGGCCAGAGGAAATGTGGCATCTATGTCGTACGCTCCTACGAGAACGGAAGAGCTGGAGAAGTCACTCGCAGACCTGACCGCCAAGGTGTCAGTAATGGCGACTGAAATCGGTAGATTCGCATCTAAACAGCAATTTGTTCCTCCGTCTCGAGGACAAAGCCGTGGAGGAAGCCGAGGAGGAAGAGGCCGAGGATTCGGATTCCGCCCCAGACCGGACCGAAATCTTAGGACTACGGACGGGAGACCAATCTGCAACAAATGTCGTAGAGTAGGACACATAGCAGTCCGTTGCAATGAGCAACAAAGAAGCGCCATTTCGGAAAACTAAAGTCCGCCCTTTTGTGTGCAGGTAAAGGGCTAGAGGATCTAAAATACCCTCCTAGAGACAGCCGGTTACGTAAAATAGAAGAGGATAATTCTTCCGGAAGTAGTGAAAAAAATGTTGAAATTGTGAAAAATGTATGTGAAAATATTGTTTCTTGTCAGTTAAATCCTAAATTTTGTACCGCCAAAATTATAGGATATGTGAATGAAAAATGTGCTGCGATGTTGGTCGACACCGGATCTAGTGTCACGATTATAAATGAAGCATTCGCAAACCAGAGTGGTATGGTGTCGGCAACGGGCAACCGTGTCGATATTGTTGGGAAGTGTGACTTTAGGTTAAGAATTGGTGAACAAACCGATGTTGTATATAATGCATTTGTTGCTCGTGATTTCCCGTATGATTGTATTTTAGGTTTGGACATTTTGAAGGACTGTGCATGTTTTATTGATGTTGCAAATGATTCTGTGTATATAAATGATGAATGTATCTCATTTATTTCTGATGCAAGTTCGACTGGCGAAAGTGTGCAAGATGCATGTAATTACAAGAACTTGAATGGGATTGAAATAAGTGAGAGTGATGAGTCTGGTGAGCAAGGTATAGATGATTTCTATGTATCAGGTGATTTAGGTGAAACGGAACGCAAGTCTATTACTAAGGTATTAGATAAGTATAGAAAAGTGTTTGCTTTCAGTGATAATGAATTAGGGAAGACAGATTTAGTTGAACATTCTATAGATACAGGGGACAGTAAACCTATTCACTTGAGGCCTTACAGGATTCCTCACAGCCAGCGGAAGTTACTGGAATCTCAAATAGAAACAATGTGCGCTAACGGAATTGTGCGGCCGTCTAAGAGTCCTTACTCCGCCCCAATTGTTTTGGTGCCGAAGAAAGATGGCGATTCGAAAATTCGGGGTTAAAGCTAAAAGCGAAGAAGTGTTACTTCGGAAAAACGGAGGTCACGTTCCTTGGACACAAAGTCTCAGCTGACGGAATATCGCCTGACACGGAGAAAGTAAAGTCAATTCACAACTTTCCGAGGCCAACAAATGTGAGCGAACTTAGAAGCTTTCTGGGACTCATCTCTTACTACCGTAAGTTTGTAAAAGATTTTGCAAGTAAGGCTGCTCCCTTACACAAGCTCTTAAGGAAAGGTGTCGAATTCATTTAGGACAATAACTGCGAAAGTGCTTTTGAATTCTTCAAGTCGGCTTTGACCAGCTTTCCTATTCTTAGATATCCAGATTTTTCACTTCCGTTTATCCTGTACACGGATGCATGTGACACTGGTGTAGGTGCAGTATTAGCCCAGGAAGGTCCAGATGGCGAGCGGACAATAGCGTACGCGAGTAGGAGTCTAAAACCAAATGAACAGAACTATGCAGTTATCGAAAAAGAGGCATTAGCCATTGTGTGGAGTGTGAAATACTTTAGACACTATCTATTCGGCCGGAAATTTACTGTGATAACTGACCACAACCCATTACGGTGGCTTATGGACATTAAGAATCCAGCAGGACGCCTTGCGCGATGGTCGTTAACTCTTCAAGAGTATGACATAACCATAAAACATCGACCTGGAAAGGTTCATCAAAACGCAGACGCCTTATCTCGAATTCCTGCCGAATCCCCTATAGCAGCCACCTGTGCTAAGGCAGACGCAGATGTGATACCAAAAAGGTCATATCAGGACATCCGCGACCGTCAGAAAAATGACCCTCTCCTAGCCGCTATCATCAATTACTTAGAGAAGGGAGAGTTGCCTGAATTATCTTCAAAGGCCCGTGAAACTGTAATTTTATCCGGTGATTATGAACTCGGACATAATGGTCTGCTATATCATCTTTGGCAGCCTGGATCTCATAGACGACGTCAAGCTATTAGACGCCAAATAGCTGTTCCAAGGAGCCTGATAGATGAAGTCATGTATGCCTGTCACGACGACCTGACAGCAGGACATCTCTCCTTCCAGAAAACGTATGACAAAGTCCAAGAGAGATTTCATTGGAAGGGTATGTATTCAGATGTAGAGTTTTGGTGTAGATCATGCGTAGACTGTGCTACCAAGAAATCACCGAAAAACAGACCAAAGTGCCCATTGAACCCGCTACCGGCAGTTAACGGACCATTCGACAGAGTAGCTGTAGATGTCCTTGGACCATTCCCGCCAACCTACAAGTCCAATAAGTACATTATTGTGTTCAGTGACTACCTAACTCGATGGCCTGAAGTATTTGCCGTAAACAATGCAGATGCAGAAACGACTGCGCGACTTTTTGTAGAGGAAATAGTGTGTCGTCATGGAGCGCCTAGAGAGCTACTATCAGATAATGGCAAGAACTTTAGATCAAACCTAATAAAGGAAATATGCAAATTAACAAATACCAGGAAAACGTTCACTACTGCCTACCACCCGGAGACCAATGGCCTAGTGGAACGCTTCAATGGAACACTCACAACGATGTTGTCAATGTATGTGTCCGGGCATCAGCGTGACTGGGACACATTTATACCATACATACTGTTTGCATATAGGACCGCCATTCACGAGTCTACAAAAGAGTCACCCTTCTACCTAATGCACTTGCGAGATCCTGTTCTACCAGTGGAATCTGCGCTCTGTCCGCCAACATTTTCTTACGCTGTAGCAGACGACTATAAGGAAGAGGCAAAAGTCCGTCTTCAAGAGGCCTACACGCTTGTCAAAGAAAACTTACAAAAATGTCAACAAAACCAGAAGGAACATCATGACCGTGCAGCGAAAGAGACTCATTATATTAAAGGTGACAAAATATGGTTATTCACGCCAACGACTAAACCTGGACTCTCTTAAACTTACTCACAATTGGCACGGACCATACGAGATCATCGAGCGATTATCTAATGTTACCTACAGACTACAGGACCCTGATCACAAATCAAAAACTTTGACAGCGCATGCTAACAGGATGAAGCCGTATCTTGATCCATATGACCGCCCTGATCACGACTACATCCCGGACGAGGACGTTGAATACGAGGACGAGACGGCCGATGACAACGGTCCCATTGTCAAAGTATTAGATATGATGCGGTCTAGAAACGACTCCAAGCGGTTGGAGAAACGTTATTTTGTACAGTTTCAGAACGGACACACCCAGTGGTTAGGTGAAAATGAAATCAAAGACTTTAGGATTGTACAAGATTTTATACAGTCAAAGAAATAAATAATTGAAGTGTATATACGTAGGTTGTGTATATAATGTATTTCAAATTCTAAAATGAACGTTTGTTTAAAAAAAAATGTTAAGATAAAAAACAAAAATTTAAGAAAAAAAAGGTAAAACATGAAATGTGTATGCATGTTAAACTATTTTGTTATTTCTGTGTGTAAGTAAGGTCTTTTTATCTATGAATGTGTGATTCTTGTAAGCGATATCAAATTGTCATTATCAGTCTACTACATGTAATGTTATTAGTGTGTCGGGACGCCACACTTAAGAGGGGAGGTATGTCACAGAGCAATCGCCCGATTTTAGTTAATTAATTGTAAATGAGTGAGTGATAGGTTGCAGGTGCGCAGCGCAGGCGTTGTAGCCCTGTTTCCCAAGAGTGTAATTTTAGTTAGAGAGAAAGCGAGTGGACAAGCATGGATTTATAATTTGTTTATTTGTCATTTCTGTTAAAGTTGTTTATTGTGCGTGATAGAGTTCTGAGAGATGAAAGTGAGCACTAGATTGATTTGTGTGAAAAAGTGGGCCCTGGGAACATGAGTGAGAGAGAGGAGAACAAGTCTGAAAGTCCACGAGTGTGGACGTGTTTTTGTATTGTGAACATTGTGATTTCTTATAAATATATCTTGTGTTGTAATTATGTAAATAAACGATGTAAATAAAAACAATCTTCATTAATTATTAGTGCCAGTGACAGGGAGGACCCCCGTCACACATCATTAACCATGAATTAAAGGAATTATTTACTGTATGTACGGAAGCCCATTTAGGACCTATCGAAAAATATTTTTGAATCTGATATAACGAATTGTCGAATTTGTTATAACAAATTTAATTCGTTAAAACAATTTCTTTGAATTCTTTATAATGAATTTAATCTGTTTTAACAAATTTGTTGATTTTGTTATAACAAATTCTTTTATTTGCTTTAACGAATTAAATTTGTTAAAACGAATTCATAAATTTGTTATAACAAATTAGATTCGTTTAAACAAATTCCAAAGTTTGTTATAATGAATTAAATTCGTTTAATCAAATTCAATAATCAGGGCCTATAGAAAAAATATATATGAATTCGATATAACGATTTGTCGAATTCGTTTTAACAAAATACGTTATAACAAATTATGGAATTCGTTTAAACGAATTCAATTCGTTATAACAAGTTTTGGAATCTGTTAAAACGAGTTTAATTCGTATTAACACATTTTTGAATTCGTTATAACGAAATCAACAAATTTGTTATAACAGATTGAAATCATAATAACGAATTCAAATAAATTTTTATAACGAATTAAAGTCGATATAACAAATTCGACAATTCGTTATATCGGATTCAAAAATATTTTTCGATAGGTCCTAAATGGGCTTCCGTATGTATGCATCTGTTCTTTATAACTTAAAAAATATTAGGTGAACACTTAGAAGTTTGGTTCAGCATAATCATTTACTGCTAATTTTGTAAACAAACAAAATCTACAAGGGGTCATTTTTTCTCTTATGATATGCAGATTTTAGGCAGATTGCAAGTTGATGTCTATGGAAGCCCATTTTGGACCTATCGAAAAATATTTTTTGAATCCGATATAACGAATTGTCGAATTTGTTATAACGAATTTAATTCGTTATAACAATTTCTTTGAATTCGTTATAATGAATTTAATCTGTTATAACAAATTTGTTGATTTCGTCATAATAAATTCACAAATTTGTTAAAACGAATTAAACTCGTTATAACGAATTGAATTCAATTAAACGAATTCCATAATTTGTTATAACGAATTAAATTCGTTAAAACGAATTCGACAAATCGTAATATCGAATTCATATGTATTTTTCTATAGACCCTGATTACTGAATTCGAACAAACGAATTTAATTCGTTATAACAAACTTTGGTATTTGTTTTAACACATTTAATTTGTGATAACAAACTTAAGAATCTGTTTAAACGAATTTAATTTGTTATAACACATTTTTGAATTCGTTTTAACGAATTTAATTCGTTATAACAAATTAAAAAATTTGTTATACTGAATTCAACAAATTTGTTATAACAGATTAAAATCGTTATAACAATTCATAGAAATTGTTATAACGAATTAAATTCGTTATAACAAATTCAACAATTCGGATTCAATAATATTTTTCGATAGGTCCATAAATGGGCTTCCGTAGATGTCACTTTTTCTGCAGACAAAATAGTCATTTTACGACGTAGGAAAATACACAGCTTATGATCATTATTCGCTTTTACACTGGCCCCGAGTATACCAATCAACTCATTTCTGCAGCTAACAATCATATCGCTTATCTGCATGTTCATACCCACGTACCATGTGTTTGGACTTCCGTACGATTTCATGTGATTTAACTTAATTTCTAGAATTCGTCATAACAAAATCAAAAATTTGTTATAACGAATTATATTCGTTTAAACGACTTCAAAAATTTGTTATAACAACATTAAATTCGTATTAACAAATTATTAAGTTTGTTACAGCGAAATAAATATATTTAATCAAATTCAAAAATCAAGGTTTATAGAAAATATTATAACAATTTGTCGAATTTATGTAACGAAATCAATACGTGATAACAAGTTTTACAATTCGTTAAAACAAGTTTAATTCTAATAAACAAATTTGTTAAAACAAATTCGACAAATTTTGTTATAACAGATTAAATTCATTATAACGAATTTAAATAAATTATTATAACTAATTTAATTCGTTATTACAAATTCTTCAATTCGTAATATCGAATTTTAAAAATATACAGAAGCTACGGAAGCCTATTTAGGACCAATAAAAATTTTCTTTTGAATTCGATATCACGAATTGTCGAATTCATTAGAACGAATTTAAGTCGTTATAACATTTTTTTGAATTCGGTTATATCATTGAAAAACTGGAACAAATATTATACTATAATGATTTTACGTTTTCAGGTTACAACTGGAAAGATAACTTTCTCAGTTTACATAGACGAAGTGAAGAGTCCCGGTAATAAACTTCACGGAGGAGAATGCTGTCAGGGAGTGGCGGGTACCCAGTGTACCAAGTTGTGTAAACCTGTACTCACCTTATGTCTGAAGTAGGTGATGTTTGACTTTTCCGACTTTGGTATCATTTCAACATGTCCACACAGATTTTAATGATTATTTTTTTTTATTTCTACAGAAACGGAAGTCACTCCTGTGTGTCAAGTTTTAGCACAACAATAGACATGAAACGACAAGACGTCTTTTATGGTTCTAAAGTCGGGAATACAACGAAACCACAGTTTTTAGAAGTTGATTCATGGGTATCATTACTTTAATACAAATTGTTTGTCTGTTTTAAAGTTATATAAGATTTTTTTTTAATTTCTCAAATAGTTTGGTACATCCTATAACTGTTAAGATTCCATTCTTATTAATTCAGGAAAAGTATATGGACAAGATAAGTACCGAAGTACGAGATTTACAACACTCCTCCTCACCACTCATCTACGAGACAGAATTCTCGGACTACAATCTACAAATAGGAGACAACATACTTTCACAGACCTGGCGACAAAAGAAATTGGCGGCTCATTATTTTAGGGATAAAAATTCTTTTTTGTACGTTGGTTTTATTCGCATCATGAATTATAAAAGCTCGAATGGCGATTTTCAAACTAATATATACATGTATAATCGAACTTTAATCTCTCTCTCTCTCTCTCTCTCTTCTAAAATATTTAGCAATTACTTAAAGTATTATTATTTTGCTCCAAAAATTGAATAGAAATATAACTAGAAATAAGAAGGTCTTCCGTCCCGTGTCATCAGGGAGCTAGGCTGATTCCTCACAAACATTTATGCTGTGCATTCCCTGAATCACCTTCATGTATGAAATGGAATAATTTTATCTAAAAATGTTTATATTGTGAAGATATCGCGAACGAAAAATAAGAGACGCCAATTTAAAGGGAGGGAGGGAGGTGGTCAGTGTTCAATAAAGCTTTGTGTGTAATTTCTCACATTTAATTAGAGAAATTCTCTTGTAATAAATAAGATTACATAAGATTTTTTTAAATTTAATAACTGTTTAAGGATTATATACGATGACTTGATTTATTCTAAAATTTTACTGATTTTATGCCTTAATTTGATTATTCTTCCTCCCCGAGTGAGCACCACGCGCGCATAAGAAATTATTTCCGAGACACCCCTGTTCTGGTGTCGATCGACATAGCCCCTTCCTTCTTTAAAGATAAATCTTATATTAGAACCCAAAATAAAAATACAAAATAAACATTCCCCAGATTGAATTCGGGTCGCCCGCGTGAAAATTTGAGCGAGCTTACCATCACGTTATCGAAGGCTATCGCCTTAAATTTAATATTGAAAATGGTAAATAAATTTTTAACAAATTACATATATAGCATTCGGATAAGAAGCTCTATTTAACCTATAAATATTATTTTAAAAAATACATTGAAATAATAAAGAACAAGAAAGTTCAATTACTGTACATGTGACAACTGCGAAAACACATAGATTTTTTTTTATCACAAATCCACAAATCACATTCTATCGATCATACCTGAAAGTTTCAGATTCCTGCCTTTAAGGATGACGCTTACTCAGGTTTCAGTAATCAGAAAGGAAATTTTATAAAGTATAATATGCTAAATAAAAAATTGTTCTAAATGGATGAAATAACCAAGTTTTATCTCAATATCAATTAAAAAATTTATTTTATTATTTGAAGAAAATATACAGGAACAAAAATCAATGTATGGTAATGCAGAGGAAATTCGGACTAAATATTTTAAATCTTTCGTTTTTATCAAATTTTTTATTTGATGCAATATTAATCACAAAGTAAAGATTACACGTAATTTTATACATCATTTTGCAAATATTTTGTGTGTTAAAGCTCAAGAATAATTGAATGCTATGAAATAAAGAAATTCAAAAATATGTATTAAAAAAACATTCTAGACTACCTATCCCAATCATTTCATCATTGATCCCAAATAATATTAATACCATGAGCAGAAGGACAACAAAAGTAACCTGGGGCTATAAATAATTTAGAGTTCTTATCTTTCAAATTTTTGTAATATTCGAATTAAAATGGGAAAAAATATAATTATGACAGAGGAAATTCGGACGGTAATAATTATTACGTTTTTTGGCCCAAACAATAATCATTTCTTTATATGAAGCAACGCTATTCCATTGCTATAATATTTCATTCTTTGAATATTTTTTGTTGCTTGAAATATTTTGTGAGTGAAGAAAAAACTGGTCATAGTGTAAAAAATTTAGGTATTTCCCAAGAAATACTCAGGTGCCACCAGCATGAAATGTAGGTCATTGACATAGTTATTTGAAATTGAAATTCAACACAATAAGCATAGGTGTACAATGTGCAATAGGTGGTTTTTCGTTCTTATCAGTGGAAATTTTAGTCATCTGAGTTTAGTTTAAAATATATTTTATTCATTTAATGAAATGGATTGAACAGCAGGCATAAATGCCTATGATCGTTCTCTCTCATCTGAGTAAAGGTATACCTTAAGGGTTTCTGAGAACATTCACGTACTAGATTTTAAATATTTAAAAAATATTAAAGGAAAAGGTGTCAAATTTTGCGAGATACCGGTATTTTCTATTCATTTTTTTCAACCCTTCCGCGCTTCTGCACCTTATTTGTGCTAGAAAGTTTTGAATACCCATTGACAATTTACAAACTTTCTTCCAACGTTACTGAAAATAAATATTTCATGTTATTAAGGAGGAAATTCTAGGGCAAGCCGACCCTCTGCAAAACAGACCATGGAAAAGTGAACTGCCTATATAGACAGTTATTAGGCAGTTCTTTAGCAGTTTTAGAAATTTTTGGTAGTTTTCAAACAGTTTCAAGCAGTTTGGTTTTTACTGCTCTTTAGTAACTGCTAGGGCTTTGGGAGTAAACAGTTTTCCTTAACAGTTTTTAAGCAGTTATCAGTTTCCCTAGCAGTTATATCTTAGCTGCATATGCTTGAGGACAAGACAGTTTTCCTGAGCAGTTTTAATTTGTTGGCAGTTGAAAGCAGTTTCCTTGTATAATTTGATTGGGTTCAAGAGAAATTTTAAGGTTGGGCTCAATGTTCCAACAAATATAATCAACAGGAACCTAACAACTGTTCGCCAAAATTGAATTCTTGGCTGCCATGTTGTATTGTTGGACAAAAGGCTATTAGACAATATAGAGGGAGCCTGCTGGCCACAAAGCTTTAGATTTATTGAAATAATGATGTAGACATTTAACAATTGGTAAGTACAATATATATGTGGCCTTGAATGAATAATGATATAGTTTAATATTTTTCTTAAGAAAACATTGTAACGGTCCAGTGATTTAAACTGACAGATTGGTTTTATACAGAGTTATTGATCCTGATTATTGTTGACATTTGTAGGAGCTAAAGTTGAGATGAGTTTTGTATATATAAACCTAGTTATTAGATTTTTCTATAGACTTTGCCGTTTACGGAAAATGTAACGAGAGATTCTCCAATATTTTCCAACTTGTCCAACATTTTCCAACTTTTACGTCATGTTATTGTATAAAAGAGGGAGATTCGAGGAATTTTTGCTCTTCTGCTAGGTTGATTTGTATAGAGAAGAAGTGTTTTAGGGGTAAGGAGTTAGTATGGGTTGGGCGTTTTGAATTTAGATTCAATAATGACTTTTTAGTTTTATTTTAAGAAGAGCCAGGGTTATTTTAGGAACTTTTGGAATATTTGTGGAGTTCTATAGGAAGTTTTGATCAAGTTTTAGTGAATTTTAACTGAGAAATTGGACTTGGTTGAAATTTGCTATTTGTTTGAATTTTTGGTAAATTGCTGATAAAATTTAGATCGAATTACTCGAAATTGTTATGGCAATATTTCAGCCATATTTTGGCAGCTAGGGTTTCATTTTAAAATTGTACGTTTGCATGGTTTGTGTACCAGTTTCAGCATCATGCTATTGCTTTGAATATTCATTAGACACAACCATAAATGAAAATATATTAAAAGTTCTGAAGCAGTTATTTGCAGTTTCAAGCAGTTTTTTTTAAACTCATTTAAATATTTCGCTGAAAATAACTGCTTCAGAACTGGTTGAAATCTGGGAAGGCTAAGAAAAACTGCCTTGAACTGCCTATATTCATGAATAATTAATGAACTTGTCTGATTGACATGGAAGGCAAAGGAACTGCTAATAAACTGCTTAAAAAATAAAACTTGTAAGGCTTAGTAACTGCCGACAAACTGCCTTCCACTTTGACATGGGAGAGAAAAAATTCATATCTCACGACCGGAAGCGGGATCATGAACAACAAAAATTTCCGACAAGGCTCAGATTAAATTTTGATGAAAATCGCCATTTTCGAAAATTTGCGTACACAGTGTTGGTAATTAAAATAATAATAATATGGAAAGAAAGCGAATGATTACAATAAGGTCTTCCGTTGGAGACTGAAGGCCTTAGATAGATGCTTTTTTTATGCGCAAGATCTTTATAATAGAAAACAAATGGAATATAATTAAGGAAGTCGGAAAACCTTAATAATAATAAGAAGTAGAAACAGAAGAATCACTTTAGTGTTTTCCGTGAGGACGGAAACTTGTCTTAGACCCTATTTTTAAAAAATTACCCCATCTCTTATTTCAGTATCCAGATAACGTACAAGGCGTACTGTTCTGAGGGTTACTATGGACCAGACTGTACAGCTCATTGTCCTGGTAATCCACAGAAGTGTGTCGTCAACGGTATTACCTACTGTAAAATGGGTAAGATAAAAACACTTACATTAAAGTATTGCAAGCATTGAATTCTATGCATGCAAAAAATTCAACAGTGTAATATCATGAAAAAGATTTTTGAAATATAGTACTAAAAGTGAGCATTTTGGGCAGGATAATTTACTCTAAATTTCTATTCTGAAAGTTGTGAACAACAATATAATTAGAAATATGTGATTTAACTATAATAATAATATGCAGCTGTTGATGGGGTATAAGGTCAAGAAATGGTTTTTTGACCTGAAAGTCAAAATGTCTGAAGCTGCAGTCCAAGGGTGGGCAGATTTTTCCCAACAGAAATATTACATTGCTTTTTTGAATGCACTGTGTGATGGATGACTAAAATAATTACACTAAATGGTGCTTCATTGAATTCAAAGTCTTATCAAACTTGCAATTAAATGATTTTAGCGATCAGGGAGTTCATAAATGCCAATTCCGAAACTTTTTATTTGACTATATGTTTTGTAGGATGGCATGGACAAAACTGTGATCAGGACATCGATGAATGTGCTAATCGACAGTTTTGTGGACACGGTAACTGTACGAACACAGCTGGTAGTTTCCATTGTAAATGTCCTTCGTCCGTTACCGGTCTAAAATGTCAGCTTGATGAGGATGAATGTCTTCTGAAACCTTGTAATGGAGGAGAGTGTGTCAACAAGATCGGGAGTTACACGTGCCTATGTAAAACTGGAACCACGGGTAAAGACTGTGAATCGTTGACTGCTCACCAATGTCACGGTAATACGTGTAATAATCACGGGCAGTGTCATGTAAAGCATGGTATGGCCGTGTGTACGTGTAACAATGGATACACCGGCCCTGATTGTTCCATAAGAAATACATGTGCTAACAACCTTTGTAAGAATGGTGCTACATGTGTGATAACTGGAACAAATTACACCTGCCATTGTGCTATCGGCTTCATGGGGGTTCTTTGTGAAAAAGTTGATTATTGTGCATCGGATCCCTGCAAAAATTCTGGATCTTGCACAAATACTGCGTCTGGATATTCTTGTTCGTGCACTGATCATTTCATGGGACTGAACTGTAGCATGTACGATTATTGTTTTGACCAGAACTGCAATCACCGAGGACAATGTCAAAATAAACAAAACGGTTACACTTGTCAGTGTAGGACTGAATACATTGGCAAGAACTGTGAACAGAATAATTATTGTCATAGTAATCCATGCAGACACGGAAATTGCTCAAACTCACCCACTAACTATACTTGTACCTGCAAAAGTGGATTTACCGGAATAAACTGTGACCAAGTTGATTACTGTAACGGAAAAAACTGTAACGGACATGGTCAATGTCAGAACGGGCAGCATAGTTATACTTGTATCTGTAATCCCGGTTTTCTAGGACGTAACTGCGAATACGATTATTGTTACAATAATACCTGCAAAAATGATGCTACCTGTCATAGTGGAAAATCGTCATATACATGTTCGTGTAAACCTGGTTATAAAGGAACTCATTGTGAAACACGTGATTACTGTCACGGACAGACATGTAGTGGTCATGGAAAATGTAATAACGGACGAAGTAAATTCACTTGTGCATGCCAACCAGGTTTTCTAGGATATATCTGTGAACTGAAAGATTATTGTCATAGTAATCACTGCAGACATGGAAATTGTAATAATACAAACACGGGATATAGTTGTTCTTGTAATGGAGGGTATATAGGAAGGAATTGTGATGTAATTGATCATTGTTATAAAAAGCAGTGCTCAAATCATGGTACCTGTCAAATCACATGGAATTCTTACTCTTGTACCTGTAATAGTGGATTCATGGGTAGAGACTGTCAGACACGGAATTATTGTTATAACCAACATTGTTCTAACCATGGATCTTGTCAAAACGAGCATAGTTCTTACACGTGTCAATGCAGGGCTGGATACCTAGGTAAAGACTGTGAACAAACGTACTGTTCTCATCACCAATGTCGCAATGGAGCCTCTTGTGTTAACGGACATTCTAACTATACGTGTAAATGTGCTCCAGGGTATATAGGATCGTACTGTCAATCACGTGATTACTGTTTCCACCAGAACTGTAGTGGACATGGAACCTGTCAGAACGGTCTACATAACTACACTTGTATATGTAATCGTGATATCGACATTTATTTTGGTAAAAATTGCGAGTCAAGTCAATGCCTTGCCCATTCCTGCCAGAATAATGCAACATGTCAATACAATATATCTGACAACACAATTTTATGTGTATGTCCTTCGGGGTTTTATGGAGCGCGATGTGAAATGTGTTTGGGACTCGCGTGTAATTCTCTTTCTACCACATTATCTTCTCTGAAATCATCCACATATGACACTTCTCTTCAAAAGACAACTATTTTGAAAGAAAATGGTTGTACCGTGTCTACTTGTAATAATCACGGCAAGTGCTATCCAGAACACAATTATCGCGGTTATCTTTGTGAGTGTGATGAAGCATGGTCTGGCTCAAACTGTCATTATTTTGATTATTGCCATAATGTGACCTGTTCTAGGCACGGAACGTGTTACCGTGGACAGAATGATTTCCTGTGCCTCTGCGAAGAAGGACATTTCGGGAAAACGTGCAATATTACTCACTTTTGTAAAACTGACTCTTGTGCAATTCCATACATTTGTAAAGAAAGCAGTGATGGGTATTTATGTGAGTGTCCAGATGAATTAACTGGCTCCCATTGTGAGATTGTGAATTACTGCTATAATAATCCTTGCGGAGGGCATGGTTTATGCAATATTACGGACTCTGGATTCATATGCAGTTGCAGTAATGGTTGGGTGGGTAAGAATTGCACTGAAGTAGATCATTGTTATGAAGAGCCTTGTGGTAAGCATGGACAGTGCATAAATGATTTTCAAAACTTCAAGTGTCTCTGCAATCCGGGTTACACTGGAAGTCAGTGCAATGTTACAGACTTCTGCTTCTGGAATCCATGCCAAAATAATGGAACATGTATGATGGCGTTCAATAATTATATGTGTAATTGTTCGAATATGTGGTCCGGGTATAACTGTTCACAGAGAAATATTTGTTTCTTGGACAACCCTTGCAACATGAATGGAAACTGTTTTCAAAATGAGTCTAGATTGACTTGTTCTTGTTTCTCGGGTTGGACTGGTCGTTCGTGTAATATTTCAGACCATTGTTATAATGCAACATGTGGAGCACATGGCACTTGTCATAATAATCCTAATTCCTATCATTGTATTTGTGATCCTCAATGGACGGGACATGATTGTCAGATAAATGCTTGTGAAAATATATCATGCAGTTATCATGGAACCTGTTCAGCATTGAATACAAGCTACCATTGTGAATGCACAGAAGGTTGGGTGGGAGAAGATTGTGACATCCCAGACCCTTGTCAAAATTATACTTGTGAAAACGGCGGGATATGTTATCCCGATCTAAAGGCCAAATCAGTTGCTTCAGATCCCTTATCTTTATTCGAGTTGCGAAATCAAACCAATAGTAATGTCACAGCAGTAGCGAGATGTAAATGTCCAAAAGAATGGGAGGGAAATCGATGCGAAAGAGATGTTAACGAATGTTTAGATAAAAAGGCTTGTAACGAATATGGATACTGTATAAACACTATTGGGAATCATACTTGTGTTTGTGAGCATGGCTGGAGTGGATTGACTTGCGAAGAGAATATTGACGAATGTCTATCAAATCCTTGTGAAAATAATGGAACGTGCATCGATGGTATAAATACATTTACTTGTTCATGTTCCGAATTCTGGGAAGGTGATTCATGTCAGAAAGATGTTGACGAATGTAGATATTTTCCGTGCGGAGTACATGGAGCGTGCATTAACTCCCAAGGGAACTATACATGTCATTGCGTAGAATCCTGGACAGGGAGACACTGTGAAAGACATATAAAATCCTGCATTTCAGACCCTTGTAAAAACAATGCCACGTGCATCGACCTGGAGGAAACGTTTTACTGTACCTGCGACGGGGGGTTCACTGGGCGTCACTGTGACGCTGATATTGATGAATGTGTATCTTCTCCCTGTAAAAATGGCGCAACTTGTGTTAATACATACGGGTCTTTTTATTGTGTTTGTCCTTTACAATGGACTGGAACTGATTGTCAGCAGGATGTCGACGAGTGTTTGCTTGATCTCTGTCCCCAAAACACAACATGCATAAACAAAATCAACGGTTATCATTGTGTTGATTGCTCTTCTCTTGAATGCCTAAATGGGGGCCAGTGTTTTGATACCGCAACTGGTCCACAGTGCAAATGCTTTATAAACTGGACAGGTCCTAACTGTCAGCAACGAAATTATTGCTTCAACAATCCCTGTAGTTCCTCAGAAATATGCATTAACACACCCACGGCCTATGCTTGCGAGTATCATCCATGTAAAAGTTCTCCATGCTATAATAATGGAAAATGTATAGAAAATGGAATGGACTACATCTGTAATTGCTCTATAGGGTGGACGGGACCAGTATGTAAAGACAGAAATTACTGCGCATTCACTAATTGTTTGAATAATGGTACTTGTTCAAATACAAACACATCTTCTGTGTGCCACTGTAAAGATGAATGGTTCGGTGAACACTGTGAGAATTACAACTACTGTGATTCCTCGCCATGCTTTCATGATGGAATATGTCGCAACGAGAAAGTGAATTTTACATGTGAATGCCCACAAGGCTGGGTAGGAACTCAATGTGAAAAACAGGACTATTGCTACAATACGCCATGCTTGAACAGCGGGCTGTGTATAAACCTTAATTCATCATATGCATGTTCCTGTCCAGCGCAATGGACTGGAAATAAATGTCAGTCATATAACTACTGTCATACCATTCCATGCAACAACAGTGGACTTTGTATGAATAATGATTCAGGATATCATTGTTCATGTAATCGTGGCTTCATTGGTAAAAACTGTGATATCATTGATTATTGTACATCCAATCCTTGTTTGAATAATGGAACTTGTGCCTCGGAGCCATACGGATTTCTTTGTCACTGCCATGCAGGATTCGTCGGGAAAACATGTGAACGTGATATGGACGAGTGTGCTTTTGATTTGTGCCCTGCAAGATCCACATGCTATAATAATGATGGCGGATATACGTGTGTTTGGAATGATCGACGAAGAAGGGCAATCTTGTGGAAAGGTAAATACATGTATTAACATCTGCTGTAAATGTAATGGTGTGTTGGTATCCAGATTATAAAAATATTAGGCGCACATACAAAATTCACCTAAGGAGAAAATGAACGGGTACAAGTGCATGTGTCACAGTTACGAAATGATTTTAATGGTACATTTATATTCTGTTTCAGTTTTTTCTTACAGAATGAATAGGTGATTGATTGATTGTATGTTGTTTAACGTCCCTCTCGAGAATTTTTCACTCAAATGGAGACGCCACCACTTGCCGGTGGAGAGCTACAAATTTTGTCCTATATTCGGCACTCAGGGCCACCGAGCAGTGAGGGATGTTTTTAGTACCAGCACCTACTGCGACACGGGACTTCGGTTTATACAGTCTCATCCAAAGGACCTTCACGTCCCACAGTGGGATTCGAACCCGCATCGAAAGGATCTACTCCTTACTTCGGGGCTCTAGAGCAGGCGTTCTAACCACTGATCCTGAATAAGTGAAGATAACAGTGGCCGGTATAAAAAAAACAAACTATACAAATCTGTGACTAGGGCATAAATATGGAACCCTAAAAAGAACAAAAGTGGGATCAGATACCTAAGAGGAGTAAGTGTCTCTTGTTGACGGTCGTATGAATTGATCAAGTAGTAAATCAAATTTAGTATTAAAACAATTGGCATCAGAACTCTTTGCAGTCTTATTTTGCCCACTGCTGTAGATCACTTAATTTTCGCGACACCTTATTTTCGGGAGATAGTCATTCACTCTTTATTAGCGAGAAAAATTTTCACGTACTGTGGTCATTTCTCTATATGAACTTAAGAATTCTTTTATACGCGAAATGAAATTTTCGCGAGCATACCGTCTCTCGTAATTACGCCAAAATAAAGTGCTCACGAATAAAAAGTGATTTACAGTATATAATAACTAATTGATTCCCCAGGATCCTTTCCATTAAATTCAATTTAGTATTTCATTATGCCCTTGCTTGAAAAGCAGGAGTACATAGCGATGTGGATATCCGGTCTTCTGTCCGTCTAGCTGTACGTCCGTTACTCATTCGGATACCCGTCTCTTATCCGCAACTCCTCCTATACCTCTGAATAGATATCTAATAATGTTTATGACATTTTACTTTTTGATCTGACACTTAATTTGGGTCTGCCATATGGCAAAATATGAACTTTAAAATTACAATCATATGGGAGGCGGGGGATAACATTTTGTGAGCTCAGTGCTCACAGTTCATCTGGTACTTTTATTGAAATGATACTCCTTTCTGGCAATGAAAACAAGATTTACAAATGCACGACAATGTAAGCAACAATTCTGTATATTCTTTGCAGACAATATTTAATTCCTTAACAAAAATATTGAAACTTTAACAGGAAGACAGATCCACAGTGTAAAAGTACCGTATTCAGTCAATATCACGAAGCTAGAGGACAACCCTTCTGTTCTGAAATCGTTAGTTTCAAAAGACATCTGTAGAAATCCAGGTGTAACAATTCTTCCACTGAGTTTACAAATATTTCCGAGGTATATATAAATATATATACTAAGGTTTTATGAATTGTTTTCAGTTTATTTTATAGATTTCTCCTCTAAAAACAGAAAAATGATGTTTTATATGTTACATTAAAGTCTTAGAATTCAGAGAATTTAAAACTAACAATAACAATCTAGATTGTAATTTTATTTCAAATTTTGATATTTTATTGTAATTTATGATGTGGTAAATATAACATTACAATAATCACTAAACTTTTGCTTAGAACTGTTATTCTCTTTTTTATTTCATAGTGAATGGACGGCTTTGCTGAATTTTCAAGCATATTGTCAGCCTTAACTGTTGCTGAAATCTAGGAAAGAGGACATCTACTTGTACATCCGGCGGGCAACGTCAAGTGTGCAAGAATATCTTGCTAATGCTAATAATTTTATTCCTCGTATTCTGGAAGTTTTCTGTACTTTATTAAAACCCATTTTACTCCATTTGTCCCTGTTACATGTATATACTGCATGTGTAAAAGAAATAAAATTTATAATTTGAAAAACATTTATAATCTTTTTCAATCGAGAATATTTTTATTATAAATTTTCTGTGAAATTTATCAAATGGAATTTTTTGAACTTGGATACAGGCTAAGCGGTAGTCTATTCACCCTAAGAATGAATGAAATATATGGAAACAACGAACAGCATTCAAGCTCAAAAGTCTGTCAAACAATAAATATCGGAAGCAGAGCAAACACGAAACTCTATTGGATCAGATGACATGGAGGAGTGAGCATCTCCTGTCGACCTGTCAAAACCGCTGTGAGCTTCTTTTCATGATCTGCTCTCGGCAGAAGTGAAAGTTGCAGGTCCATCGGATGAGACCTAAAAAACCGAGGTCTCGTGTCACGGCAGACGTTGGTACGATAAAGATCCCTCACTGCTCAATGGCCCTGAGTGCCGAGTAAAGGTCAAAATTTGAAGCCCTTCACCGGTATAGGGTGACGTCTCTACATAAGTGAAAAATTATCGAATAGGACGTAAACAACATACAATCAATCGATCTTCTCATGATTCGGATATAACGGGAAATTTAATTTAATGTTTAAATAATTGAATAACAATTATTATGAAAAAGGTTAGGCAGCATTTGACTCAATGATTTTGATGGTTGTATTTTCTTATCATTGTATCGACAAATAAACTTGAGATTGATTGATTGATTGTATATTGTTTAACGTCCCTCTTGAGAATTTTTCACTCATATGAAGACGTCACTGTATGCCTGTGAAGGGCTTCAAATTTTGACCTTTACTCGGCATTCAGGGCCATTGAGCAGTGAGGGATCTTTATCGTGCCAACGCCTGCCGCTGACACGGGGCCTCGGTTTTTAAAGGTACTTGGACACAGATTTGAAGTTAATATTTTCTCATTTTTTCTGTATAATATCTTAAATTATATATTTTAATAGCATTTCACACAAAAATTAATTAAAAATCTTATTTCATTTAAAAGTTATTGAAACTTTAAATTTTTTGGCGGGTTTGATTGACACATCCTTTCACTTTCACAAATTTTAACCTTATTCTTAATCCTAAGGAAAAGTGGCAATTTTGATGTGTATTAATGAGAAATATTAAAACTTTTATCAAGAAAATTAATTTTATTCAGAGTAGAAATGTTAGAAAGCAAAACACCTTCACAAGTATCGTCATTCCGAACTAAGAGATGCGTACAGAGATTAGCAAATCGAGCACACTCGTGTTATGTACACAGTTTTTGTAAACAGGGCTCGAGTTCTGTTATTGTTTATATTTAGAATTCACCGGGTGCGTTCAATCGTCACAGTCTGCTTACCACAACTGCACGGACTGACAATATATTGTGTGTTTGTTTTGCTTTCGAACATGTCTACTCTGAATTTTCTGGATTATAGTATTAATATTTTTCATTTATATAAAACGAGATTGCCACTTTTCCTAAGGATTAAGAATAAGATTAAATTTGTGAGAGTGCAAGGATATGTCAATCAACTCACGACCTCCTGATCACGGAGCGAGCGCTCTACCGACTGAGCTACCGTGAACAGTAATAAACTATAAACTTCAAAAGAGACTGCTGATATCCTTGTTTTTATCATCTTATTTTTCGAAAGTTTTTCCCGTTTTAGGAATTGTTCTTACGTAGAGCATGCACTTGGTATCGAATCAATTGAGAGACATAAACCCCAAATGCAGGTGATAAGGATACGTTGCTACGTAAGTAAGGAAAGTTGACGAATGAGAAGTTGAATTCATCATGTTTATTAAAAAGATTTGTTAAGTTACCATTATCGTCCTTCTCTTGTAAAATACTAGTATCTAAATATGAAACAAATGTGTCAGACTCTGTGGTACCTTTTATTTCAAGCTCACTTGGATATATCGGCGCGAAATTTGAATGGAAATAACAATTGTTTATAGATAATGTGTCAATATCATCGAGTTGAAGCCAACAGCAAGTACATGTATTTTCTTTTTCTCGTGTAGAAGTTTTTGATTATATTAAATTATATGAATACCAAAAAAGGTCTACAATAACAAAACTGACCCGAGACCCTGATATATTATAATTGAAATAACAAAGCCAAAAAATGTACAGAGGGAATAAATTTGGTTGGTATATATCTTTGTTGATTTTATGACGTGACCAACCCACTATATTTCCTTTGAAATTCATACAAGATGAGACCGTTCCTTCAGACGAGACGGTATAAATCGCAGTGGGTGCTGGCACGAAAAATATCCCTCACTGCTCAATGGCCCTAAGTGTCGAGTATAGGACAAAAATCTGCAGTTCTTCACCTAAGTGGTGGCGTCTCCATATGAGTGAAAAATTCTCGAGATGGACTCTAACAACAAACGAACAAAGAAACAGTACTCAATTTAGTAAAAGATACTGAAACATGCACTCTATAACACTGGGACCCTGCCTATTTCAAATTGTTTATGCTTTTATTTTTTCATTTAAGATACAATTTGTGTAGACAAACTGCAAAACTTTAAAAAAAAAAAGTTTGTCAATTATTAAAATAACTACGGGTCACCTAGCTGATTAATTCTACCATTTATAAATAAAGTGCCACGCCACAGCATGATACGCCCGTCAAAAAATTACAATTACAATGTATCTTAAACAGTTAAAAGTGCAGGAAAATCATGTCAACCTTGATTTTAAGATTTCAGTAATTTTTACACACCTTAAAAAATTTGTTTATCCATCTCTTGTTGTGTAGGCATTAATTATAACAAACATTGCATCATTCATAGTGTACAATACTAATTTAGTATTAATCATACACTAAAACATCACTTTGTTTTAATTACATTTCACCAATATTGAAAGATCTTTATCTGGACTAGCCATCAAGAACTCTTAATTAACACAAACAACTATGAGGCCATTTCTTTTTGCCCAACTCCCAAGAGATAAATTAAGATAAAGGCTGCATCAGATCTAGAGATGCTCTTAGCTCCTGACAATAAACTCATTAATTTCTCTCTTATTTGACATGCAAATTTCTGCTTTCAAAATTCTTCTTGACCAGTGCTTGATAATTATGCCCATAGGACAAACTGAATTCCTATCAAAGAATAAACATTTGTTACAGATTGCTGTAAAGTATGTAATGAAAAAATAAGTTTTTACTTAATCTAACATTTTTTAATAAGGATACAACTATATTTTTTACATCTTTTAGGATTATGAAATTTAGAATTTAAAAGACTTAGTTTTTTTTTTTTAAAAATCACTTTAATTAAAGGTCACGGCGACCTTGAAATAGGCCGTGACACACCTTCTACTTTAGATGTATACTTTTGCCAAGTTTGAAAGATTTGGGTCTAATAGTTTTCTAGTTATGAGCCGGACAGGATTTTTTCACATTTGGCCATAGCATCTTTGTTGCAAATATATAAAAATTGAAATATAATTTTTTTTCAATGAACACTTATATAATTAGTTTCAATCATATTATACAATAATAATTTAGTTTTAATGATACACTAAAACATCAATTTGTTTTAAATACATTACACCAATTGAAAGATCTTTGTCTGGACAAGCCATCAAGAACTCTTAGTTAACACAAACAACTATGAGGCCATTTCTTTTTGCCCAACTCCCAAGAGATAAATTAAGATAAAGGCTGCAACAGATCTAGAGATGCTCTTAGCTCCTGACAATAAACTCATTAATTTCTCTCTAATTTGACATGCAAATTTCTGCTATCAAAATTCTTCTTGACCAGTGCTTGATAATTATGCCCATGGGACAAACTGAATTCCTATCAAAGAATAAACATTTGTTACAGATTGCTGTAAAGTACATAGTGAAAAAATAAGTTTTTACTTAATTTAACATTTTTTTAATAAGGATACAACTATATTTTTACATTTTTTAGGATTATGAAATTTAGAATTTAAAAGACTTATTTTTTTTTTTAAATTCACTTTAATTAAAGGTCAAAATGACCTTGAAATAGGCCGTGACACACCTTCTACTTTAGATGTATACTTTTGCCAAGTTTGAAAGCTCTAGGTCTAATAGTTTTCTAGTTATGAGCCGGACAGTTTTTATCCATATTTGGCTATAGCATCTTTATTAAAGGTCAGAGCGACCTACTTTTTGTGCGCGACACACCGTCTACCCAAGAAGTATCAGTTTACAAAGTTTGATAATCCTAGGCCTAACACTATTCAAGTTATGAGCCGGACAGGAATGGATAGACGGACAGACGGACGGACGGACGGACATGAAGCCTAAAACATAATACGTCCCGTCTTAAGACGGGCGTATAATACGTAAATTTAATATTCACTAGTGGAAAACATAGGTAATCAAAGATTACGAAGCTCACCTCAACGAATGTTATCAGTTTAAGTAATGGAAATCTCACATCATATTTTCTTAATATTTAGTATTCATCCCATCAACAATATTCTTGCAAGTTGTGTTAACCCCTTACATGGCATACACATTTCTACGCGTGTAGCGTGAAAAACATGTATAGTGTTAACAAATATTCATAACTTTGTTAATACTGCAGATATCAAGGATTTCCAGTTCATTCAGATTGATCTGTTCCCAAAACTTTAACCTGGTCTCTTGTATGGAAAATATCTGTAGGTCAGATCCATCATCCAAAGCAAGTATGATAGTGTCCATCCTTAGATGCATCATCCATGCAAGTTTGGTTAAGGTAGGACTTATAGTTACTTGGGAATGAAAATGTAGGTCAGATCCAACATCCGAAGCAAGTCTGGTAGTGTCCATCCCTAGATACATCATCAGTGCAAGTTTGGTTTAGCTAGGGTTTATAGTTACTTGGGAATAAAAATGTAGGTCAGATCCAGCATCCGAAGCAAGTCTGGTAGTGTCCATCCCTAGATACATCATCCATGCTAGTTTAGTCCAAAAAGGTCTTCTAGTTACTTGGGAATGAAAATGTATGTCAGATCCAGCATCCGAAGCTAGTCTGGTAGTGTCCATCCCTAGATACATCATCCATGCAAGTTTGGTTTAGGTAGGTCTTATAGTTACTTGGGAATGAAATTGTAGATCAGATCAAGCATCCGAAGCAAGTCTGGTAGTGTCCATCCCTAGATGCATCATCTATGCATGTTTGGTTCAAATAGGGCTTATAGTTTCTGAGGAATAGACCTGCTCCAAAAACTTTAACCTGGTCACTCATCTGGAAAATGTAGGTCAGATGCATCAGCAACCAGCATTCCTAGATGCATCATCCATGCAAGTGGACCAGGTAGGGCTTATAGTTACTTGGGAATAGACCGAAGCAAGTCTGGTAGTGTCCATCCCTAGATGCATCATCCATGCAAATTTGGTCCGGGTAGGGCTTATTGTTCCTTGGGAATGGACCTGCACCAAAAACTTTAACCTGCTCCAAAAACTTTAACCTGGTCACTCATCTAGAAAATGTAGGTCAGATCCAGCATCCGAAGCAAGTCTGGTAGTGTACATCCCTAGATGCATTATCAATGCAAGTTTGGTTCAGGTAGGGCTTATAGTTACTTGGGAATGGACTTGCTCCTAAAACTTTAACCTGGGACACCGACGCCGGGGGTATAGCATAAGCTCATCTCGACTTCGTCGAGGTGAGCTAAAAAGGCTCCAATTTAATTTTTGCTGTTGTACTTTAGAACTCAAAATAAAGAAAAAATAATATTTCATCTATTTTTTTCTTATACTAACTTATTAAAAAATTGCTTTCTATGTATATAAGTATTCAACATTATTTTAATATGTGAAATACTCACCTACACTTTATAACAACTTTTAAATGTTAAATCAGTGTGAAGGTGTCGATTTTCTGGCATCAGAATTACTGAAATGATTAGATTTCGTGGCGGCTTAATTTTCGTGAAATTCGTCGGTACCCTTGATCTACGAATTAATGTTCTCCACAAACTATGGTTTCAGAGTCAACATTCATTTTGTAGTTTTTTAATGAATACACGAAATTACGTCCCCAAACACCCTTAAATGTTAAGTATTACACGAAATGGGCCCGCGCAGTTTTTATTATTCCAGGGTACTTCCCTTTTTCTTTTGCAATTAGATGACATCAAAGAACTAGTTGAAATGAATTACTAAGCTATATATGAGCTACATTTTCTGTATAGTAAGATAATGTGAATAATGAAAATGGATATATTATTATATATATTATAAATTATGTGTTTGAAATTAGGAAAAAGGGTAAAGATTTTATAAGCAGAACAATGTCATCGATAGACCACAATCTGCAAATGTTTATATTTATAGCTAGGGTGCTTCATGTTTTATTTAATAGTGAAAATATGGATTTTATATATCAATATTTCCACCTAAAAGTTAAATATTGCGCCGTTGATGTTAAAGTTACATTGAAGCTTATTTTATCTCATTTACCATATCATCCATTAAGAAGTTTGTATGTTTGCTTAAGACGTTTTATCTCGGTTTGATCACTGTACTTGCTGTTGACCAAGTACTTCTTAATGATGGCTGAGTCAATGTATACAATTCTATTACTTTTATGTATTTTTGCAACTCAGGTAAGATAGCACTTTTCATTGAAAATTAAAATTTTGAAATGTCATTAACATGATCAAAGAGGTGTACTTAAGCATTGCAAGTGCAACGCTCAGAGACATAAATTATTGCACTGATAGTTGACATATTTCTTAACCACTAATTCTAAATTGCCGTTTAATGAAAGAATTATATCATTTAGCGGTTGAGAATGTCAACTATTTATGCATGAATTTATGCGATTAAGCGTTGCATTGCAACGCTTACGTATTGATATTTTATATCATTAATTAAGCAGCTTTATCATCAGCGGTTGCTATGAGTCGTCTAAATCTGTTTCAATGATAGCAATTCCCTCCCTTTACAAGGATAAATTTTATTAAATGCAATTCAACTAAATTCAAGGAATAACTCCATTTTTATATTTATTGTATAATTGGTGATATAAGTTGAGTTATTTCATAACTACTCCAGTATATGTCTTAGATTGTACAGGGCAGGATAACCTTCTATGTACACGTACACGAAGTGCAGATCCCTGGGAATAAACTCCAGGACGGGTCCTGTTGCCAGGATGTGACTGGCAGTAACTGTACTAAGCTGTGTAAACCTGTACTCACTGTATGTCTCAGGTAAGGAAAAGAGTTATAGAGTCCTCAGTACCCCCTTGCTTGTCGTAAAAGGCTTCCTTCGGATGAGACCGTATAAACCGAGGCCCCGTGTCACAGCAGGTGTGATACGATAAAGATTCCTCCCTGCTCAAAGGCCGTAAGTGCCGAGCATAGGCCTAAATTTGCAGCCCTTCACCGGCAATGGTGACGTCTCCATATCAGTGAAATATTCTGGAGAGGGACGTTAAACAGTATATAAACAGTATACAATCAATCAATCAATTATTTACACTACTCTTTATTTACTTTTCTTTCTTTATTATTTTGCAAAAAAAAAAAAACTATATTGACAGCTGCTTTTTCAATAAAAATGGAACTCATTAATTCAATTACCTTGTCATTGGTCATTTGCAAAATTATTTTGTTAAAAACAATTTTGATTGTACACACAAGTACTCTGAAGTTGACATCAAAAAGGTGCTTGAGTTTCTGATAAACAATATGCCGTTTTTGGAGACAGGTTCTGGTAACTTTCCTTACTTATGCAGCAATATACCTTCATCACCTGCATACGGAGTTTATATAATGTGAAATCACTGATTTTCGTGGGGTTTATTTTATTTGCGTTGTTTTTTCGTGGTATAAATAGACCCACGAATTCATGTCCATCACGAAATGTAAAATATTACATTCATAACTACTAAGCAATTCTTCATCCACAAATTTAAATCCCCACAAACCAAGAGTTTTTCCTCAAACCACGAAAATATATGATTTTACAGTATCTCAGTTAATGTTATACGCAACAGCATGCTCTACGTATGAACAGTATCTAGAACGATGTAAATTATTGACAAACATTTAGTTGATGAAACAAGAATTTCAGCAGTCTCGTTTAAAGTCATAATTTCGTAATTTCATTAGTCGAAACAATGACCGTCTCAGCAAATACAATTTATCATTGAGTCAAATGCTGACTGACGTTTTTCAAACTATTTGTTAGTCCATTATACATAAACTGAATTGACGACAGATTTTTCCGTTATTTCCCAATTATGACAAGAAGCACACGGCATGTGTGACCGGCCGGCAGGGGATGCTTACTCCCCCATGGCACCTGAACCCACCTCTGATGTTTTGGCGTTTCCTCTGCTCTTATTTTGTATGTTTTATTGATTTTTGAATACTTTTCTTTATCTACATTTGCTTCATTTAAATATTTTTAAATTTTTTTGACTATAGAAATGACAGAGAAACATGTAAGGCGTCCTTTACCACGACGCTGGACATGAACCGAGATGACGTCGTCTATGGTTCCAAACTAGGCAATGCAACAAATCCGTTGTTATTCTCAGTAGACGATTGGGTAATTTCAATTTTTAATCTATCTTTTGGTAACATTCATTTTGGTATGGCATGCAAATTAAATTTTAGAGCTACATGAGACTTTCCTTTTGTATGTAGATAAAATACACAGACCAGCTGATATTTGAGGTCAGAGACATGCAGAACTCCTCATCTCCGCTCATCTTCCACACCGAGGTGAACGCCAACAGTCTCTTATTGGGACGGGACATTTTCACCCCATATTACAAATGGGAAACCTTAGTAGCGGCTCCTTATTTACATAACAATAATACCTTCAGGTATCAATTTCTTTGTCTTCGTCACCATTTGTAAGGCATTAATCTGTGACTGCATCCCATGCACCTTATCAATTTTACATGACCTTTAAGTATCTTTTTTTTCTTCATCGTCAGTTGCTAGCAATGATTAAGGACTGCTTTAATGTTCAAAATCTTAATATTGTGTTGAAGCATATTTTCCTACTATTTTCATCGTATATTTGCCAAAACTTTTCAGTACAATACCTAACACATACTGTAATTTACTTTCCATTCGCGAGAACTGAATTATCGTGTAATAAAACGAAGCAGTCTGTTTTCGAAAATAAAGATCTCGCGTATAATTGTATTATTAAAGATTATGTAGAAAAATAACCTGCAGAATTCGAGAAAAACTATGCAATATTGACATCTCGCGAAAATTAGGTGTCACAAATCTTTGGTTACCTTCATACACAGGAAAAATGTCCACATGTGTTGAACATATGTTAAACATGTGTTTAACATATATTTTTTACACGTGTAAAACACATAAAAGGAGCACACATGTATAGGGTGTTTATTTTTACACATGTTAAACATATGTTTCACATGTGTTTAACATGTGTAAAAATAAACACATTGTATATTTATACATATGAAACATGTGTTAAACATATGTTTTATATATGTTATACTTTATATGTGAATTATACGTGTATAATATTACTGTTGTACTTATTATCATTTTTATACTTTTTTCATGTCTGTCCACATATGTGAATCATATGAAAAGGGCAGCATATGTAAATCATATGTAGTTACATGTGTTCTCTTTCAATATTTATCACAAGGAAAAACACATTCTTGTACACATTTAAAAATCAGATATTTCTGCTTTAGATGAAAATCCATTACATTCCAATGATTGGGTTAAATATTTGAAAATTAATATCTTAAAATGCTTACACAACTTTTTTGATAAATTATTTTCATCAAGAGAAATAACTTATTTTTCAGTGTACTTTCTAAACAGGAAAGTATACAAACAAGTCAGTAGCATTTGTCGATACATATATTTTACATATTCTAAGTTGAGTACAATTATAAGATTTCCACAAAATGATTAAATAGTTAAACATGCATACATGTACAAATGAATAACATAATTAGTCCATGTACTTTTTTATAATTTATATGATTTGACATGAAAGTGTCCAAAGCAAAATTGAAATATCAAATATAACATTTGTCATGTATTATCTATTGTAAATTTATGAAAAATCAAGTTATTTGATATTACAGCATACAAATAAGAATGGGAATTAAATCTTTACAGGTCAAATGCAGACAAGATTGTGTACATCCTCCCAATTTCATAATTATTTCATATATTTTCTTGTTCTTTTTCTTTCTGTATCTTTCAGTTTTCTTCAGTTTCAGTTTTCTTCTCCCTCTGATCTTCCATGAGCTTGACCATTTTGAACTCTCTTTGAACTGTACCCAAAATGCAAATCCACCATTTCTCCCTTTCCTGAACAATTTCTTTGAGGCACAGAATGGTCTCTACAAAAATTTCAAAAGTAAAAATAAAACAATTCTTAAATTACAAAATCAATTCTACAAGTAATATTAAAGTTCAGCAAACAAATGTATGCCCAATTCACCCAAAGAGATATGATAAGAGCTAAAACTAATGTTATATATGCTATACTAGGTGTTTCAGTTTTGTGGAATCCTATGATGTAATTTGCAAGACAATTACACTGTTGGAAGGTATTCTTCATAATAAAGTCATAAAAAGCATTTTTTTTTTTTGATTTTGACAATTAAATTTGGAATGTTCAAACAATATTACTAATTCATATTGGCAAAAATTAAGAAGATTCTGACACAAATATCTTATTTTTGGACAAAAAATACTACAGAGAAGTAGACAGGCAGAAAAACAGACAGTGTGATTCAAACGTTGTTGGGAAGAATATAACAAAGTTTATTTAACAGTGTGTAGTTACCTTAATTAAGCTTTTAAGCAAGTCTTGGATCTTGGGATTTATTCTTATGAGACGCTGACTGTATATTGAACCTGTAAAACAAATATTCACGCAGTAGATATCTTCTAAGCAACACTAAAACTTAATTAAACTACAAAACTACAACTACAAAAAAGAGAGAGTACATGTTTGTAGGTTCTTAATAGTCTTAATTAATATCTTACATTTTACCAGAAACTATGTTCTCTAGTGTTGGAAAAAAATAATAAATGTCAGGTAATGAATACCGGTACATAATAGATGTAAATATCCAATGGATTAATTAGCTAGCTGATGTACTTTCAACAATCAACACATATGCACATGTACTTGTACCTTGAAAGTTGGATGTCACTGTTATTATTAATTTTTAACTGAAATTCAAAAATTCAATAACCCCCCTCCCCCCTGAAGTCATTTACAGTACATGTACCAGTTTCAAAGCCAGCAAATTCTATTCATACTTTCCATATTTTAAAAGTGCACTGGACTAAAACTGTTTTATAATATAGAATAAAATTATTGTAGTATTGAGTTGACTTCATTATTTATGAAGTCGTGCAAACAACAAATGTAGAATTATAAAGGAACAAAAAGAAATTACAATGTATCAAGAAATATTTTGTCAAGAAGGAGTCATTACAGATGTTAACCTTGATTTTTTATTGCAAGTATTTATTTTTACCTTTAATATTGTGAAGATGCAATCTTCTGTCAAATCTGTTATCAGCTTTAGGATCAATCGCCAGTCTTATCAGCTTTGGGCTTTTTAGACGCAACAATGTGACACTGAACTCAAGTTACTGCATGCATCTATAGGCCATAAAAACAAACACTTGTTATTAAGTTGATGAAAGAATCGACTTGACAGCCATCTCAACATATACAAGATACAAGATTTTATTAATCCAATTTGGGCCCCCGGAGGAGCAAAAAGATTTACAAATAGAAGGAGGAGGATCCAAATGATAGAACAAGCATGATGATGATATTACATATAGAGAGCAATTGTTAAAAAAAAAAACCAAAAAAAGTATATAAGAGATATACTGAATATACATACATGTATCGTATTCTAAGTTACATACAAATATATATAATTTATACATATATATATATATATAGTTAAAGGCAAGAAACTCTATATAATAATTTTTTTTTATGCTTATCACAATATCTTCAATTAAGGTAAATTACTAAGGAATCCAGCAAGTGATCAAGGATGTCTGGGTCTTCATTAGTGAGCCAATAAAATTGATTATCATAAGATAGAGACTGAAAATTTTTACATTTAAGTTTACAAATATTTATGAGTTCAAGTCTTTGTACATTAAGTGAGGACATACAAGGAGAAAATGAATTTCATTGAATCTCGTTGTGATGACAAAGTGAACAAATTCGTTCCTCTCTAGGTATTTTTTGATAACGTCCAATTTCAATTTTAAGCCTGTGAGCCGAAATTCTTAACTTTGTTAAAACTGATCTATGTTGATTGTTTGTAAGAATATCTAGATAAGATTCAAAACAAAATTTAGTCTTTATGCTGGTAAATGTAGACAATTTGCCATCTTTATGTAAATTCCTGTCTTTTTCCCATGTTAATTTATAGAAATTCAGTAATATTCTTTTCAAATTGATTTTAAATTGTGGGGTTGACATACCTAGGAAATCACTAAACACATACATAAACACCAACTGACAGTCACAATGGTTTCAAGGTTTCTACTTTCACTTTCATATCAGTACGTAACAAAAGGAAAACCAATAATGCCTTTAAAAATAGCCTAACATGTAATGTTTGTTCATTCAGAAACAAATTTATCCAAAATTACTTACCTGTATACAAATTATAAAAAAATAGTAATGCCTTTAGCCTAACATGTAACCGCTTACATTCACGGGCACTGGAAGTTAATATAAATATATAGTATGTGTATGTATAAGAAAGAAGGGTCTTTTTTATACATACACATACATTAACTTCCAGTGCCCGTGCTTACATTCAGTCAGAAACATTTTTCACCAAATTTACTTACAGATCACTATCGTTAGGTTTACGAAATGCATGACAAGTCACAATAATAAGAGTATTACATGTATATAGAAAGTTCACATACGCACCTGTAACTATAATGAAATGATATTTAAACAATATGAATTAAAAGTCTTTTAAAAAATGTTTTGAGATCACTTACCTTTCCAATACACCCAGCACGTCTGCTGCAGCAGTGACGTCAAAAATGACGTACATTTTCATCCGATAAAAGACAAAACCGGACTGGAGACAAATACGGAATAATTTCAATTTTACTCAAGAAGTAAGCCAAAAGATTTAAAATGAAAAGAAAATGAATTCATTCTTTATCAATTTTGTCTGATTAATGCATTATTACAGAAAAAAAATTGTGAAAGTTTTTTTTAGAAGGGAAAGGGGGGGGGGGGATAAACAAAGTAAAACTTTACATTCTCATGAGTAAAATTTTACTAACATTTACAAATTCTTTTGAATTAATGTACACACACATATGAGATAAAACTTAACATGTGTATATGAATACACATATATTTTATATAAATTAAACATGTATAATTCATCTGTATTTTCGCACACATATATTACATATATATAATACGTGTTATACATGTGTGGTGAAAAACATGTGTTTAACATATATATTATCTCACAAGTGTATAACATGTGTATATTATATATGTTTTACATATAAATGAAACACATATTTTACATGTGTTTATTTACACACATGTATTACATGTATAAAACATATGTTGAACACATGTGAAACCAAACATATGTTAAACACATGTGGACATTTTTCCTGTGTAATTTATCCTAACTAAGTCAGTGCCCAATGTCAACTCTTTGTCGAGAGACTCCCGGCAAATTTATTATTTTAGGGCATGTTTCTCTCATTGAAAAGCACAGAACACGTCATTGCTTATGTTTCCGTAATAATTTGATATTTTTCTACGGAAAAGATATTTGTTTTACAAAATAATGCAATCTGTCGTTAGGGCTCCTGAAGTTTTTCATGCAATTGTCAGGCCATTATTTTTTATATTAAATTGACATTCCCTTTACTCGATCATGACAAAGATCACGCGGCGGATGTTTACTTCTTCATGGCATGTGATCCCATCCCTAATGTTTTAGAGGTTTATTTTTGTTCTGCTCACGATTTGCATTGTTTTGGTAGAGTTTTAGCATTAATCGATTCTTGTTTGTTTTGTTCTCATAAATTAACTTACATTTTTCTAAGATTTCCTTACTTATGCAGCAATATACCTTCATCACCTGCATACGGAGTATACATGTATATATCTCAGTTGATTCGATGCGCAAGAGCATGCTCTAAGTATGAACAATTTCTAAAACGAGGTAAATTATTGACAAGCAAGTTGATGAAACAAGAATATCAGCAGTCTCATTTAAAGTCATCATTTCGTAAGTTCCATGGTCGATACAATGACCTTTTCAGCAAATACAATTTATCATTGAGTCAATTGCTGACTGACGTTTTTCATACCAATTGTTAGTCCATTATTTATACACTGAATTGACGACGGATTTTTTCCCGTTATTTCCTGATCGTGACAAGGAGCACACGGCGGGTGTGACCGGTCGGCAGGAGATGCTCACTCCTCCATGACACCTGATCCCACCTTTGATGTTTTGGAGGTCCGTGTTTGCTCTGCTTCTATTTTGTATTGTTATATGAACTTTGAGATTGAATACTGTTCGTTATCTCCATATCCTTCATTACAGTCATCTCAATGTCTTTTTTTCGTATAACCTCGTAAACCAAAACATATGTATCTTATTATAAGTTCTTTCGGGTTATTAATCTCTTTCAGGATAAGAGTGACGTACAAAGCGTTTTGTTCAGAGGGCTACTATGGATCAGGGTGTAGGTATTATTGTCCAGGTAACCCACAAAAGTGTGTCATCTATAGACAGACATACTGTAAAACAGGTAGGGCTTTACAATTATAATTATATTTTATTTATTATGCTACTATTTGTGAGAAAAAAAAACATCTTTTAAAATTGATATGAAGACTACATGCAGTAAGAACAAAAAGATAATATGTGAGAATAAAGGAGATGGTGATAATATTACACGAATTTGTGAAATCTAGATCCTGAACAAAAGACGAACATATACTAAACAAATTGAAGATGCAAAAGAGAACAATGTATGCAATATGGATAGTTTGAAAAAATGCTTTACATGCTTTAAAACTTGCATCTATTAAACAATTCAAATTAACTAAAAAACCCATAAAATCTAATTTGAACATATAAAAATGCAGCAGAGATATTTAGAAACTTCGGTGCAAAAAGCCATGCATTTTCTCCAGTTATGAAAATAAAACGAATTTAAATAAAATTTTATTCTTTTTAGGGTGGCATGGCACAAACTGTGATGAGGACTTCAATGAATGCGATACAGCAGATTTTTGTAGGCATGGCAACTGTACAAATACTATTGGTGGCTTCCATTGTTCCTGTCCCATTTCCTCTTCCGGTCTGAGATGCCGTTACGACGGGGATGAATGCATAATGGAACTCTGTAACGGTGGAGAGTGTGTCAATCAAGTGAGAGGTTACGAGTGTCTCTGTAAAAATGGAACCATGGGTAAAAACTGTGAGAATCTCACAGATACTCAATGCTCAAATAGCACATGTAATAATCATGGATCTTGCAGCGAACAAGACGGGAGAGCTGTGTGTTCTTGTATCCCTGGATATACCGGAGCTGACTGCTCCTTCAAAGACTTCTGTTACAACAACCTCTGTCAACACGAGTCTACTTGTGTAAACGGAAAAAGAAATTATACCTGTCACTGTCCAAAAGGCCTCATGGGTCCATATTGTAAATCTGTGGATCACTGCGCCAGTAATCCTTGTCTTAATTCAGGAATCTGTACAAACACACTGACAAAGTATCAATGTGAGTGTGTGGATTATTTTTTCGGGACAACTTGCAGCGAATACAATTACTGTGGCGGAAATTGTAGTGGAAATGGTATATGTCACGTGGTTGGGAATGGCCATAACTGTACGTGTAACCCTGGATTTCGAGGTAAGAACTGTGAATACCGGGACTACTGCGTCAACATCTCCTGTTCTAACCACGGTGATTGCTACAGTGCGAGTAATGGCTTTATTTGTTATTGTAATAGAGGGTTCGGAGGCAAAACGTGTAATCTGACAAAATATTGTAAATATAATTCCTGTTCCAGGCCATTTATTTGTAACGACTATAACAACAATAGCTATACCTGTGAGTGCCCAGTTGGCCTATATGGAAGTTCGTGTCAGTACGTTGACCGCTGCCACAAGAACCCATGTGGAACAAACGGAAAGTGTTTGTCTCAGAATGACACGTATCAGTGTACATGCAATTCTGGTTGGACTGGCTTCAACTGTTCAGAGGCTGACTTTTGCAGCCCCAACCCATGTCAAGATAATGGAAACTGCTCCTCTTCATCAAATAATTTTACTTGTTCATGTGAGACTGGGTGGGTAGGCAGAGATTGTAGTCTCCCAGACCCTTGCCAGAACCACACTTGTATAAATGGAGAAAAATGTTCGGTAGAAATTGAGCAAAAGGTTCAAGTCCATACAGGTTCCGATCCTTTCTCGTTAATAACACCATCCACAGCCATTATAGAAGTTGCAACTGCTAAATGTCATTGTCCTGGTTTGAACTGTTCAAGAAGAGATTATTGTGCCTCGTTCCCTTGTATGAACAACGGAACTTGCACAAATGCAAATACAACGTTCCTTTGTACTTGTTCAAAAAGCTGGTATGGGAAAAGTTGCAGCTTTTATGATTTCTGCAGCTCGTCGCCATGCTCAAATGGCGGTGTTTGTCGTCTTAACTCTCAACATAATGACTTCTCATGTGAATGTACGACTGGTTGGGTCGGCAAAACATGCCAAAGTCGCGATGCTTGCCTAGCAACCCCATGTGTTAACAATGGTATATGCGCCAACGTCAACAACTCGTACTTTTGCACCTGTCCTTCAGAATGGACTGGTAAAAATTGCCAATACTACAATTACTGCACCCAACATCCATGTGGGGACAATTCAACCTGTGTTAGCCATGCTAATTCGTACTCCTGTAAATGTGAACCTGGGTTCATGGGTCAGCATTGTGACATCATTGACCGGTGCCATTCCCATCCCTGTCTCCACAACGGCACGTGCATTTTGGAGCCGTACGGCTATCGCTGTCACTGTCTAGGAGGGTACACCGGGGATCAGTGTGAACGAGATTTAGATGAGTGTACGTTTGATCTTTGCCCTGCTAAATCAACATGTTACAATAAAGATGGTGGATACGAGTGTGTTTGGAATAGAAGTCGGCGGCGAAGAATTCCAGAAGGTATGAAATTTTTTCTGGAGTTTGTTTTTTTTTCTCGCACATTCTGAATTGTTTGATGCAGTAAGATGTGTTCTGGATCATATTGAAAATAATCAATTTCTGAATGTTACTGCAACAATAAAGCCTATATTTGTTTTTAGATTTGGGGAATAAATATACGGTTAATCTTTCTGTCAACATTTCCACATTTGATCTTAAGAAAGTCATCGCAGATTTCCATTCAACATTTTCGGAAGAATTTTGCTCACCATCTCAATATACAGTCTTCAAACCAATAAAAATAGTAGTCCTTTCGAGGTAAGATCGAGATACTGCTTTCGTTAATAAGGAATACATGACTTTGGAGTTCGTAACTATGTGTAATGATATACCTTTCAACAATACGACATTGGTTTAGAATCCAAAATTATTGTTTTTGTGCACATTAATTAATGTAGAGTTTGTATTCTTTTTCAGTAACAACCAGCCAATCATATTCCAATATTATGCTTCATGTCAGGGCATTATAAAACATAGTGGGATCCATGAGTTAGAGGAAAAACCGTGAACATTTAGTTTCCTATCATAATGTGTACCAAGGAGAAATCAAACTATATTAAACTATGAACTGGCTTCATTTATTTTGTAGGTCAAGGATACTAGTATATGCTCTCTGTTCCAAAACTTTCATTCCGGAGCGATATCTCAAGCTTTTGCAGTGGAATCTTATGCTTTAACTTCCAAAGGCCTAAAGTGGACCCCTGATTTCTCAAAATAAAAGGTCAAAGGTCTGCCTGCATGCCTTGCTTTAAGTGTCCATCCCCCTTTCTAGCCCCCCCCCCCCTCCTCCCTCCTCGAACCGCTCAAGCTCTTCCTTTTTTCTGAAGCTGGGGACACGGATTCCTCTGGTGACGTCCAAACATGAATGATAAATTCTCGAATGGGACGTAAAACAATATTCAATCAATCTATTCCAAATAAGCAACCTTAAATTCAAAATGATTGTTTTCTATGCCCCCGTAAACGAAGTTTCGGGGTTATGTAGTTTTTGTTGTGTCTGTCTAGCTGTCTGTCTGTTTCTCTGTCTGTTTGTCCTCAAAAACTTGAACCTTGCCATTCACTTTTGATTTGATGGAGCTGTGCCTTTCATATTTCACATATGTATTCCTTGTGACACGACCTTTCTTTGGGTACCACCAAATTTTACCTTTTGACCTTGATCTTGGAGTTTGACCCACTTTTACACAAAAATTCCAAACTTTTACTTTGGCCATATCTTTTAAACAGTAAATACTTATATACTTCATATATGTATTTTTTGTGGCAAGACCTTTCATTGAGTACCAACAACTTTGACCTTTTGACCTTGACCGTGGAGATTTCCGTACTTATGAAAAAACTTTAACCTTGGCCATAACTTTTGAATGGTAAGGGCTACGGCTTTCATACTTCACAAATGTAATCCTTGTGAAAAGACACCTCATTAGATACCAAAAACTTTGACCCTTTGACCTTGACCATGGAGTTTGACCTACTTTTTAAAAACTTTAACTTTGGCCATAACTTTTGAATGGTAAGGGCCAGCACTTTCAGACTTCCCATATGTAATCTTTGAGGCAAGGCCTTTCTTTAGAAACCAACAACCTTGACCCTTTGACTTTGAACCCAGAGTTAATCCTACCTTTAATAATGTTAAACTTGGTCAAAGCCTTTGAACAGGTGGTTCTAGGGTTTTATATTTCACATTTGTATTTCTTGTGAAAAGGCCTTACTTTAGGTACCAACATATTTGAGAAGTGCATTTGAGAAAGATTAACCTTTGCTATGTTGCCATATGAGGCAGCAGAGTTTTACAAACACATCTTGTTTTTCATTCTCTAATTACTCATTTTTATCTCAAATACATTTAACACTTTCCCTTGCTTTTCGTATTCAGTAATTTTTCAGCTTTTTACTAGTTTATTTTTTAGATTTATACTTTAGATAGGAAAAAAATAAAATGGCATTTGAAAAAAATTTACTAAATTAAACAACATTTGTAAAATATAAATACATGTACAAATATAGATATTAAAATAAATTTTGGCAGAAACATTGAAAATATAGAGTATATTTTGTTTAAATTTTGTCTTGTTTACAAAATTTGATTTTGAAAATCCTCAATCCTTCTGTAAAAGGCAAAATCGCTCTCTACAAATAAAACCAAAATACTTCAAAGTAAAAAAAAAAGACTTTCGTACCTCCTCCTCAAAAGTAAAGTGAGATTTACAATCATTAGGCATATTGTCTCCATTAGGAATACACAGGGAGTAAACTTTTATTTATGCCTGTTATATAAAATCTATTATTTATTACATACCTATTTGTGAAATCTACAAAGGATTTGACAAACTCCAATTCTTTTCCAGGATGATCTGTGATAAAATCTTTAATTTTCTCATGCTGTTCTATACCTGTCTCCATCCAAAGTTTCCTGGAACAACAAAAAAATTAATTTATTCTCCAGTCTTGATGTAAAAGCATAAACATTCTTTAGGCCACACCAATAAAATATTTTGTTCGTCGGACCGGCGCTCTCCTATTTAAACTAAACTAATTAAATAATATCAATTTAAAATTCCAGCACCATGGGAATTCTGTGCTGTTTTCTGTTCTATATCATACTTTTAATCTACTTACTCTGCAAATCAGAAAAAATATAATTGTCCGCTCGAAATTTTTCACGCCCTGCCTAAACATTTTGCCCACAAAAAAGTAATATTATTATTATTTAACCGCTAGCCCGCTCGTACTTTTTTCATCAAATGTCCGACGAACAAGAAATTAAATTGGTGTGGCCTTATCCTAAAAAAATTTAAATGTGTGTCAGACAGGCTAGGAGGGGGGTGTTCAGCAAAGCTCTTACCCTCCTTTCTTCAGTAACATGGGGGCCACAGATAACAAATGTCTGATAAAATCTAGACCATCTTCACCACCGTCTAATGCTAATTTGTCTTCATATCTGTAGCACACAAGAATAATAGAATTATTTCTTGTAAAGGCACATCAGATAAGCACTGTTAAAAGTTTACAATACTAACTTCAATATATTTAGCAATTGTTCATTTGTTGGTTGCTTTACAGAATGATGTACTTGATGAAAAAGACTATTTACTAAAACATACTTGATGTAAGCATGTTTGCTATGATTCTAAATTATGTGTTCTTGCAGATATTCATTAATAATAACTCAAGAATTCCAACACATTCATATGATTTAAAACTTAATAAATAGATGTTTCTGTCAAATGTAATCCTTGTTGACTCTTTTTTAATAAATTAATTTTTCTACCTTTTGACCTCTGGGTCAAGGTCATCAATGTCTGCAGTGGGTACATATGGAGGATTACTAATGATGAAGTCAAATGGACCCAACCCTGAGATCAGCTGAATATTCTCTGAAAGAAAAAAGAATCTTTATTTCATATTCAACTGAGTACTAATTTCATAAATCACTATATCGTAATCAAATACAGGTCAAGGTTATGACACAGTGACCAGAAGGACAGGATATTGAGCTGTAATAATTTGTGTACAAACCTTGCCTTCTGAAGTCCACATTCAGGATATTAGCTCTCCCCTGTACTTGATATCTGGTAAGATTCTCCATTGTAAGATGACAGGCAATGTCACTGATATCACAGGCCACTGCTGATATCTACAGGAATAGCATGTAAAATCTAAAATCCAAAAATCTCAAATTGAAAAATGTTTAACAAAATAAAATATTAGTTATATACAACATCAAACAAAGCTGTACAGGGATTTTTCAAAGGTTTTAAGCTCACCTCAACGAAGTTGGGGGAGCTTATGTAATACCCTCGGCGTCGGTGTCGGCGTCCCAGGTTAAGGTTAAGTTTTTTTTGGAGCAGTTTTCTTTTTAAGTACTTCTATGTCCTATATTGATTAGACATGCATGGAAGATGCTTCTAATGTGTTTCATTGTACCAGTCAAAGTTTCAGATGCTGCAATTTCAGCAAAGGAATGACCAGGTTAATATTTTTGGAGCAGGTTAACATTTTTGGTGCAGTTTTTTGGTGCAGGTCTCATTTCCAAGTAACTATAAGCCCTATGTTGACCAAACTTGCACGGATGGTACATCTAAAGATGCACATTACCAGGCTTGCTTCAGATGTTGAATCTGACCTACATTTTCTGGTTGAGTGAACAGGTTAGAGTTTTTAGTGCAGGTCTCATTTCCAAGTAACTATAAGCCCTATGTTGACCAAACTTGCATGGATGATACATCTAAGGATGTACACTACCAGGCTTGCTTCAGATGCTGAATCTGACCTACATTTTCCGGTTGAGTGAATAGGTTAATGTTTTTGGTGCAGGTCTCATTTCCAAGTAACTATAAGCCCTATGTTGACCAAACTTGCATGGATGATACATCTAAGGATGTACACTACCAGGCTTGCTTCGGATGCTGAATCTGAGCTACATTTTCTGGTTGAGTGAACAGGTTAAAGTTTTTGGTGCAGGGTTCATTTCCAAGATACAATGAGCCCTATAATGTCCAAACTTTCATGGATGGTACATCTAAGGATGCATACTACCAGACTTGTTTCGGATGCTGAATCTGACCTACATTTTCTGGATGAGTGAACAGGTTAAAGTTTTTGATGCAGGATTCATTTCCAAGGAACGATGAGCTCTTTAATGACCAAACTTGCATGGATGATACATCTAAGGTTGCATTCTACCAGGCTGGCTTCAGATGCTGAATCTGACCTACATTTTTTTCTGGATGAGTGAAGAGGTAAAATTTTTATGCAGGTTTCATTTCTAAGTAACTATTAGCCCTATGTTGTGCAAACTCGCATGGATGATACATCTTAGGATGCATACTAATGGACTTGCTGAATGGATGCTGAATTCGACATACATTTTCCAGATAATGGACCAGGTAAAAGTTATGGGTGCAGGTCTATCACCAAGAAACTATAAGGCTTAAATAAATCAAACTTGCCCAAATGATGCATCAAGGGATGAAAACTCTTAAACTTGCTTCAGATGCTGGATTTTGATCACATTTTTGTAATTAAGAACTAGTTTGAAGTTTTTATATAGGTCTATTCCAAAGTATCAGATCAAAATTGCATAAATTTTGCATTTTTGGATGTACACTTTTTGTTGGGTAATTGTGTGACTTTGCCTTACTTAAAGACAACATTTGTTGAGGTGAGCTCTGTAATCTCTGATTACCTATGTTTTTTATTCCATACACCTTAAGGTATAGAAGAATGTATGGACTCCAACCTTTTGTGTTTCCTTTCACATCATTCATTGGACCTGATAAAGAATATATTCTCTATTTAACCATATTAATTCCCTGTAATCCCAAGTTCAATCACCTGTGTTTCATACTGTTTATCATTCTACGTTGTTGTATCAAGTCATTTTATTTGCAAATTATGATAAGGAAAACTATATGCATATTACCTTATTTGCTCTGACTCAAGCTTGTATTGTGGAAATTTACATCAAGTTTGCTTTATGTAACAAATCAAATCTCATGGCTAGATAAGGAATAGCACTTTACATACCAATGGAAGCTTAGCAAGTAAACACAGAGTTACTGCTCCTGATCCACAGCCAACTTCTAGGAATTTCTGACTTGTCATGTTTTCCTCCACGTCTTGTATTACATGCTGGACCAGTTCCTTCAAAATTCACCAAGAAATTTCTAATTCCATTCCATGATACATGTATTATGATGGCCTTTAACATACCGTACAAATTTTTTATTTATACAAAATTTTATTCACAAAGTGAATGGGATTGGGCAGCAGGCAAAGCCTATTTTGGATATCTCAGTTGGTAGAGCACCTGACTGGAGATGCAGGGGTCCCAGGTTTGATTCCCGAACCAGCCTTTCATTTTCTCCTTTCCTGTTACACAAGTATACTCAGGTAGCGGGATAAAATGATTAAAGATTTAAAGTACATGGGATTATTTGTATACATGTACTTGCAGAATACACTGGTAAAAAAAATCGACAGGCATTTCAATTAATTTATCATCTCCAAATTTCTAAAAATAAATGTGTGAATAATTATTTAGTCATTCTTTATGTTTGCATTTATTTTTATCTGACAGAAATGAAAACATGAAATAATATTAATAATAATACTTCTCATACTCTGCACAAAAGCGAAAAAGCTCTTAAATAGTAACACTACAGATGAAGTAATTTAGCATCTTTGGGGAGGGGGGCACTTTTAAAACATATTTATACCTACCTCTGTTTCTGGCCTAGGAATGAGGACTGGTGGGGATAATTTAATTGTGAACTCATGGAAATCCCACTCCTGTATCACATACTGTACTGGCATTCTTCAGTTGGTAAGATTTACATGTAATGAAAACAATTTCTCAGATTAATTTTGTCAATGAATAGCATTATGCTTGCAGGTAAACACCATATTAGTTGAAAAATCAATATACATGTACATGTACTAGACACCAAGTTCATGCACCTTTGCAAACGCCTCATTGCAAGTTGTTTGATTTTATCTATCTGTGTTTCAGTTATTATCTGCTTCTTTGGAATTTGGTGAAACTGAAAAATAATATATCGATGCCTTTAATACTGATTTGGACAATGAAAGAATTATCTAACAAAAGACTGTATATTTAAAATAATTTGTGATAACTTAAAAGAAAACTTATCACAGTTTTATTCATAGACTGTGTAGTAAATGATTGGAGACATGTACTTTGCTATATAAAAAATATATATTGCCAAAATCATGATAACAAACCTATGAAACAAGTGCATACAATGTACAAAACAAAGGCCTAAGCTTTATTTCAAACTATTTTGGGTTTTTTTTTTTCTAATATTACATATGTTTGTCTTTGCCTAATGTTTACATCATAAAAATTTACTCACATTCATAAATTTACACAGAAGTCTCCACAAAACTATATCATCTTGTTTGAATACTTGAATACTTATAATCTGATCAGTGAGATTGGTAGAGACTTAAAATATTGCTCTTATTAGCTGCTGACATCTACAGCTCCAGCACAACACAAAAACATTGTTTTTTTGTAAGAAATAAACAAAAAGTTGCAAGTATTTGACTATTCATATCATATGTGTATATATAGGCTATCAAAAATACAACTCAAATCATAGATAGTTCTATAATATTGCAGCTGTTGAATATTTTTAAGCAAAAGATGAATTTTCATTTGTTTGAGTAATTGTGCACTGCCTTGTGTGCGGTGAGGTGTGGATAAGTATGATTGGTTCTCATTGTGCTGTTACCAATCAATTATCCTGTTGACCGTAACTGACCTACTTTATAATTTCATTCAAGAAGTAACTGTGTGGTCTGAGTACAAAGTCTTACAAGGAGACATAATTTGGTGAGTGATTTGTAAAAGGATAGTATTCAGAAGAATTCATAGTTGAATCACATGGGCTTGTGAAGAGAAAATAAATCAGTTAGAAAATAAATACTTTGGAGAAAAAACACTCAGAGGTACTAATTTTCTAACTGATTTATTTTCTCAACACAATTGCCCCCATGTGGTTGAATATTATCACTGCACCAAAGTGCGACTTTTTTGTACATGCAGAAAAAATAACACATCTTCGAAAAAAATTGTGCTAAGATAGCTTAATCAAGCTTTTCTTAATCACTGTTAATTAGCTCCTTCACGGTAACTGCGGTACTACTCTTTTGCAGGGCAAAATAATAATGTTTGGCGAAGTTTTTGTTGAGAGATAATTAAATGACGTATATTGAACAATTACTTTTACGTCATATTTCACCAAAATATATCATTTTGCCCTGCAAGAGAGCAGTACTGCAGTTATCGTGAAACGGTCTATTACTTTATAAAGCTAAATCTAGGCCTACAGGTCTGGTACAATCACTAGATTTAGCTACGTAGCTTGATTTACCTACATAGCTTTATTTACCTACCTGAGGTAGCTTTATTTAGCTACCAAACTGATTTATTTCTGTTAATGTCATTTTGATGCAGTGATCATTTTCAACTTTGAACTCATCTGAAAACAACTCATGAAAAAATCCCTCTTGGAAAAACGTCTTTTTCTGCGCAATTGCAATCAAAGTTCTGAAAGTTTTGGGGCTATGTATGACAGTTAGAACAGTTACTCCTTGAATGAAATGACAAAGAAGTCCAGTTCCAGTTAACACAATAATAGGTCGGTAATTATTCAGCACAATGTGAAGTAATCATACTCAGTCATGCCTCACTGAGAGGACAGTTAACCAAACAATGGAATTACATGTTTTGCTCTAAATTGTCCAAACGCAGCATTGTATAAACTATCTCTGCTTTGGATTGTTTTTTTAAGCCTCCCTAGTATAAATATCAAGAGTCATTTAATTGCGACTTTTTGTCTCTTTTTAATAAAAAGAAAACTTCTGAGAACTCACCTTGAAATAGCTAAATAAAGCTATCTGAGGTAGGTTAATAAAGCTACATAGGTAATTCTACCTACGTAGCTAAATCTAGTGATTGTACTGGACCTGGCCTACATGTATAGCTAAATCAAGAGATTGCGTTGGACATGTGGTCTAGACGAATCTCTGACACAAAAAGTGAAAAAGAAATGAATTAGCTGTCCGCTTCAACTTACCATCTTTTTGCCCAGTACATGTGCAATGATATATTCTGCAGACAAATGCGATTCCTCTTTTTCAATCCCAACATTTTGAAACTTTCTGCTCAATTCAGCACACACATTTTTTACATCACCGGGTTTTGTACAGCACAATTGATGACGATTAAAATTTCTAATGATGTGAAAATCTTTCCTTTTAAATTTCAATAACCATCGCATTATTCATGTTATTTGTTAGTTCTTGAGTTATGTGAAAGAAATAGTGAAACTGAAAGTAAATCCACGTGAAAATGAGAAATGGGAAGTCGATCAAAACTTATTCTTAAGATCATATTCAGTCCATATGTAACATATATTTTCTTTTTCTTAACAGCTTTCAGATTTGATCGCATGTGATCAACTTTGATATTTAAGATAGGCTAGTACCTTTATCTCCTTAATATCGTTTACTTCGCATTTGATCATGATGAGCGAACTAATTATAATTTGGAAACTGAAAGTAGATTTTAAAAAAAAGTCAATGGTTGACAAGTTCAGTGGAAGTTCACAAACCGGAATGATGACGTTTTCATAAAGATGATCGTACTGGACTTGATGTTATATTGAGTTTTTATCTGGAAGGAAGTATTTAACGTTTAAATTTGACCTGTGATTTTTTTAAATGCTTCTAAGGGATTTGTACTAGCTTAGTTTTAGTGGTGGAAGTTGATTAGATCAGAGACATTTGATTAGATCCAAAATTGGCAAAAAAAACCAAAAAAAAACTTGTTGAATAGGATACAGATTTGTTGCTGAGGAAGATAACATCATGTGCCATCAAATTATTTCCTAGCATTTCTAAGCCTCCCAAATCGGAACTTGAAATGGAGAAGTTTGTCGTCTGTTTATTTCTACTTTCACTCTTCCTGAGTCCATCTAGTGCGACCTGTAACGGAGAATCTGAGGAGTGTGCTGGTGGATCTAAAGAAGAGGGGTGTGGCTGCTCCGTCAGTCGAGATTCTTCAAAATACTCAGAAAAAGAACCTTCCATTGATAAAACTGAGGAACAAATTATTGACATTGATGATCTTGCGAGGACCAATGAGATGGTATTTATAGAGCGAGGGACATTTACGATGGGGACCAATGATCCCATCTTCCCTGTGGATGGAGAGAACCCAGCCAGAAAGGTGACAGTGGATTCATTTTATCTGGATAAACATGAAGTTAGCAATGCGGAGTTTCAGAGATTCGTAGAGGAAACAAATTACGTGACAGAGGTATGTGCCAACTGAAGGTCTGTATTATATTGTCTGCTTATAATGTTATATTTGGGAAGTATTTACGTTAACTTTATACTTGATGTAAATTGACTTCATCAATGAATTGCTCCCCTGTCCTTCAGTTAATGAACTTGACTTGTATGCGTAGTTTGATTTATTTAAAATAACAAAACCTATTTTCCTGTAGGCAGAAAAGTTTGGAAATTCCTTCTGTCTGGAGAAATATGTTAGTGAAGAAACTTTAAAGAATGTAACACAATCTGTAAGTAGTATTTTTCCCTCAATGTTAATCTTCTCTTTATTTGAAAAGCCATGTAAAGGGAACACAAAGAATAAGCATATTTAGTTGACAATGTGGTCATGGTGTTTTTTTTTTTCATTAATCAGAATATCATGATTGTAGGAAAAAATTATAGATTGATCAATTACTAAATAAAACATGTTTTCTATGTTCTCTGCATAGGTTGCTGCAGCCCCCTGGTGGGTTCCTGTGAATGGTGCAGATTGGAGACATCCTCAGGGGCCAGATTCATCCATTGAAGACAAGTAATCACTCAATTTTACCTGATACAGGTTTCAAAGATAATGCTGTCATTATCTAATCAGATAATCACAAAAAAAGTCTAAATGATTTAGGAATAACTGTGTTTTGGCATAATTTGATATCAATTAAGATACACAGAAAATACCCTTATTAAAGTTATATAAGTACCCGGTATTTTCTATTTACCTGTAGAATGAACCATCCAGTCGTACACGTGTCATGGAATGATGCTGTGAAATATTGTGAGTGGGCCGGGAAGAGATTACCAACTGAGGCAGAGTTTGAGCGTGCTTGTAAAGGCAATCTTCAGTCAAGGTCAAACCTTCCACTGTTCATGTCATTTTGATAAAAATTAAAATTGATTTTCATCTTATGCAAATGAAGCAAAACATGCACAGAAATCTAAGTTTTGTTTTATAAGTTTCTTCAAAGCAATCATGTAGTTTTTAAAGAACTGTATGTGTTCCAGGCTTTTCCCCTGGGGAAATAAAGAGGAACCCAAAGGGAAACATTGGATGAACATCTGGCATGGAAAGTTTCCCTCAGAAAACACGGCCAACGATGGCTACCACACCACAGCTCCTGTGAGTAAGCTTATCCATAAACAATTCATTTTATGCATAGAATTAATAAAAATAGTATTATCTTTAAGAGTTAACAAATAATGAGATCAATGTGAATTTTCATACTTTATACTCAAATTTGTAATTTTCTATCTTTATAAGATTTCTAAAATTTTATTAACGAGTTAAAAATTCTAGAAATCCATGTTTGTTCTGCGCCTGATTTGTCTTGTTTGAATGTACTTTTGAGCTTGAGAACTGTTTGTTAATTATCTTATATATTTTGTTCAATTTGATGACCCAAATGTTTTGCTCTCTCTCTTTCTCCAGGTACATCAACATTTCATTATTGTTGTTATTCTGTAAAATTTCTTTTTAAAGGTAACAGAATTTCCAGAACAAAACATTTTTGGTGTTAAGAATATTATAGGAAATGTTTGGGAGTGGACACAGGACTGGTGGGAGACCAAATTTACTCCTACACCCAAGAAAAATCCAGTAAGTTCACCTGGCTTCAAAGAAAAACCAACACCTGTTAATGATTAATATTCTCTTTCACCAAAGGATTTAACCTTACCCAATCTCTTCCTCCCAAAAAATCATATTATGTTTATCCAGGTAAAATACACTGTTACCCTCCATTCAAACCTACAGAATAAACCCTGTTTGTTAAGAACACTTAAAGGATTGTTATTTTATTTCTTACAATTTTTTTCTCTGTCTTTTTTTTTTATAAGAAAAGAAAACTAGCCTAGTTGAGAAACATACAGGATATGAAAACTTTATTATGTCCTTTGTTTATTACAGAAGGGACCAAGGATTGGAACAGATAAAGTGAAGAAAGGAGGATCCTTCATGTGTCATAAAGTAAGTTTATTTGTCAGAGCTGTTACAATTTTATTTTACACTATAGAGAAAAATTATCAATGTTTAATTAATAAACAGAAGTACGTGACTGTATTTAAAATATGTCTGACTCTGGGGGAGATATACATGTACAGTGTACATGTATCATATATAATGGCAGCAGTTATGGAGATGACATTGGAAGGCTGTATTAATTAAATGATTCCCTGAATCTTTGAATGTAATTAGCAGAAATGGTGATGATTTCTATAATCAGGTTCTTTAAATCATTGGAACGAGGGGGATTAGTTACGATTATTTCAGTGCTGTAGTATCTTTACAAAAAGATATTTATTGCTAAACAAGCTGACTTTTCAAAATTTCTGATACTGCTGCAGGCATTAAGATTTCACTGTGGATGTGATACTGTTTTTTCAGATTTACTGCTACCAACTGTAAATGTGATGGGTTTTTTTTTTTCAGAAATACTATTACCACTATAGATGTTGTCTTTTCAGAATTACTGTCAATGTTATAGATGTAATGTTGTCTTTGCAGAATTACTCTTGCCCAATACTGCTATGTTGTCTTTTCAGAATACCGTAACCGTTACCCCTGTGTTGTCTTTATTTTAGAATTAATTTTACTGCTCTGTTGTTTTTTTTACATATATGGTCACTGCTATGTGATTGATATTATCTTTTCAGAATTACTGTTACCGCTATGTTGTCTGTACAGAATTACTGTTACCGCTATGTTGTCTTTACAGAATTACTGTTACTGCTATGTTGTCTTTACAGAATTACTGTTACCGCTATGTTGTCTTTACAGAATTACTGTTACCGCTATGTTGTCTATACAGAATTACTGTTACCGCTATGTTGTCTATACAGAATTACTGTTACTGCTATGTTGTCTTTACAGAATTACTGTTACCGCTATGTTGTCTTTACAGAATTACTGTTACTGCTATGTTGTCTTTACAGAATTACTGTTACCGCTATGTTGTCTTTACAGAATTACTGTTACGGCTGTGTTGTCTTTACAGAATTACTGTTACCGCTATTTTGTCTTAACAGAATTACTTTTACCGCTAAGTTGTCTTTACAGAATTACTGTTACCACTATGTTGTCTTTACAGAATTACTTTTACCGCTATCATGTTGTCTTTACAGAATTATACTGTTAACGCTATGTTGTCTTTACAGAATTACTGTTACCGCTATGTTGTCTTTACAGAATTACTGTTACCGCTATGTTGTCTTTACATAATTACTGTTAACGCTATGTTGTTTTACATAATTACTGTTACTGCTATGTTGTCTTTACAGAATTACTGTTACAGCTATGTTGTCTTTTACAGAATTACTGTTACTGCTATCATATTGTCTTTTCAGAATTACTGTTACCGCTATGTTGTCTTTACAGAATTACTGTTACCGCTATGTTGTCTTTTACAGAATTACTGTTACCGCTATCATGTTGTCTTTTGCAGAATTACTGTTACCGCTATGTTGTCTTTAACAAAATTACTGTTACCGCTATGTTGTCTTTTACAGAATTACTGTTACCGCTATGTTGTCTTTTACAGAATTACTGTTACTGTTATCATATTATCTTTTCAGAATTACTGTTTCCGCTATGTTGTCTTTACAGAATTACTGTTACCACCATGTTGTCTTTACACAATTACTGTTACCGCTATGTTGTCTTTACAGAATTACTGTTACCACTATGTTGTCTTTACACAATTACTGTCACCACTGTGTTGTCTTTACAGAATTACTGTTACCGCTATGTTGTCTTTACAGAATTACTGTTACCGCTATAGATGTGACGCTAGGAGTCAGAATACACCAGACAGCTCTGCCATGAATTTAGGATTCCGTTGTGCCAGTGATAAACTGCCAATATACTTAGAGGACATTACAGAGGAAGTTCTAAAAGATCAGGATAACCTGCTAAAGGAAGAACTCTAGTGATGTTACAAGTGCAATAACAAAATCATTTTATAGTAACTCTGCCCTGATATACACAATGTTTTATAGCTTTTATACTTTCCAACAAATCATCTTTGAAATAAAAAGAACCAGAAAAGTTCACCAAACTATAGTTCTTTTGTTGTTTTGAACATATTTTATTGACAAGCAAAAGGATAAGAAACAAGTTCTAACAACTTACTAGTTTTTCTCCTTAACATAAACACATAGTCATGCAAAAGGTAGAAAAAAAACTTGTACAAATAAGAGTCAATAATATATCTAGTTAAATCTACAAGATTCATTTATAAATTTGTGAACAGCGGCAAAAATGCCAATGTTTACTTCAATTGAAAGATTTTCGTTGCCCCAAAGCAGTAGGTGTACATTTATGATGTCTACATCAAGTCGAAAAAGATAGTCAAAAAGATTACTTCGAGCATTAAGGTATTTTTTACAAACAAAGAAAAAATGATAAGCATCTTCCTGTTTGCCACAAGAGCAATAAGGATTATCAATAATATTACGTTTAAATAAGTCTTGGTTCAATACACAGTTGTGCCTTAATTTAGTATGAATAATGTTAGTAATACGTTTACCAAACAAAAAATATGATGGTGCTTTAGGATTATTATCACTTATAATCTTACGAAAAGAATTGACTGAGATGGTTTCCCTTGTATCTGTATTCAATAAATTCCATTTTTTAACAGCATCAGGTACAAACGATTTGTTAAATATTTCTAACCTGCCTCTTGGGATAGTTAATTGATCTTTATTTCGTGTATTGTATCTTGATGTGTGTTCTCGTTTCTTTGGTACTATATCTTGTATATATTCCGGTACATCACAATAATTAATTTTGAACATTGTAATCATTTTAGATTGGTAACGACGACTTTTCAAAGGTACCCATCCTGTTTCAAAATAGAGTGATTCTCTTGAAGCTAATATCGGAAGACCAGTACCTATTTCTAGTTCTTTTGTTGTTGGGGGGGGGGGGGGGGGATAGAGAGTTTTTAATTTTTATTTTGCATTGTTTTGTATAATTATACAAAATTACTAAATATAAGTAATTGCGAAAATTGCAGAAAAAAATGATTATCTGTAACCCACATAAGCACTTTAATGTTTTATTTTAGTGGCTTTGTGAGAGATGATTGTACGAGGGTAGTTCAAAAAGTTTGTGGACTGATGTGATAAAATTAATACAATGTAATCTATGCTTATAAAATTTTTAAGGAACATAAAACAACAAAAGTTAAAAAAAATGTTGAACATTTTATCTTGATAACTTGCATATTTATGAAATTACCTTAAAATAAAAAAAAGACATTAAATGATCCCCTGGTGCTGTCGCCATTTAGTTTCATGACGTCATTGTTTCTCCATGCCCACGTTTTCTACCTCATACACATCTTACTGAGATTCCTTGGAGTCAAAGATTTAAATTGGTCTTGTTTATTTGATCGCACAATGTCATAAACAGCTAATTTCAATGCATATAGTTTTGTAAATGGATCTATACATCATAAAAGATCCAAATTGATCATAACAGCATATTTGCTTGTTGGACTTCAACATCTATCACACATGATCAACGTCACTTCTCGACGTGACAAACTTTGAACACCTTTACTACAAATGGAAAATACCTTTGGACATTTCATTAAAAAATTTCAAAGAACTTGAAGAATGGGGTAAAAATTTCAAATTTTACGGTACAATTTTGTCATGGTACATGAGTGAATTAACGGAATTTTTGGATGACAAATGCTCATATAAAAAAAGGTTTTTCTCAGTCACACATGGATAGAAAAAACGTAATCTTCGAAGTTGTGCCGCCTGGACATACCTTTGCTTTCAAAAACATCAACAATTTATTAAAAAATAAAATTAACACTGTATAGTTTATCAAATAAATAAAAAAAAGATGATGTTTATCAAACGTTGAAAAATTCATTAATGTATCTCAAGCGGGTTCAATTTTATGGCATTAGTTCCGAACAGCTCTCATATTCATTTTTTCAAAAGGTTATTAAAGTCACTGGGTTTGTTATTAATGAATTTAAATAAAAATAGGCGATTTTAAATTCTTTCTACTTAAGTTTTGGGAATTTTTATCTGATTTGCACATCAGTAGGTCAAAAGTTTAATTCTCCTATGGTGTATATTTCATAAAGAGAAGAGAAAGAGATTCTTATTGAGCATTTGCTGGACTAGGCAAACGGATCACCTTTGTTGTCTAAAATGTTAAAAGTAGTAAGCTATGAAATGTAATTTTTATCCTGAGAAAGAGAAACTTGCATACAATGTATAAACTGAATTTCCTGATGTAGAATTTCTTCTTAGTACAGTAAAGTTATCATAGTGAGCATTACAAGCAAAGAATGATATCATTATAAGGACCCCGTTGTATGCTAGAACCATAACACATTTTTCATATACTTTTATTCTGATTTTACACGATCTAAGTACACAGAAGTTGATAGTAAAGAGTGCTGGAGTTCCCAACATTCATGCAGACTTTGGAGACAAAATCATTCAGAAAACTGTGGAATTTCATTGGGTACTAATTGCGCTCCTTTATTATCCAAACTGTTTTTTCTATTCCCATATAAATAGAATTCATGAAAAACATTTACATTATAATTAGAAGAAGAAAAATATATGCAATGACCTTCAACTGGACATTCAGATAGCCTATATTGACAACGTCTTATCAAATAGTTATTTCAATTCCTATTTTGTCTCGACATTTCCCATTTGACTTTAAATGAACTTGACACTATAGATTCTGCCACATTCGTTTTATATTCGGATATTTTACTTACCAAAGCCGAAAACGGCAATCTAAAAAGATTAAATTGTATGACAAACGAGGCACCTTTCTACTTTCCTTATTTATGTAGTCATGTTTCGCTACCACCTGTATATGATGTTTATGTCTCTCAGTTTATTTGAAACTCGAGCGCATGCTCCGAATATGATCAATTTCTAAAATGACTGAGGCTAGCTACTCGCACATAAATTGATGATACAGGGATTTCAACAACCTCGTTTTGAGTCAGCATTTCGTAAATTGTTTGGTCATTAAAATGACCTTTTTAGGAAATTCAACCTATATGTATTCCTTTGGCCATTATATTGACTCACTTGTTCATATTAATATTATTGTTTGGCCTTTGTTTTTGTACTAAAATTGATTATAGAATGTTCCGTCTTTTTGATCTATACATAGGGCCCACCGTGGGTATGATCGGACAACAAGGATTGCTTTACTCGACCTAGGCACCTGATCCCACCTCTGGATAGTCCGAAATATCTGACGTTTTCCAGGCTTTTTTTTCGATTTTGATATTTTACATGCCAGAAAAACGTGTCCCTGGCATGTAAAATATCAAAATCAGAAAAAAGCCTGGAAAACGTCAGATATTTCGAACTAATCTCTGGAATGTTTATGCTCTGTTCACAGAATTTTATTGTTGGTTTACATGCATGTTTGTTGATCGCTGTTTAGTTATCTGCATTTTTTTTTTTTACAGATTTCCTACATTTTGCATACTAGTACGTATTGTTGATCAAATACTATAATCAATAGAAAAAAACGAAAACATAGGCGAATAAAGCATTGAAATCGCTTATGCTTCGATTATTACTATTATTTTAAATATATGGAGATAACAAACTGAATTTAAGCTCAAAAGTCCAATCAAGAATACAAAATTAAAGCAAATCAAACTCGGACCTCCAAAAAATCAGAGGTGGGATCAGGTGCCATGTAGGAATGAGCATCCCCTGCCGACTGTTCACACCCGTCGTGTGCTCCTTTTTATGATCGAGAAATAATGGAAAATCCGTCGACAGTTCCGTGTGTACATTGTATATAATGGCCAAAAAATTTGTATGAAAAAAACGTCTGTCTGTATCGACCACAGAACTTACGAAAAGATTACTTTAAACGAGACTGCTGAAATTCTTGTTTCAACAATTTGTCTGTCCATAATTTACCTCGTTTTAGAAAATTGTTCATACGTAGAGCATGCTTTTGTGTATTGAATCAACTGAGAGATTTAAACTTGTGCAGGTAATGAAGGTATATTGCTACATATTAAAGTAAGGGAAGCTGATGATTGAAAAGTTAAAGTCATTACGTTTTTCATAGAGCTTTCTGTTAAATAACCATTAATGTCTTTTTCAAGTGATATACAAAAAATGTCTAAAATTATAATATGAGACAGATGTGTCGGAATCTGTTGTTTCTTTGTTTCAAGCTCACCGGGTTACATGTATATCTCGGGAGGTCAACATTACCGCTACATTTCCAAAAATTTTAACTCATTACCGCTACATTTTTTCAGATTTTCGACCGATCATTGCCGCTACATATTAAATCAGCCCAAAACAACTCATTGATAACGCTACCTATCGATTTAGCCAGGTATGGTTCGATATATGAGTTTTAATCAACAGAATTCACTCACTATGTAATCAGAATGAGTATATTTATATAAATAACTCTGCAGTCGAAATTTAATTATTTAGCGTCATCTGAACATTATGACCACAATTGAGAAGTTTGTTACAAATCGAGGGAATGCCGCCTTACTTATCGATGGTTATAAATTTAGAAAACAACATGTGAAGCAAATGGCTTTCAAGGCTTTAGCGATAGTATAAAAACATTTGACAAAACTTAGAATTTTATCTATGAAACAGTGCTTGATTTTAATTTTTTTGTGTTTTATGAAATAAAATTGATTTAAATAATAAAAAAAACCCATCCTATTCAAAGTTCTACTTTCACCTCCCCGTGGTGAGCAGAGAAAACGGGTCTTCTGCATTTATAGGTTGTACTGTACACTCATATGTGGCTGGCTAGCGAAACAGGCAATGTAGCGGTAATGTATACTTTTTTATGTAGCAGTAATGTAAGGTTTTTTGTAGCGGTAATGACTATGTAGCGGTAATGGAAATTTTGAAAATGTAGCGGTAATGATACGCACCCTATATCTCATCGACATAGGACTGGGAATAACCATAGTTAATTAAGAAATGCATACTCAGTGGTACGACGCTTCACGCCGGCATATTTCATGAAGTGCGTTAGCGCTTCATGATAAATATGCCGGCGTGAAGCGTTGTAGTTCATATACCTCATGAATCTTCAAAAAATTAAATTCATTTCTTATATTTACATTATTTTTCTGATGACTTGCCATAAATTTACGCCGTTCAACTGTCATTTTTAAAACAAAACAGTGTGCACTATATTTTTTGACTTTTTGACGTCAAGAGCGGTAATATGACGCAACAATGGAGATATTCATGATTATTCGTGATACATACCTAATGTAGTTCATGAGAAAATATACTGCATTTTATTTTGTAAAGAATCATAGGGGAAATTTATTAGAAATGTAAATATTTAACAATTTACGTCGATCGTTGATATAGCAAGTTGATATACCGGTAGCAACGGTGCAGTATTCTTTTCGCTTATAAAGTGACTTTAAAAAAATATTTTTTGTAAATTTATATAGCAATGTTTTTGTCATAAATACTAAAATATGTGATTAAATGGTTTGTTCGAGGATTTAACCCAAAAGATGAAATTTCTAGTAAAAGTTTACAAGTCGACACTTTGACCATCCAACCGTCCAAGGAAAGTTACAGTATTTAATTCCTTTTTTAATATATAATATTTTGATGTACAGACCTGAAATCTGGACATTAATTTTACGTAAAAAGATATTTTTTTCTGAATAATTATTTACAATAAAAATAAAAATACTTAATATAATGTTATGGAAAAATAAGATTTTTGAAGCTTTTTTGTAGAATGGAGGAATTTTTTAGTCTATGTAGTTATATTGTTTGTGGAAAGGGCCATTGGAATTTTTGCTTCCTGTACACAGCACTATGTAAAATTTTAATCTCTGTTCTTTTCAATAATTATCTCTCAAAAAATCATAAGAAGTGTTTTGTTTATTTACATGCTGTTCAGTGTTTAATGAAAATTGCTGATGATTTTTAATATACAGTCCTTTATTATAGTATAGGCTCTTCTTTAGTTAGAGGAATGTTTAAAACATGAAAGCCAATGAATTATAGCTTCTAAGTTTTGAAATTAAATGGTTTTAGTCAGTATACAAAGAGCAAGGAGTCATACGTAGCCAAAAAAATCTCGGTGTAAAAAACATTCAAGCATTTGTCTTCCACACGCTTCTTGCCAATCTACTCTGAGATGAAAATCTGCATACATGTATCTGGGCCTACAGAAAAATAAATTTTAATATATCATAATAATCAATTACAAAAATATATCTTTTAATATATTTTTTTCTAAAATTACAAGGGAAAGAAACATAAATTTTATGTGAAATGTTTTATTACATAGTGTAGATTTTAGTTTGTTTTAATCATGCCTCCACAGGTCTAAAGTAGACTGCCAATGTGGAACATTTTCATATTTTTTTAATCTGTTAGGAAAATAATAAAATATGTACATGCACATCAGTTCTTTCTGTCTATAGTTTGTATTTATTTGCCTGTATAAAGTATCTACAATTACAAACGCGTTTAAACTACAAATTAACTAGTGCTAATTGTAACGGGGACCGTTACAGATGTTCCCCAAACGCTCCCCATCTCCCTTTTGGTGCCATATTCCCTGTAAGCTTCATTAGATAAGACAAACTTTATGCATTTGAGACTTTATCAACGTTTACCCAGAATGGTACCAAGTTCATTCAAATTTAGCACTGCACGCGTGCGCATGTGAATGCATGTGCGTAATGACCATATCATCTTTTCTACACAATCTGTATACTTTAATATACTAAATATTAAAGTATTTAATCCAAAAGTATTAAAGAATACGCTCATTCAAGTGTATTTTTGATTTTATTTATTTCACGTGCACGGACGTGCATACATGAGCATGGTTACGTACCTTCTTGTAGAAGTCCATTACATCTATCTATGTTCTAAATCCCACTCCGTTTGGTTGAAAACCAAGGGAATTATAGCTGATTAAAGTTTCAGCCAATCAGATTGCAGCGTACGTTCACGCATGTGTATTGATGTGCATGGTGATCATACCTTCTTGTAGAAATCCATTATATCTATCTATGTTCCAAATCTCATCCTGTTTAATTTTTGAAAACTAAGGGAGTTATAGCTATTTAAAGTTTCGGCCAATCAGATTGCAGCGCTAGTACACGCACGTGTATGGATGTGCATGGTGACCATACCTTCTTGTAGAAGTCTATTATATCTATCTATGTTCCAAATCACATCTTGTTTGGTTGAAAACCAAGGGAGTTATAGCTATTTAAAGTTTCGGCCAATCAGATTGCAGCGCACGTGCATGCACGTGTTTTCATGATAATTTTTATATATCATTTTGTAGGACATCCTAATGCATGGCTATGTTCAAAATTTCAAAGGATTTCATCAAAAAACAAGAAAGATATTGAGACTTTAGTTTTAGCCAATCAGAGCGAAGCGCACGTGCATGCGCGTGAGATCTTGCTATTTTGACCATGTCTTATTGTCTATGCTACTAATATATCCTTATATTATGAGTTTCAAAGCATTTCATCAAAAATGTAAAAAGTTACGCCGATATCAATTAAATCGTCATTTTTCGTGTTGCACGTGCGCGCTCTTGCAAGCACGTGCGCGCAAAATGACCTTTGTTCGGCAAATCTACATAACATGTCTACTGACCCTAAAAACATTTTACCTTACTCGGATGTGTAGTTTACAAGATCACTCGAGGACAAAATTTTCCCAGGAATAATAATAATAAGAAACAGAGTAAAAACAATATGTTCCCCAACTTCGTTTGGGGAACATAATAACTACAGTACGTACTAAAATAAATACTAGTATGTTAATATGGAAATTGGTGACCGCCATTTTTAAAGTCCTCCATAATTGTTCCTTGTCTCCAAATAAATAAAAACAGTAAACTTGGAGACAAACCAAAGACAACTCCGGACTTCTCCTTGTTTTGTTATATCTGTCAGGTTTCATCTTTTTTAACTACAGGTAAGAAATTTTCAGGAAAAAATATCTGATAGTGCATTTCATATAAAGACCGTTCTCGCCGTGTTTTAATAATACTTTGAAATGTAAATAAAAATAATCTAAACATCGTGGTGTGATTTATTCCAAAGGCAATAATTATTTAAATCCGTTCCTATGAATGCACATCTAAGCAATTCTTAAACATTTTCAGTCATACAATCCTAATTGAGAAAGCTTTAATGTTTCTTGCTTTAAATTGTGCTAAAGAATAAAGAATAGATGTGAAAGAAGTTCAAGACTTTTTTATCATCACTTTTAAGATCTATAAGTTCAGATAAATTTTCTGGTCACTTTTAGATTTCAAATAAATCGCTACATCTAACCCACCCAGTCTCAAATCTTGTTCTGAAAATCTGCTTTTATGAATACATATAGTTAAAAATGCTTTAATACAAGGATAAAAAAAATTGTGTATTGCGGTTTGAATGTCATGATTTTCTTTTCCAGCATTGCCCGTGAATCATGGCATCGGCAGAAGTAATGATTTGTCGGTTTTTGTTCTTTCTTTTAGCCGAGATAGGTATGGATGTACCAGTTAATTTGGTGAAGGAAATTTGATACGTGCACGTTTACATAAAAATTAGATACTTAATAACTGAAAATTGTTCTTTATTGAAACATGGTAAATATAATTAAAAAAAGACGGTGTTTATTGGCATGCTAATTTAGGAATAGTGTTAATTTACTTTTAAAAATATCATGTGCGTATGCTGAAAACTGACATTTTTCTTATATTGCCAGTAAGTTTTTCGGAAGGCAGAAGAGGAGGAGGAAGGTCCTTCAGAGGTTACAGATCTAGTTACTACTCATCTTCTGGCACAAGCTCAGGGTAAGCATGTAGGTCTAATATCAAAGATACTCATCTTCTGGCGCAAGCTCAGGGTAAGCCCCTAAGTCTAATAAAATTCAAAGATACTCATCTTCTGGCGCAAGCTCAGGGTAAGCATGTAGGTCTAATAAAACTCAAAGATACTCATCCTCTGGCGCAAGCTCAGGGTAAGCCCCTAAGTCTAATAAGACTCAAAGATACTCATATTCTGGTACAAGCTCAGGGTAAGCCCCTAAGTCTAATAAAACTCAAAAATACTCATATTCTGATACAAGCTCAGGGTAAGCCCCTAAGTCTAATAAAACTCAAAGATACTAATCTTCTGACGCAAGCTCAGGGTAAGCCCCTAATTCTAATAAAACTCAAAGATACTCATATTCTGGCTCAAGCTCAGGGTAAGCCCCTAAGTCTAATAAAACTCAAAGATACTCATATTCTGGTACAAGCTCAGGGTAAGCCCCTAAGTCTAATAAAACTCAAAGATACTCATCTTCTGACGCAAGCTCAGGGTAAGCCCTTCAGTCTTATAAAACTCAAAGATACTCATCTTCTGGCGCAATATCAGGGTAAGCCTGTAGTCTAATAAAACTCAAAGATACTCATCTTCTGACGTAAGCTCAGGGTAAGCCCTTAAGTCTAATAAAACTCAAAGATACTCATATTCTGGCTCAAGCTCAGGGTAAGCCCCTAAGTCTAATAAAACTCAAAGATACTCATATTCTGGTACAAGCTCAGGGTAAGCCCCTAAGTCTAATAAAACTCAAAAATACTCATCTTCTGACGCAAGCTCAGGGTAAGCCCTTCAGTCTAATAAAACTCAAAGATACTCATCTTCTGGCGCAATATCAGGGTAAGCCTCTAGTCTAATAAAACTCAAAGATACTCATCTTTTGACGTAAGCTCAGGGTAAGCCCTTAAGTCTAATAAAACTCAAAGATACTCATCTTCTGACGTAAGTTCAGGGTAAGCCCCTAAGTCTAATAAAACTCAAAGATACTCATCTTCTGGCGCAACCTTAGGGTAGGCCCCTAAGTCTAATAAAACTCAAAGATGCTCATTTTCTGGTACAAGTTCAGCGAAAGCTCTTTAATCAAAGAGAACTCAAAGATACTCATATTCTGGTACAAGCTCTGCGTAAGTCCCTCAAACTAACAGAACTCAAAGACATTATCTTTTGCATCAATTTTAGGTAAGCTCCTCAATCTCATTTAAATCAAAGATTTTCTGGCGCAAGCTCAGCGTAAGCCCCACAACAAATAGAGCTCAAAAATACTTATCATCTGGGACAGGTTCAATGTAAGTCCCTAAATCTTATAAAATTCTTGAAAAGTTACTCATCTTCTAGTACAAGCTAGATAGCTCAAAGTAACAAAGCTCAATCTAACAAAGCTCAAAGTTACTCATCTTGTTGTACAAACTCATGGTAAGCTCCTCAATCTATAATCACTTGAATAAAGGTAAGGCTGATTTTTTTTTCGTAGTCGAACCATTTCATTGATGAATTTTCATATCAATTGAATTTTGGTATCAGATGAACCTTCACAGGGGTTGATATTTTCGTTATAGGGATCAAACGGGGGCGTATATAGCCGTGGGAGTGATTTTAGGCCTGATGGTTCTGATTGGAGCGGTGATTATTTTGAAGAGCAAGTGTTGCCCCTATTGGAGTCCCTCAGACGTCATCACCGACTGCAGATACAAATGCCAGCAGTGCAGGAAGGGAGAGAATAAAGTCACAATAGAACCGTCCTCGGTCCAAAGAGAAAAGCGGAAGAATACATGGGCTCCCGTCAAAAGACACATGGCGAAGCTTAGGATAGTGATGCATACTCCAAAACCGGGTAAGGCTAGAGAGAGGATATACTAGTAAGTTAATCAGAATATGGAATTAATGTACACCCACTAGAATTGACAAGACGGTTTACCTAGTTTATTAGGTTAAATCATTTATTTCAATACTAGAATTTTCACACTTTTTTGCAGTGTTAGAGAAAAGAGAGTCCAAAAATTTAGAAAAGAAAATTTCTCTGTACGAGTCCAATCCAACGCATTACCGCGAATTTATGGAGCCCCCGCCAGCATATGAATACATAGACGTAAAAGAGACCAACACTAACAACAAGTCTGATTTTCTCCAAAATCGTCAGCGAATAAGCAGGGTTGTCTCACAGATGAACCTTCTCAGAGAAAAGACGGCGCAGTCTCGTCAAGAAAATAGCATGACGTCATCAGATAGAAAAGCAGACGACAAATCTTCACCAAACAAACTCGTAAATCTAAAAGACTTGCAAGAACTCACAGTGATCCGCAAATGGAACGAATAGGTTATTGAATCAGGAAATGTATGCTATCTTTAAATATATACAAAGTTGTGGCAATATAAGAAGACTGGCATTCTATATTTAGAGGTCGCATCATCAAGCTAACACTGTGAGGATCACGTGACCTGGTGTACACATTGGAAGACTGGATCTTATTTTAATGTCACAAAATAAGTTTGCAGGAAAACGCAAAGGAATCAAGGATGCATGCGCATACTATATACCTACTTAGGCCTAATTAAAATCTGCTTAATCAAATGCCATACTGTTTTAAATAGAGAATACTGGTAACATGTTTTAACTTTGAAAATATATAATTATCTCATGTATTGTTTAGTATAATTTTTAGCGTTCATTTAACATCGTAATTCATAATTCTATCATAACATAAATTTTACACACTCGGTAGAAATAATCCTTACAAGATATAGAAGTCTAATGACATGAGCAGGATACTTAAGCAACTATAGCAAAGAAATAGACCCTTTCACGACAACTGTGGTACTGCTTTTTTGCAGGGCAAAATGATATTTTGGTGAAATATGACGTAAAAGTAATTGTTTAATGTATACGTCAATTAATTAATTATATATCGACAAAAATTTCGCCACACGTTATTAATGTGCCTTAGCTGCAAAAGAGTAGTACCGCAGTTATCGTGAAGGGGCTAATAATTAATTATACCCTACACATAAGAAATAAAAAATAGTATAATACTTATAGTGTTTTGAAGTCCGAATTATTCATTCCTAAGTGATATTTTGTATTTTTGTGGAATAAATTTGTACAAACAATGTTTTTCATTTTTTAAATTGAAGTAAATGTTCACTCAGCATATATTCTTCTACACATTTATTTTGTTTATATATCTTAATGTAAATATTATATAGTTTGGTTATACATAACATATAGTTGAACATGTTGAAGGGATATGACAGTAACCTTGTCTTATCTGAATGTTGTATTCCGATTTCTTGTCTATAACCGTGTCATAAAAACTTTATAAACTTTATATCCAACTATTCCCCACGATAAATCATTGACAGCTGCTTTTTCAATAGAAATGGAACCCGTAAATTTACTTTCCTTGTCATTGGTCATTTACAAAATTACTTTAAAACATTTTGATTGTATACACAAGAACTCTGAAGTTGATATTAAAAATGCTTGAGATACCACAGAGTCTGTCTCTTCGTTTCATATTTGTATCTTTTACTAAAGATAGAAGTTAATACATGTAGTTATCTAACAACAAAGCTTTATGTTAAACTTAATGACTTTTCAATTGTAACTTCCCTTGCTAATGCATCAATTAATTTACCTTTGTCACCTGCATACGGAATTTATATCTTTCAGTTGAGTCGATACTATGGAGCATGTTCTACTTTAAACGAGTTATTGACAAACAAGTTGATTAAGCAAGGATATGAGCAGCCTCGTTTAAACTCATCGTTTTGTAAGTTCTATGGTCGATACAATGACCTTGTCAGCAAACACAATTTATCATTCAGTCAAATGCTGGCTGACTTTTTCCATACTGATCGTTAGACCATTATAAACACACTGGGTTATCCGAGCATGTCAAGGAGCACACTGCGAATGGGACCAGTCGGCAGGGGATGCTCACTCCTCCATGGCACCTAATCCCACCTCTAATGTTTTGGAGGTCTGTGTTTGCTCCGCTCCTATTTTGTAATATTTAATGGGCTTTTGAGCTCGAATGCTGTTCGTTATCTCCATATATTTCATTTCAGTAAATTCAATTGTTGAAAATATTATCTAATATATGGTATAGTACCAGTGCTGTACGGATTTATCAAGTTTTACTGTACATGGTAACCAGTATTTACCATAAGGTTGAATAATATTCCATGTAAAAAATGAAAAAAACTAGGTCCTTTTTAATACTCCTTTATTTCAGGCCGTACATCCTATACATATTTACATATGTTTAAACAGGTTCCATCCAAATTAATTATAAATATACATAGCTTGAGTCTCATTTATGAAATAAAACCCACATAAGGTATCACAGAAAATAGTAATTGGACGGATAGTCAAGCGTATAGGCAGAACCGTCACTCAAAGGAAAATAACCAGATGGATAGTATATAGCAAAAATATATACGTCATCACTGAGATTGTGCTAAAAAAGCCGAACATGTGCTAATGCTGTAAAATAATGCTGGCATTATCCATGTCCGCACTATGTACATGTATAAAGTGCAGAAAACACTGTCAGTACCACGGTACAGGTCGATAATAATACTGCTGTAAAATGAGTATATCGAGGTAAATAGTACATGTTGTAGATTTATTTCGGAACGTATCCCGGGGGGTACGCCGGGTCAGCTGGAGGGGGATAGGCTGAGGGCTGGTAAGCGAAGGCCCCCGGGGGTGGGTTACCGTACGGCGGGGGAGCCTGTCCATACATATTATTATAACCAGGAGGCTGTTGATGGAAATACTCTGGACCTTTTCTCTCATACAGCTCTTGTCTTTTATCAATAACTGAAAATAAATATCAAAGAGATATAAGTTTGAATTACATATTTATTAACATTTCATGTTTATACAGAGAGAGAGAGAGAGAGAGAGAGACAGAGAGAGAGAGAGATGGCTTACCTGACTGGGGTGTATGTAATGTAACATGAGCAGCTTCCTTTTTAACCTGGGTTCTTTTAGTATTAGCGCTTTTCTTTATGTGATGCCTCACCAACAGAATACACACACCAATAAGCACCAATCCAAAAAGACTGCCAATCACAGCACCAGCAATTATTCCGGCATCTCTGTAAAAAATGTCTCTTTTGATATATATACGCTGCAATGACTTGATACTTACGATGATATTTATCAACGCTGCAGTGACTTAATACGTACGATATTTTATCAAAACGGTTTGATATGTACGCTGCAGTGACTTGATACGTACGATGATATTTCATTAGATTGGTTTGATATGTAAGATTACGCTGCAATGACTTGATACGTACGATGATATTTCATTAGATTGGTATGATATGTACGCCTCTTAATGACTTGATACGTACGATGAGCTTCCAGTGGTCGCGTAGCCGTAGTATCTGTAGTAGTAATAACGGGAGTAATAGGAATACCGGTACGATCTGTAATATCTAGATCCGCCCCTTCTATACGCATCTACATTGTTAGCTGGAAAGATATTGAAAATATATTATTAAATCTCATTTAGATAAGTGAAATAAAATGTGGTAATTATAAAGCAAAGCAAAATAAATAATATATGAAGGTATATGTTGCTCCAAAACAACAGAAATACAGAACAGAACAGAACAGAACATTTTATTTCTAATTTAGAGCCCATAACAGACAAGTATGAGATTGTTATAATACAATAATCAGGGATTTAGAAACTAATAAAGCACTAGTCTGTTGGATCAATGCTTATTACTAACATGCCAAATATATGACGGCGGGATGTCCAGGAGTAAAGATAAAGATTCAAGATGATTTTAGTTCCACCTCTTAGGCGAGGTCACCTTTGTATTGTTTGACATGGGGGAGGGGGGTGGTTGGGTCAGGCGCCTCCCGGTTATTTCCTCTCCCGTGTGCCCTTGACCCTGAACACCTATACTCCCTCCCCAGGTGGCAAGTTGTAAAGGATAGAACTGAAATTTAATCTTGCTTGTAAATGCCTAGCTTTTAATTGTTAAAATAACATTTCATGATGATCTGCTTTCTTTATTTAACCACTAGTATTTATAAGCTCTTTGGAATATCAATTTTGAAATACTCTTTCAATGCAATTAATAATTTCGTTGAAAATAGCGAAGATTGAAGATGATTGGGGTTTTTTCACAAAGACTTGTAAATTACACTGCAAGTCCATTCAAAATATTTTCAAAATCTTTAGATGTAAAGCGTAAAGAAATATTACCATGTATGTGTATGTGTTGGGTAGAAATCAATTGAGCAATAATGCTTTTAAGATAAAAAAAAAAGTACTCCGTTAATCTATAGATTTGCAGCATTCCCATTACAGAAGCAGCTTCTAAATCGATCAATTTATTGCAAAGTAAAATCGTTGATCTCTGACCCTGGTTACAAATTCTTACCTGAAAACAACACAATGCCCAGTATTACTGATATAATCACTACCACCAGACTGGTAAGTCCTCGGGTTAAATTCCCCATGGCTCGGGCTAGGAGACGGACAGACAGATATACAAAAAGTCTAGCCGGCCTACACCCGCGGCGTGACGCTGCTCTCCTTTATTTTGGTGATAGTGGTGTATTGCTATGCGCTCACCTATCCATTGCGAAATGGTCTTGATTTCAGTACCATTGTTCTTTATTTAAATCCCCAGTCCAGGCTGCTCCGTGACGTGTACTAATACTTTTTACCATAAATATACCCTGTTTAAATACAACGTCACACAACACATTGCTCATAGTTTCTTATCTCAGTGTATTGATTGAGTGTCAATTTAAATGCAGAGCTCTTTTTTAAAATTGATTTCCATGTGAAATACGGGTGGGGATACGTATAAAAACATAGGAATAAAATGAAAAAGTTTATTAACTACCTAGTGATATTTATTATAGAATATTTACATTTCCAATGTGTCAATTTAAATGTAAATGTACTTTTTTCTAAAATTTGGCGCGGTTTCCATGTGAAATTGGAGCACGGGTGGCGGAATCAAAGCATAAAAACATAGGAATAAAATGAAAAAGTTTATTAACTACCTAGTGATATTTATTATAGAATATGGAAAAAAGGGCTGCGGCATAAAATATGAGCCAAGAGGAATATTTCTTTGAATTCAAGTCCGACAATTGTAAAGAATGCATGATTAGACAGAAACTTGTTTTTGAAAGAAAATTAAACCAATTGTCGGGTTCAAAGCAAGAAGAATGGAAATTAGATCCACCTAAAAAGAAGAAATATTACTCCCTATTATATATTATCATAATATTCAATTTACTGAGGGGAGTTAATGCAAAATTTACAAGATGATAGATACATGTAACATATTGTAAATTTTGCATTTACCTCCCCTTTGTAAATTCAAAATTTACAAGAAGATAATTAAGATGCTATCAAAAATTAGCAACCCTGTGCCAGCTTGTCAAACGAAGCGTCTCTTTGTTTCAGTGCATTCTTTACAAATCACACAATGTAGATCAGTCCATATTGTTTATTCTTCATTGTCCTAATTAAATCCCAAATTTCAAAAAAAAATTAACGGACAGTCGTGATGTGTTAGTACCGAAATAATCCGCATTATTAATTGATCATGGACACTGTGAACTGGAGTTTCAGACTGGGTGTCTGTTTCACTCTCATTTCAGGTAAAGTAAAAAAAAAAAAAAGATCATTCGCAATTTATGCTGTTGTAAAAAAACAACAATTAAGAATCTGCTAGTGAGACTTAAGGTGGTCCGATCCACAGGTTCTGAATATCAGGTAATGAATATTTGAAAATGCTCATGAAAATGTCTCTGGATTCTCAAATGATGTGTATTTACCCACGGTAATTCTTATCTTTAAAAAAGTTACTAATAATCATATTGTATAGTGAATGTTAGTAAATCTCAAATAAATTTCCGGGAAATGCGAAAAATAAACACCTGTTACGCTTGGCATTTTCTAATCGAAAATTGATATTCGAATACATTTTAGGATGAAACATTATAAATATCCAGGCTTTTGATGAAATTTGCATGATTTTACACTACTTTAATTTCTTCTATTTACTTCAATTTAATCATTTTATAGTGTATAGTGTATAAAGCATTGATTTCCCTATTATTGCAAAACACCAAAAATCAATTCTTATTTATTATCTTGTGATAAGCATTGGAATCTAACATTTTTAAGATTAAAATTAAAGAAATTCAATTTTGATGAGAAATTCTATTTCTTTAAATAGTTATGTTTTTCAAAAAATACTTTTATGATGTACAAATATAAACTTTATTAAGACCATTTCTAAAAAAAATGAATAAATAAACATTGAAGAACCTTGGATCACATTGAAACGCATAAAATAGAAATTGTTGCATGTAGACAATTCATTTTCAAGCTTCATTTGGAGACTTTTAAATTAAAAAACTAGAGGTACTGTGAGGATTGAGCACACTAACTGATACCCCCGTCTGCAATATGATTATAATAGCAAAGTCCAAGTTTTGTTCGGAGATTTGATATATATAAGTGTCAGATCAAAACATAAAATAAGAGGTGCACAATGGCATTATGTAATAAAGAATCTGTGAAAGTATCATTGAATTTCAATAAGTGGGATAGGAGGAATTGCGGATAAGAGATGGATACGCTTCAATATTACAGAAAGAATGACAGTGTCCATGTTTTGCTCTGAGAAATTCTAATTATGTGTCGGATCAAAAAGTAAAATTAGAGGTGCACAATGGCAATATATAATAAAGATTTTGTGAAAGTTTCATTAAATTTCACTTAGTTGTATAAGAGGTGTTGCAGATAAGAGATGGGTACCCCAAAGCGTGACAGACATGGACACTGCCATTCTTTCAATAATATTGAATGGTACCCATCTCTTATCCACAACTCGTTATATACCACTGAATACAATTTAATAAAACTTACACAAACTCTTTAATAATTAACTACATTTACGCAATTGTGCACCACCTATTTTACTTTTTCATCTGACAAATATTTAAGGTTTTCCATATCAAAACATGGACACTGGGATTCTTTCTATAATATTGAAGGGTACCCATCTCTTATCTGCAACTCTTCCTAGACCACTGAATAAAATTTGATAATACTCATAGATTCTAGATCATTGTGCCATTGTGCACCTCCTATTTTACTTTTTGAAATGACATTTATTTCGGGTCTCCCAAAGCAAAACATGGACATTGCCATTATAAGCATATTGGAGGTGGGGTTAAGTTCTGAATTTGTCAAGAACGTTCAATACCATTATTTATAGCATTCTATAATAAGGATTATATATTTTTGGAGTCGAATTTGATCCCATAAAACTCGAAATTTTATTTATACCCCCCCCCCTCCTTTTGGCTTGAAAAGTGGGAGGGTCATGTATATAGTAATCGGGATGTCCCTCCTTCTGTTACGCGTTGGAGAACACATCTCTAATGGCAACTCTTACCACTGAATGGAATTTAATGAGGCTTTTACAGAATCTTTGTTACACAATGCCATCTTACACCTCCTATTTTACTTTTTGATCGGACATATATTTCAGATTTCCCATAGCAAAACATGGACACTGCCATTCTTTCTATAATATTGAATGGTACCCATATCTTATCCACAACTCCTTATATACCACTGAATAAAGTTTAATAAAACTTAAACAAATCCTTTATTACATAACTACATTTATGCGATTGTGCACTTCCTATTTTACTTTTTGATCTGATACATATTTCGGGTTTCAAATAGCAAAACATGGACACTGCCATTCTTTCTATAATATTGAAGCGTACCCATCTCTTATCCGCAATTCCTCCTATACTACTGAATGGAATTTAATGAGGCTTTCTCAGAATCTTTGTTACATAATGCCATCATGCACCTCTTATTTTACATTTTGATCTGACACTTATATTTCGAATCACCGAGCAAAACATGGACTTTGCCATTATTACCATATGGTGGACAGTGGTATCACATAGTGAGCTCAGTGCTCACAGTACCCCTAGTTTATTGTATCCAAAGATTTTTACGAAGAATAACGTTCTTGTGAGGCGTAAAACTAATATGAGACACGAATTTGATAATTATTGGCATTTAGTGATATCGCCTTGGACTCGATTGGCTGATATCCCCTACCAGTTTTTGAATAAGTGATATCACCTAGCTGTTCGAATTGGTGATATCATCTTATGGATGATCTGTGCTGATGCGGGGTTGAGTGAATCGCTCCCACACTTGCACCATTAGGGAGAACCTTCTAAAGAGTTGTGCCCCCCCCCAAAAAAAAAGAGGGCTACATTATTGCAGCTGGAAGAGATTCTAAACTTGTTATAATTTGTTATTCTTACATGTAAATTCTGCAATACATGTATGTTATTCCAAATGTTGTAATATAAACCCTCAATGAAACATTCAATTTTTGTTGCTGAAATGTAAACCCTGAAGCTTAAATATAATGTTGAATATATTGTAAACCCTGAAAAATTTCATTACTTTTGTGAGAAATTATTTTCAAAACATACAATATGTGTATAAAATCTCTGTTTCTAAAATGTTAACCCTGATCAATTTTTGTTGCGTGTGATGCATAATTCCTGTCGTGTGCACAATTTCCATTATGCATTTATAGGTATATAGGTTTTAATGACTTTTATGCTATCATTTCGATCGTTTGTTAATTTGTAAGTCATGTTATTAATACGTACTTGATATTCTCTTTTTCCAGAATGCATCTCTAAATATTGTTATACGACTAGTACGGGGGCGTACACTTGCCAGAACTCTTATGGCGGACAGTAAGCATTTTACTAAAACGTATATTTATTGCCTACAATTTTTTAAAAAGAAAATGGAAAAGTTTATATTTAGGTATGTAGGAGGAATTCTTGTTTGATATCTGACTAGATGAAATATCCAAATTACATTTGCTTACTAAAAATTTACCTATATGCCTTACCTGTTTAGATGTAAGGGAGTAAAAAGATAATATTTTTCCTCCCTAATCACAACTGACTTTATATATACTGTAAATCACATTTTATTCACAAAAACTTTATTTTAATAGCGTAATTACGCGAGATGTTAATTTAATTCTCGCGCTTTATACTAGTATATGATAATTTTTAAGATTATATAGAGCAATAAACGTAATTTGTGAAAAAATTTGTCTCGCTTATCAAGAGTCCATGACTACCTAGCGAAAATATGGTGTCGCGAAAATTAAGTGATGTACTAGTACAATACTTTTGGTGGAATGGCAGCGTTTGAAAGTATCTCTTTTTTCTGCTTCGCAAAATTAGTATAGAAAAATGAATTTGGTGATTTTTTTCAAACAATCACAATCTAATTATGCGAGCGGATCTATAACATCTAATTTTAATAAGATTGACACAATCATAGACTTGAAGAAATTTTCAAATGTTAGTAAAATTAAACATAAGAGATACAAGTTTTAAAATATATCAAATAAATAAATATGATTTTCGAAGAATCTCAATTATATTAGCTTTGAAAATCTTCCAGTCTAAGTACAGATTTGAGCCAAACAAATTAAAAAGTGTTTTTTCACTATTAGTAAATGGACAAAACGATCTGTTTTTTTTTTTATCGTTTTGTATCTTTGACTGGCTAATAATCATATTGTGAAAATAAGAAATATTTAAATATACGAGGCATATAAAAATAACTAAAATATCCTGAGAATTTAAGAAAAAATGAGAAAATTCAGATTAGCCGATATCCAATTTCAGTTGAAACATTTATTTCAATTTGGTAATATAATCTGATAGAACCCATACATGTATGTGGTAATAGATTGTTATGCAAAAGGAAAAAAAATCCGTTGAAACAGATGTAGGTTTCACATGATTGGAAAAAGTAATTATTGTTTATATCTATGAAAAACATAATGACCTTGACCTAACCTTGTCTCTAATGTCAAAATTAATTTAACTGTTATAATATCTTCTCGATTGAAAAATATGGAGAAAACGAACAGTGTTCAAGATCAAAAGTTCATAAAACAACACAAAACAGGAACAGAGCAAACACGGACCTCCAAAACATCAGAGGTGGGATCAGGTGCCATGGAGAAGTGCGTATCCCCCACTGACCGGCCACACCTGCCGCGCGTCCTCCGCCACGACCAGGAAACAACGGCAACTCAATGTTTAAACAATGGACTAACAATGAGTATGAAAAACGTCAGTCAGCATTTGACTCAATGATAAATTGTATTTGCTGACATCAACTCGAGATATAAACTGCGAAATAATGCAGGTGATGAAGTTACATTATATTGCTGCATAAGAAAGGGAAGTTGACGATAGAAAAGTTAAAGTCATCACGTTTATCATAGAGCGTTGTTAATGGAATTTATCATTGTTAATTGACATTACGTCGTCGATATATCTAAATGTCGAGTTGAAAGCCACAGCAAGTGTTTTCTTCTTTTCAAGCAGAAGATTTTGCACAAATTCTGCTTCATATTCACGGGTACGAAAATAGGTCTGCTAATAACGGGGCGCAATTGGTACCCATGGGAATTCCAATAGATTGTTGGAAAACCTGGTCTCCAAAAACGACATAAATATTGTCAATCAGAAACTAAAGCATCTTTTTTATGTAAACTTCAGAGTACTTGTTTGTACAATCAGAATGTTTTTTAACAAAATATTTTTGCAAATGATCAATGACAAGGTAAGCAGTTCCATTCTTATTGAAAAAGAAGTTGACAATGATATCACACAGCCTCGACTTTCATTTATCATGTGAAATGGTTGTGTTTAAATTTGGAATTTTTAAGTATCCACATCTGATTTACACCACTTCTTGAATATATTGTTGCACATTACTCTTGAAGTTTCTCCTTCACTACTGCTAAAATCTATGAAAATTTCCTTAATTTTAAATACAAGAATCATGAGAAGAATCCCTCTTTTAATTCAAAATAATATTTTCAATTCATGTACATTGTGAAACTAACTTATGTCACCTAAACACGCAGTATTTACCACTTTTTCCGCATCATAGGGAGACAGGGCAGATAGCGGGAATTGCTATCGGAGCGACTGTGGCTCTGGCTATACTCATAGCAGTCTTGGTCTGCTGTGTAACCAAGTGTAACAAAAAGAAAAAGTCACGGTCCCGGGCCACAAGGGTACAGGTCACGGAAGCCAGCAGACACGGTAAACCAAAGGAGGAAAATTTTTAAAGAATTAATCTTAAATAATTTTTAAAATCAATTTTACGTCAATCTTTATATTCCTACTACTCTTACTCTATTCCAAAAACAGCGTATGGCAGTAAAAAAAACTTTGAGAGAACTATTTCATTTAACAAAAAAATTATCTAATGAAAAGACTACATTTATTTTTACTTTCAGCTCAAATGCCACCAAACAGTGTCCCAATGTATGGAGTTTACCCCAGCGCCCCACCACCACTTCCTGAGTATGCCCCTCCGTCCTATGATTCCCACCAGTTTAACCACCCCCCTCCAACTGTCTCAGCAACGGTCACGGGACCTGGTCTCCGTAGCAATGGCATCGGCGCCAATAGCAATGACGATTTACCTCCCGCGTATTAATATGCATTATCTCTACGCCTTAGTATAGCTACTCAATCAAATTAATAAATGTCATAAAGACAATTTATGGCCATTTGGTCATGAAAGTTTCATTTGAACTTTTTTTTTGTTTAATTAAATTTAAACAAAAAAAAATTTGTTGACACTTATTTCAATTCTATCAATTACAACCATTTTTTTTCTCTTCTTGACTGACCGTGTTCTTTCTATTTTAATATTTGTTGTTTATCCTTTTTCAATATTATATGTACATGGGGGCAATTACATTTACACAAATTTCTAATGTTATGAATGTTTGCTTGCATATATTTACATATATGTATTGTTGTGTTATGTATTGAACAGATTCATGTACCCGTTCAATATTCACAAAAACATGATTGTTCATTTCTTTCGTTTCATTCACTTCTTTGAATTTAACAATACTTTAAGAAGGAAAAAGTAGTTAACCAACCTTTAATTTTTTTTTTTACTTTTAGTTTTTCAAGTAGATTACATGTTTTTATACCTTACTAAACTTATCAAATAAAACATACCATGTGAAAATCTTCACGTAGACAACCGCTTTTCAACAAAACGTGTGCATATTATATGACCATTGGATTTCTTTTTAACAGTGAATTACATTGTTATCTTATTTTACCAACATGGGTTTTGTTACTTTGAATTGATGTTGATTTTTATATATGAGCCATCATAAATCGTTAATAAACTATTATAAGTATAACTTTTCTTTTTTCCTAACAATTGTATGTCATTTTTACCTGAAAAAGAGCATATTTTAAGCTGTAATAATGGATCTAGCAACAAAAAGACAGTCTTGCAAATGAGTCTTAACTCATTTGCCAGATCTTGATCTTAAGTTTGGAGAATTTTAATACATAAAATATTTAAGACTATTCATCTGACTTTTAATAATTAGAACTTCAATCTCAATACTTATTTCACAAATTGATTAAGTCAACTTCTATACATTTGAAGCTGTAGGTCTTTTGTACACCCTGTTTGTGTATCTTTTTTATAAGAAATTTCTAACACTTAATATGACTAAAAAAAAACGGTCACGTTATAATGAAATTCTTTGTAAAATCTTATTTTCTTTCTTCTACACAAACATATATAATATATTAATTCAGAAACAGGTATTCTTGACTCAAAAAAAGCAAAAGTTCATGACATTAACATTAAACAGCATAGTCTTGCAGTAACATGTTCAATGCCTTATTCCCAAAGTTCCTCTTTTAAAACTAGGCTTTCCAATATGCATATTATAACATTCTATACAATTCAATGATTATTATCACAGTAAATCAGCTATTTGGCTAATAAATATATTATGTTCAACAAAATCAACTGAGGATTTGAAAAAAGTGTAATGATGAATTTTATAAAAAGACATTTATACAACTTGTCCTGGAATGTGTTTCAGATGCTGAGAGTATTATACATGAAGCTCGAGAACTATGAAGAAAACTGTGATATACCTAAAGTGATGTGTCTTTTAAAGAATGATCATAATCAGTTACAAAATCTTAAATCAGTGAGTTGAAACAAAAGTATGAGTATACTATGTATTATACATGTAGTGGACATCATATACTGCCTCACTAGTGAGATAGCTTTTCTAGTGATGTGGTAGTCTCCCTCTATTTCAGGAAAGTTAGTCTCCCTCTATTTCAGGCAAGTTAAGAAACAGCATATTAGCATTTTCGCATATTCATTTAGGCCGATTCGGAGATTGATTAATTACTGACCTTTAGATTGAGATCATTAAGGTAATTAATCAGTTATAAAGTATTGCTTAAACACCTGATCACTTGTACTTCGAAAAGACCTTGAACTATATACAATCCCATTCAATATATACTAAAACTATAAATTTTACCAAAATTAATAATATTAATGTCATACATTCTGTGAAAATGTATTGGTTAAAACATTGATATTTATTTAGAAATGAAATGAATAACTTTATCCTTTAGACCTAATAATAGACCATACCAAATCCTCTGTAGCATATCACTATTAAAACAAGTGAAAATATTATGTCCAGAATGTTTTGAGCAAACACCTTATATAAATTACTTTTGCATTTACTCGTAATATTTCATAATGCTAAAAAATATCATCCTTGCGTCAAGAACTCCTTTAACTACATTCCTAAAAATAAAATACAACATTCAAAGTCTTAAAAACATGATTTAAAATTGCCACTGAGAATTTAAGGTGCACATTATTAAACACATTATTTCTGCTTAATCTATAAAACCCTAAAACATTTTTTTCTATAAACTAATTTCTATCAAAAAGTGACAGAGCTTAAAATAAATAAACGTTCCTCCTCTTTCTTGATCCACCGTAAAAGTTTGTTAATGGCTGCTATGGCAACAGGTTTTGTCACAAGAGGTCCAAATACTGCATAGAGTTCAAACCCTTGAGTTAACTGAAATTAAATATTCAAATACGTAAGATTTTATGTAAATTTCATTTGAGGGGTAAAATTGTCACTGACACACAAAATAATACATTTTCAATTCTGCAAACAAGAAATATGCACAAATCCATCATAATAATTTTTCATGCAGTCCTCCTGTTGCAGTAATAAAGCTGTTTCATGTGCCGTATGTCTTGTGGTAATATATAACGAATTTCGCACTCATACATCCTAGCAGTGTTTATGCTGCCCTACGCTGTTATAAATAAGGAGCTTTACACTCACCCATTCTAGCAGTGTTTCGTGCTGCTCAACATTAACCTTTATACTCACCCATTCTAGCAGTGTTTCATGCTGCGGTCTGCTGCCCTACACTGTTGTAAATAAGGAGCTTTACACTCATACATCCTAGCAGTGTTTCATGCTGCCCTACACTGTTATAAATAAGGAGCTTTACACTCACCCATTCTAGCAGTGTTTCGTGCTGCGGTCTGCTGCCCTACACTGTTGTAAATAAGGAGCTTTACACTCATACATCCTAGCAGTGTTTCATGCTGCCCTACACTGTTATAAATAAGGAGCTTTACACTCACCCATTCTAGCAGTGTTTCGTGCTGCGGTCTGCTGCCCTACACTGTTGTAAATAAGGAGCTTTACACTCATACATCCTAGCAGTGTTTCATGCTGCCCTACGCTGTTATAAATAAGGAGCTTTACACTCATACATCCTAGCAGTGTTTCATGCTGCCCTACACTGTTATAAATAAGGAGCTTTATACTCACCCATCCTAGCAGTGTTTCGTGCTGCTCAACATTAACCTTTATACTCACCCATCCTAGCAGTGTTTCATGCTGCCCTACACTGTTATAAATAAGGAGCTTTACACTCATACATCCTAGCAGTATTTCATGCTGCCCTACACTGTTATAAATAAGGAGCTTTACACTCATACATCCTAGCAGTGTTTCATGCTGCCCTTCGCTGTTATAAATAAGGAGCTTTACACTCATACATCCTAGCAGTGTTTCATGCTGCCCTACACTGTTATAAATAAGGAGCTTTACACTCATCCATTCTAGCAGTGTTTCGTGCTGCGGTCTGCTGCCCTACACTGTTGTAAATAAGGAGCTTTACACTCATACATCCTAGCAGTGTTTCATGCTGCCCTACACTGTTATAAATAAGGAGCTTTACACTCACCCATTCTAGCAGTGTTTCGTGCTGTGGTCTGCTGCCCTACACTGTTGTAAATAAGGAGCTATACACTCAGACATCCTAGCAGTGTTTCATGCTGCCCTACACTGTTATAAATAAGGAGCTTTACACTCACCCATTCTAGCAGTGTTTCGTGCTGCGGTCTGCTGCCCTACACTGTTGTAAATAAGGAGCTTTACACTCATACATCCTAGCAGTGTTTCATGCTGCCCTACACTGTTATAAATAAGGAGCTTTACACTCACCCATTCTAGCAGTGTTTCGTGCTGCGGTCTGCTGCCCTACACTGTTGTAAATAAGGAGCTTTACACTCATACATCCTAGCAGTGTTTCATGCTGCCTTACACTGTTGTAAATAAGGAGCTTTACACTCACCCATCCTAGTAGTGTTTCACGCTGCCCTTCGCTGTTATAAATAAGGAGCTTTACACTCATACATCCTAGCAGTGTTTATGCTGCCCTACGCTGTTATAAATGAGCTTTACACTCACCCATCCTAGCAGTGTTTCATGCTGCCCTACACTGTTATAAATAAGGAGCTTTACACTCACCCATCTTAGCAGTGTTTATGCTGCCCTACGCTGTTATAAATAAGGAGCTTTACACTCATACATCCTAGCAGTGTTTCATGCTGCCCTACACTGTTATAAATAAGGAGCTTTACACTCATACATCATAGCAGTGTTTCATGCTGCCCTACACTGTTATAAATAAGGAGCTCTATATTCACCCATCCTAGCAGTGTTTCATGCTGCCCTACGCTGTTATAAATAAGGAGCTTTATACTCACCCATCCTAGTAGTGTTTCATGCTGCCCTTCGCTGTTATAAATAAGGAGCTTTACACTCATACATCCTAGCAGTGTTTATGCTGACCTACGCTGTTATAAATAAGGAGCTTTACACTCACCCATCCTAGCAGTGTTTATGCTGCCCTACGCTGTTATAAATAAGGAGCTTTACACTCATACATCCTAGCAGTGTTTCATGCTGCCCTACACTGTTATAAATAAGGAGCTTTACACTCATACATCCTAGCAGTGTTTCATGCTGCCCTACACTGTTATAAATAAGGAGCTTTACACTCATACATCCTAGCAGTGTTTATACTGCCCTATGCTGTTATAAATAAGGAGCTTTAACTCATACATCCTAGCAGTGTTTCATGCTGCCCTACACTGTTATAAATAAGGAGCTCTATATTCACCCATCCTAGCAGTGTTTCATGCTGCCCTACACTGTTATAAATAAGGAGCTTTATACTCACCCATCCTAGCAGTGTTTCATGCTGCTCAACATAAACTTTATACTCACCCATCCTAGCAGTGTTTCATGCTGCCCTACGTGGTACAGTATTTTCAGTGGACGGTCAGTCATGTGGATCCTGTGGTGTAGATACAGGTACAGACCAAACAGTCGCTCCTGTTCCTCCGGCTTCAGGTACGGAGCCTCGATCTCGGGACTGGTGAATTGAGCGGTGGAGCGTGACTTATACAGGAAATGACGTAAATCTGATATACCACACTGCCGTATACTGTAACTGGTGTTGGCCACTGAATCACTAATGGCTTTTAGACCATTGTATTTTTCTAATTTCTGAAAATTGAAATGGTACCCCATTTATATTCATGATGAAATTCCCAGTCCCTAAATATTTCTACTATTCACATACATAAAATATGGCTGACATGCATTTACATAACAAGTAAAAAAAAAAACTCTAAGAAAACTTTAAATGGAAAAATTTTAAAAATTGATATATTAACAGTTTAGGGTATTGATAGCACTGTTTATCATGAAGGAAATCAATAATCCTCTTATTTATCCTCCCTGTTGGATTAAAGCATACCTCCAGGATTTTGTTTTTGCATTCAGAGAGAGTAAAGAATGACTCCCTGTCCACAGACAGCAGGAGGAGACAGGTCTGACAGCCCTCGTCCAGGTAGGATATGTGAGCCTGGAGGTACCCACTGAAAAACAGGTCATGGTAATGCCTATATCACACTTACATGTAACAGGACATGTTTATAATGTTTTCAATCTCATACACTTAGCTATGACATCTCAACTGCTAAACTATGATGTCATGTAGCTTATGACACCATATTACAAAAAGACAGAGGCAAAGGGAAAAATAAAAGAAAAATAATCAACAGAAAATTTCATTCATGAGACAGGAATTTTTTTAATATTTTCAAATGAAGTGAAAATACATCACTTCAAAAAAATCCTGTCCCACCCTTGAAATAAATTCCATATCCAACAACAAAACTCTGAATATCCTCTTTCTCAATTTCTACAAACACTAATTACCTGGAGTCAAACTTGGGAAGACATATTGGTATCCAGGATTCGGCGGCCTTGAATGACTCTGAGGAGTTGACTAGGTTAATGATGAGATGTAGATCCATGGGGTGGAGGTAGTACTTCTTCATACGGACCAGGGTCACCAGCTGATTGTCTGCCAGTATCAGGGCAAACACCAAGTCCTAAAATTCAGCACATTCAACAGTCAACAGAATCTTATGTACTAAGTGCTTAACAAACAATGGGTTAAGGATAATGTTAAGATACTTGTTAAGTATGATTTACTTTAGAGTCAGCTCACTCAGCTGTACAATTTTGTACAATTAATAAATATTACTCATCGGCTGATGGGAAAGATGTTTCATAGTTATAATGTTTTAGAATCATCTGCTCATGTATCATCATTTTTGGAACTAAAACCTAACAAATAACCTATTGCTTAGCTAAGACATTTTAGACCCAGTAATCTTTTTAAACATGAAAATGATGATTGTTTGTTAAAAAAAAGAATGATTCTTTCTTCCTGACCTTGACCCTTGCTTGTTGTACTACACTCTGTGCTATCTGCTCCCTGACATGAAACTCCAGAGGTAAACACCTTACAGCTCCCAGTAAAAAACTGGCATCACTATCCATCATATTTAACAAGTTATCCAGGAATTTCTCCGCCCCACTTAGCAGCCTCCGGAGGTCGTAATTACGTCTCTGTTTAAATATCTTATTCAGCGTTGAGTGAGTCAGAACACTGAGGATCTGGTTGTATAGATAAGAGAGCTGGTGCAGAAGTTGGTGCTGGGAGTCCTGACTGCTGCACACCGCCACCAGGATCAGGTGATCCCGAACCAGGAACACAAACTTATGATCGCCGGCAATGACACAGCGGATATTGTCTTTGTTTGAATCGTGAACAAATGAAACTAAAGCTTGTAAAAGTCCCATTATAGTTACAAGTTTGTCTTCATTTCCATATCTGTAAAAGAAAATGAATATCAATCAAGTAATGAAGTATTTAAATAAACAAGTAAATGATCGATTATACTATAGTCTGTATTTCGTGGTGTGTATATCAAACTCCATAATTAAATTTTAGCAAATGTACTGCTATTCACTGAAAAAAGATCCACTTTTTTTTCAAATATTCATTTCTAAACTATCACCATCATGTGCATGTGTTAAAGAAAATCAAAATATTAATCCACCTTTTTTCAAATCTGTTTCGAATATATAAATACAATTTACCTTTAAAATCAGTAAATGTTTTTGTCAACGAAAAAAAAATTATGTATTTACATAGATTACACAAAATTCCTGACCTTGAGTAAACAGGTTTTCCAGATTCACTTAAGATAAAGATGTGCTTCTTCCTTTGTCTCCATTCCGCTGTCTGTGTCTCATCCAGTTCCTCCTCAGGGATTTCCTGGGGTACCAATTTCACCTTTTCAACATCACTACTAAGCTACAGAAATGAAAACGCATTCACTTAAAGTGCGCAGTTTTCAAAAATAAAAAAAACGTTGCTGGAGAGTATCTGGTATATTATCTATTTATCCTCATTAAAGAGAGTAAAAATCCTGATTGGCCACAGAGGCCTGCTCCCAGCCTTTTATAACTAAACCCACTTTTATTCATGTGTGAGAAATTTTCACGATGTTCACGGAAGCTTGATGATCATGAATATTTCTTGCCGTGAACTGGTCCTTAAAGTCTCTGTGTCTATTAACTACAGATAAAAAAAGCTTAATCACAAAAACTGATCATCCCGAGGTAGTTTAACCCTGGTAAATCGCAAAATAAAGTTGTCGCGAATAAAAGTTGGTTTACAGTGTATTAAAATATCATATACATAGTCATCTATATCTACATCTTTCCTACCAGGGTCAGGTGAGATCTAGCTTCAAAAATGATTGAATGACTTCTCCCTATCATCTGTTGACCTACATATGCCATTTTGAAGATGCAGTGAGCCGAAACGTCCTCGATTCTTGCATCTGTTTATCGAAAGCAACGAAAGTGCCGATTTCTAACGATGAAAAATGTAGAGGCATCCCGGAATTACACGTAAAATCTAGAGAGAACAAGTTTGGCGCGGTTTCTGACCTCTCTAGATTTTCCATGTAAATGTAATTTCGGGACGCCTCTATATTTTTTATCATTAGAAATCGGCAGTTCTGTTGCCTTTGATTTCTGTGCTAGGTATCGAGGAAGTTTTGGCTGTATTGCACGCTTTATACGGCAAGTTCAAATCGGCAGATGTTTGAAAGGCGTTATTCAATCATTTTTGAAGCTAGATCTTACCTGACACCGGCATGAAAAATGTAGATATAGATGAAAATTAAGTGTGAACCAAGGTACCCCCTGATTTTCAAGATGGGGAGTGATGCTCCTTTACTCTTTTTATATACAGTAATTCAGTAAACATGGTAAATATGACATTTTTAAAACGTGCTAATTTCAGCGAATTTTTATTTTGATGAGGGTATTCAAACACACATAGAAAAACACATAATACACAAAATACACCATCCTGAAACCAAGCGCCTGTGTGCAAGATTGCAATGGTTGTGTTGGGCACATAGATGCAAATTATCTTGAAAAAATTAAAATAAAAAGAATCAATTTTCATTTATGCATTTTGTGCTATATAATTCTACTGACTTGTTCGCCTTCAGATCGTCCCTCTTCTCCGCCTGATATCTCATCATTGGACGATTGGTTTTTGGTGTCGTCTTGTGAGCTTTGTCGAACTAGTTCGTGAATGACCCCGCTCGGCTGGCTATCATATTCCTCAAGTGCCTCGTAGTCGACATTAATGAAAGGTTCCTCGATATCCTTGCGTCTTACTTCTGGCTCTATGAAATCACTCTGCTCGGATTCGGAGGTTGAAACATGTTCCGCCTCTCTATTTTCTGCCATCTTGATCCATCGATTATTACCTCCGGTACCAAAGAGTCAACTTTCACTTTGAGACAAAAAGGCGCCAAATTTCAAATAAAAATGAACATGCTTGAAAAATGGCGAAGAGTAAAATACCTAGACGTTTTTTTTTTACTTCAAATAATTTAGAATGAAATTAAATTGATACACTTTACTTACATGTATCTGTGTATGAAACTTTGATTTTATATAAAACTCGTTTCTAGCGTTTACATATCCATGGCATCCAAGGTTGATGACTTTTGAGTATATCACAAGACCCTATGTAGAAGATCAGAAAATGTGGCCTATAATTCTATAACTAAAGTTCAGTTGTTAGAGTACCTGTCCAGAGTTCAAAGTCCAGGTTATACCCTGGTCTGGACTGGCTAATTTCTTCCTTTTGTGAAGATCTTTAGAGTTACCTTAATTTCCTGATCACAACAAAATATTGGCTTAAACTTTGCCAGATTTTCTTGAAACGGGCTTTTCTGCATGTGAAAAAAGATCTCATTTTGGAAAACAAAAATCTTCTCCTAACGTTTTCTTTACTGAATTTACCCTCATTATCTCAAACTCTCGTTTATCTTAATGTTTTTTGGCCCATCAATTTCGAAATAATGAGGTTTGACTGTAAATGTATCTATAAAATGAAAAGTAGAGTGGGGATGTGTGTAAATACATACAATTTTAGGGGGCTTGTCTTCCAGATTGTTTACAAGCAAAATAAATTAATAAAATTTTGAATCTTCTGTGGGTGTGGTACATATACATCTTTTTTAAACATGGATTTGCTTGCTTGAATGAGTCAGTATCTTTCAACAACTTTTAAGTACACATTTGTATCTAAAGAAGATTCAAAATTTCATTACTTTAATTCACACTTAATAATCAGAAGACAAGCCCCTATGCATACAATGTAACTTTGTATACTGTGGAATCATCAGTGTTTGTAGGAGACCAGTGTTAAAAGTGGATTTCCTGCATCACCCACGAAATAACATCCCCGTGAACATCTTTTGTCAACATATTTACTCGTTAAATATTCTGTATATGAGTTATCCATGAAATTAACATCCCTGCTACAAACCAACATAATTTTGTATATACCCATAAACATTGAACCACACAAATTAAAATATCCATAGTATATATTTTTTGAAGATTTCTAAATTGTTAACGCAATATATATTTAAGAAATGTTACTGAAATTTTGGTATTAAATTACTAAATTTTACATTTCCTCATGCCTAATTAATTATCAAAGACCTCTATTTTAGCTATGGGTTACATGGCTGATTTATAAATGTTTTTTGATGAAAAATAGTAAGACATTGAATATCATGGCATTTGTTAAAACAATACAAAGGAATCTGTACACATGTATTTTTAATGAGAAGATGAGAAAATGCCCTGTGTCCTTCTAAAATCCAGTTATTAAAAATTTATCATAGAGAAATATTAACTAATTGTAAGTACACTGAAAGCAATATGAGCTGCAACTTTGAAAATTTTATTTTGCTGTTAAAATGTGTTAATATGATAAATTTGTGTGCAACTTAAACCTTTATTATCAATTAGACTAAAATAAAGCAGAAGAAAGACTTCTTTACACAATCCAATATAAAGTTTTACGTAAGAAATAATTATTATACAAGAGGACAATAATGTAACTTCGATTAAATTGAAGCTTAAAAATAGTTCTTCCATTGCAAATATGAATAACAGAAGTTTATCAACACTATTTTTTCTTTGTCATAAATAGTTATTTAAAACAATTTTGCAATAAAAAATTCCAACATCAAAGTTGCAGCTCATATAGCTTTAATTTATGTTATAGTAACAATAAAAAAAACTTTAGACCAAAGCTTTTCAAATTCATTAAATGAAATTAGAGAATTTTAAATTTATAAGCAAGTCAATGAAAAAATTTCTTAGTGAACACAATAATTCCTAAATTGCACCAAATTAAATTGTCCTTTTAAAAATGCACAAATTTAATTTTTTTTTATTAAAAACAAAAAACAATCTTGAGTTCTATAAAAGTACTTACACCCAACAACCTTTGTATATGATTAAATTACAAATTTTACACAGTCAAGACATAATTAGCTACCAATCAGAAACTTTCAAATCATGACCATTATTTTACTAAAAAGTTTAAATTACAAAAAAAATGGGGCAGGGGACAAATTGCACATACAACTTTGAAAGATCATACTTTTTTTCATTTTTCAATAGTTTATAATGCAGTTTTGTACGTAAAAGTTTATATACATAAAGTTGTGTCTTTTTTTTCACTATTATCCTTTCACCAGAAGAAGAATATCTAAGTCACGGATGGCAGTGGTTTCCTGGACCGTCTCATGCTGTCATTTCTTCCCTGACTTCTTGATTCCTCCACCCGCTGTGTTGGAAGATGAAAAAAAACAAAATTAATGTACAAGTATATTTGTAAAATCTTTTATAATGATATTTTTATTTTAAGATTACCGTGTAAGTGGAAATTTTAGCGAGACACAATTTTAGCGATTTGTCCTTAAAAACTGGTAATTCATTTTTAGCGAGATGTTATTTTAGTGATTTTTAAATTACACTAAAGAAGCTGTTACAAATAATATGCAATTAATTTTTAGCGATACTCAATTTTAGTGATCTATGCACCCTCGCTAATAATGCCAAAATTAAATCCTCACTAAAAATTCTACTTATACGGTATTTTACAAACTATCAGCACTCAAAAAATTTATGTTTTAAAAATTTTTTTTATGCTGAGTAGTGCATTTTAAAATTTATATATTCCAAATTTGACTGCATAATGATCCTGTCTGAAAAAATGAAGTGTATGTACCAAACAGAAAATGGGAGATTTTGCAGCTTGTATCAAAGTGAGAAAGATTACTTAGATTATTACAGTGAATAGTTTCACCCTTTCACCCCCCCCCCCCCAAAAAAAAAAGAAATAAAAATAAACACACATTTCCTTCCCAATCTAAAAATGTATATTTCCAGGCATATGTCTTGTCTTAAAAGAGTCTGAATATTTCATTCTTAATAAAGTGATTCTTTTCTAGGTTTTATCACCATATTACACAATAATTGTACATTGAATTGAATTTACTATAGATGTATTTTATTCACACTCAGTGGGAATTTCCTAGGATTTATCACCCCTTTATACAATCTAGATGTCTAACACGGAGTGGATCTTTTCTAGGTTTGGAATATTTCATACTTAGAGGTCCTTTCCCTGCAGCTTTAGCCTGCATCTCTTTCATCGCTTTCTGTTGCTCCTTCTGCTTTTGTTTATAAGCCAAATCATCCTACAAAATCAAAATATATAAATTGTATTTTCTCAATTTCTATAAAATTTTAAATAAGAAGAAGGAAAAGAAAACCAGACATACATTTATGTTTGGAATGATAGTTATAATCACCAAACAGCTGTTTGCAAGTTTGCATTTCGGATAAAGTCATTTAACATCTTGATACACGTACAGCACATATTCTAGAATCTAGAAAAAAATGTACTGTACACATTTACATTTGCTGATATAATCTTTGAGATGTTGTGAAATTTACTTTTGCAGAAAAAAATTGATTTGATTATATTATGGTACATTTTTGTACTGCTATGGTATAACTACTTTAAGACTATATATTTATCAAAAAATTACTCCCAAAATCTTTACAACAATTGAATGAAATTTAAATTTTTGTAAAAAAAACAAAACATTACATCATCTAAGTCCGCCTGTTGTTTTTTGGGGGTCTTCAGGGGTTTCTTTTTGCCACCTGCAACATAAAAAGTTACATTTAGTACATAGTAGACTAGTACAAGGTAAAATACGGAGATAGTCTCAGAGCCATGTCAGCGTTTGCCATTATCATGAATATGGCATGTACTACCAACCCCATCAGAAGTCTAGTCGTACTAGTGTATGTCAGAGTGGTCTGGATGTGTAAAATATATATGAACTAGACTGATAAGTCTTGCTGACAATTAAAACAACTGTTGAACCCATAATTATCCCTATTTCCAGACTTGGTTCATCTATTAGTTTGTATTTTAAACTACGTCATATTTCGCCAAAATATCATTTTGCCCTGCAAAAGAGTAGTACCGCATTTACTGTGAAAGGGTCTTTTACATTATAAAGCCTGAACTTCTACACATTATTAATTAATTTAGAAAAGAAATTTCTCTCTTATTTAGGTCAATATTGGATGATGAAACCTTTAATGTCCTATATGCATGTAAATTCAAAAAATGAATTTTTAATGTACATGATGTATATCATTTGATTTGGTTATGGTAAATTGTAAAAGCTTTTTTAAATAAAATAATTCTGATTAAACAATTGCTTATAAGTATCGATAATATATACCATACATATAAAATTAAATTGTGGTATAACGTTATATGTCGTGTATGTCATTACGCGGTATGAAGTACATATAAACAGATTTTTTACTTTACAAATCTGGTCATGACCAGATTTTTCCATTGGAGGTTGGCAAGTATGCTGTTGGGTAATTCAAAGCATCTCCGGGCACGTGTTAAATCCAATCGCATTTCTTCTCTATTTAAATTTATACACCTCTAAATTTTAAACAATTTTTAACAAATGTTTTCATTCAATGAAATAAATACCTTCTCTGCCGGACATTTTATTTTTGCTGCTGGTAGTCCCACTACGACGCAGTCAAGCCGCAAGTGAAGTCTTTTTAAAAACAAAATAATGAAGAAACTACTCGAGGAGTTCCGAATATATTGCAATTTTTTTGTTTGTATATCGATCCCGGTGTAATAGGTGACAGGTACCTGATGTTATTATACCCCCGCTTTCAAGTGGGAGGGTATATAGTAATCGGTATGTCTGTCCGTCCGTCTAGCTGTCTGTACGTCCATCCGTCCGTTCGTCCGTCCGCCTGTCTGAACATTACGCTTTAGGGTACCAATCTCTTATCCGCAACTCCTCTCATACTGAATGAAATTTAATGAATTTTTCACGGAATCTTTATTACATATTGCCATTGTGCACCTCCTATTTTACTTTTTGATCCGACACATATTTTGGGTTTCCCATAGCACAACATGGACACTGCCATTTTATACATATGGGAGGCGGGGGTGTCATTTAGTGAGCTCACTGCTCACAGTACCTCTAGTTTTTCTTACATATATACATGTATATAATATAATACACATGTATTTCAAAAAAAAAAAAAAAAAAAAATAAGATAAAAAACATACCTAATTGGTAGTACCAGAGACATATACCTAATAACGTAACGTCAGTTACCTGTGTAAGGTGAGGTTAAACATGATAATTATAACAAAAAATTAATCAAACAGAGGAATTTAAGACAAATTTAGGACATCAAAGCACTGACGAATTGACCACTTTTTATTGTCTTTCATACTTTTGTATTAATACTTTTTTTACCGGCCCACCCAATCACAGTTAGGGGCGGAGTACGTACCCCCTACCCAATGAATAAACCAAAAATTACACCTTTTTAACAATTTTCCAAGCTACTTTTTGCGCTTTATTTATCATGTTTATTCTTCAGCATATGTACTCTTATTATTATTATTGTATTATGAAATATGATAATGTGTTTTTGTATTCCAGATCTTAATGACAGTATACTCAATCAAGTAAACTGAATAACAGTAGTATAAGAGTTTCTACAGGGAATTCAAATTAATTATTTCTAAAGTATTAAAAATTGCACGCATCAGTTATATCTTGGAAGTCAGAGCTTGACATTCGACAAACTGAAGATGCATTTAAAATGAAGAATAATTTTAATTAATTTTCCTAAAAATTTTCAGATTAATTTAAAATATTTTATTCAGGCCAAATTCTTTTAAGGAAAAAAAACTTTTAAAAAAAAGTTTCCAATAAATGGCACCATTTAAGGATGCACCATTCAGCTGTTTAGAGCCATTTAAATTAAATGGACACTCTCATATCCTCACCTCTCGGCCCCCTACCCCGTCCCCCCCCCCCCCCCTTACATGAACTTCTATCTATACTTCAAACATCTTTCGGATGGGGATTTTATCAGCTTATAAATCTTTTAAACTAAAATAAATAAATGAACATGATAAAAAAAAATATTATTAAACACCAGAAGTGGAATCAGGTGCCATTGTGGAGTAATATTGTTATTTGGATATCATATACATCCGAGGCATCATATTTACATGCATATATTCGGCAGTTCTGGGATTTTTTTTTTGGGGGGGGGGGGAGGGGGGGGGGGGTTCTAAATGTCAGAATCTGCAATCTTTTGAGAATTCTTACAAAATGAAAAAAAAAATCCCGAAACCCGAAAACCACAGACGGAAATTTTATACCATGTGTGCAGGAGGGGATCCAGAAGGGGGGGGGTACTTATTTTCTATGACAATATAAAATAAAATTAAATAGCCCTGAATATTTAGATAACGAAGATCATTCAAGTCTTAAAGTCCATTGGAACAGTAAAAATTTGGAGTAAAGTACGTATAAACATATGAACCTCTAAAAACATCGGGGCTGTTGGGATCATGTACCATGAAGGAGTTAAGAATCTCTGTCGATCAGTCATGATGATATATTTTCACGATCAGGCGTACAGAAATCATTGTGTAAAATAATGTCTTAACATGAAAACTCGTCTAACAATTTGTATAAAAAATACTCAGTCATCATTCGAGTTAATTCTCTCTCATGATTTTTAAAAATACCCCCCCCCCCGTAACCAAAATGGCTTCCTACAGGCCAGTTGAATGTTTGGACCTTTGCCTTTATATTAAGATATTAAGTGTAATTGTGTTTGTGCTCATAAATAATTCTGAAAATAACAAATAAAAGCCTTTCGTCTCTATTCAGATCGGGCTTGATATTCTGAATTTTTAAAGTAAGATGAGTTCCGAGAGTTTAACATTTGTAACCGCATCACTGATTGGACGAAATTGCTGACAGGCTCAGTAGCAACCAACATGGCTTCCATTTCTTGTGTGACTTTTGAAAATTCTATAAAACTTTTGACATAAGCAAATTATCATGGTATAAGATGTGGTTATGCAACACAGAGCTTTTGGCGACTTATAAGCATGTATAAAACTGATTATCAGGTAAAACAAATGTCACATATCTTGATATCTGTACAAGTGTCACTTGTACTTAACCAGGTCCAGCACAATGTCTTGATAAAGCTATATAGCTTTAAAAAGCTATATAGCTTTATTAAGCTATCTAAAATAGCTTAATAAAGCTATTCATATGCAGTTTTTAACAAAAACGTTTTTTGTAAAAAAAATAAACAAAAAGTCGCAAGTATTTGACTAAGCATATATCACAGGGGCTTGTGTAGAGGTACCAATTTTTTTAACTGATTTATTTTCTCTACACAAGCCCCTGTGCATATATGTACTTTTGGCTATCAAAAATACATGTACAACCTAAATAATAGAAAGTTCTAACATTGCTGTTGTTGAATACTTTTAAGCAAAAGGTGTATTTCCATTGTTTGAGTAACTGTGAGTGCGGTGAGGCGTGGATAAGTATGATTGCTTCTCATTGTGGTGAACTGTTACCAATCAATTATCCTGTTGGCCATAACTGACCTCCTTTTATATTTCATTCAAGAAATAACTGTGTGGTCACTCATCAATAGCCCCCACACTTTTAAAACTTTGAGTACAAAGTCTCTGAAGGAGACGCAATTTGGTGAGTGATTTTTACATGTATTGTATTCAGAAGAATTCAAAGTTTAATATTTCCACTGCACCAAGGTGCGACTTTTTGCACACGCTGAACAAATAAAACATTTGAGAAGAAAGTGTGATAAAATAGCTTAATCAAGCTATTCTGAATAGCTTGATAAAGCTATATAGCTAAATCAAGCTATATAGCTTAATCAAGACATTGTGCCGGACCTGTTAACTAGTGGAAAATATGCAGAGCAGTGTACAGTTTTATCGTTTAAATATTGGTGCATTTCTTTTAAAAACGACATGAACTTTTTAAAGAATATGTAAGATTGAGTTAGTTGCTGTTTAAATATGATATTTAATGACATATTCGCCCTGCTGTCTTGTTTTGCACCACCTTCTCTTCAGCTGTTCTTTGAACAATGCCCACTTTTCTGAGTCATTCGAAATTTCCTCTACACGATGTGCACATCGTAAATATTGATTGACAACTGAAAATGGGCAATTCAATAAAAAAGAAGCGTAATTTGTGCATAGCCTATTTTACTGTTAACAGGTAGAGAGATACTGGTATTTGAATTCGAATCCTAGATTTATTTGGCAAATTGAAACAATAAACAATAAACAGATCCAGTACATCACTACATTTAGCTACATAGGTAGAATTACCTACGTAGCTTTATTTACCTACCTCAGGTAGCTTTATTTAGCTATTTCAAGGTAAGTTTTCAAAAGTTTTATTTTTATTAAAAAGAGACAAAAAGTCGCAATTAAATGACTATTGATATTTATACTAGGGAGGCTTAAAAAAACAATCCAAAGCAGAGATAGTTTATACATTGCTGCGTTTGGACAATTTAGAGCAAAACATGTAATTCCATTGTTTGGTTAACTATCCTCTCGGTGAGGCATGCCAGAGTATGATTACTTCACATTGTGCTGAATAATTACCGACCTATTATCGTGTTAACTGGAACTGGACTTCTTTGTCATTTCATTCAAGGAGTAACTGTTCTAACTGTCATACATAGCCCCAAAACTTTCAGAACTTTGATTGCAATTGCGCAGAAAAAGACATTTTTCCAAGAGGGATTTTTTCATGAGTTGTTTTCAGATGAGTTCAAAGTTGAAAATGATCACTGCATCAAAATGACATTTTCTGCACACCCTGAGAAAAATGCTTTTTAACAGAAATACTGTAAAACGAGAATATTTGGCGCACTACTAATTTTAGCGCCTTTGGCGCAAGATTCCCTGAGAGCTAAAATTTATTGTGCGCTAAAGGATTTCTAAATATCATTTTTTGTGCGTGTTCAAAGCTTTTACATAAGTACATGTAAACCGGAACGCACGATTACGTAATGTCGAAGGGTCATTGGATTTTATATAGACACTAGCATTGCACATGTTCGGAAGACAGAAAGTTCTGCCAAATTATAATTTAATTAAACTATTGTTACCTCAGTAGTTGTTACCCGATTATTATCATTAGCACCTTCAAAGTTTGGCTTCTCGGCTTGTCGATCATCTATCGCCTCGATGTAAACAATGCAATCAAGCATGGTGATTGAGCTTGCGGACATTACCTGGGGCTCGTAACATAAAGCTTGCTAAGTTTTTGACTTAAGTAGGGTCGTAAGTACGTTTTAGGCACAATCTTAGGACCTGTCTAAGTACTACTTAAGTATGTCTTAAACCGTAACATAAAGCGAACTTAGCTAGGTCTTAGCTAAGTCAAACTTATGTTAAAAATATTTCATATGAGTCATCCTATGGTTTTTGATTTTATATAGATATATTGCGAAAAGTGATTCATTTAAGGTTTTAATTTATTACATATTGAAGTTGACGTCCTTACCTATTGGTTTAAGTTATGATAGATTAGATTTCATATTAAAATCATAATTATGTTATGAATTAATCGGAATGTTTGGAAACAAACACCGCACGGTCAAAAAGTGGCGATTTGTGGTTCTCTCTTTTCTGTTTTTAACAAATCATTTCAACTCATTTTTTCAAAGTGAAAATACAGATCCATGGTTTATTATTGTGTTCAATTTATTTCTATAGCCAAGGTCCCACTAATTTCAGACATATCCCTAAAATAAAATTTTGTATTTACATGTTTGCTGTGTTGGGAGTGATATTGGAATCAGTGATCAGCACCCCCCCCCCCCCCCCCAGCGAAAAAATAAAATTCTTAAATCAGCGTCAAATAGAGATAATTATTTTCTTTAATACATAATATGAATAGAGGAATGTTTTAACATCGAAAGTCAACATTAAAGAATTCTAAATATATGTACAAGAAATCAAATACGGGTGTGGATACAAAAAATATCACATATATATATTTTACTGACAAGTGCAAGCGCTAAATTTTATTTGCGCCAATGCATTCCCACTTGCATTTGCGCTAAAATACGTATGCGCCAAATTTTCTCATTTTACAGTAAATCAATTTGGTAGCTAAATAAAGCTACCTCAGGTAGGTAAATAAAGCTATGTAGGTAAATCAAGCTACGTAGCTAAATCTAGTGATTGTACCAGACCTGATAAATGGTCACAATTGACTTATAATTATTATTTTTTTTGACAGGGTTATTGTGAATAAAAATATAATTACTTTTTGTTTTTTTTAAGCAATGAATCATTATTTTTTTTAAAAGTAGTTCTTAACCAGTCAGGGGTCAGACTGAAATCTGTCATTAAAAAAATAGCAATTTTTAGTAAATTTAATAAATTTACAATTAGATTTATATGTATGATTCTTCAATGAAAACACTGCAGTGTATCATATAAAATCATTGACTTTAACAATTTCAGGTTTAAGTTTTTGAAATGACCCATTCTTCATGTTCTAGGGTGGACCCTTTGTCGAGATTTTTTCTGCACAAGGCAAAGACCCCTTGCATGGCTGGAAACATAGTGGAGGGATTAGAAGAGAGTATGAGAAAGATGTCAAAGGTTATCTGTACTGTCTGGAGGGTTCTACCACCACCACAAAGATACAGCTTCCTAAAGGTAAGATGTCAAAGGTCATCCATAATACCACCACCACCACCACAAAGATACAGCTCCCTAAGGTAAGATGTCAAAGGTCATCTGTACTACCACCACAGATATACAGCTTCCTTAAGGTAAGATGTCAAAGGTCATCTGTAATACCACCGCACAGTCTAAGACACCTTCCTAAAGGTAATAGTCAATTTATGTGTCTCTGAACATATATTTAAGACTGAGTTTATAGTTTAGGATTCATGCTGTGTGGATGAAACTGCACTTTCTGCCTCTAAAATATTGTTGAAAATCTGCTTCTTAAATTTGCACTCAAATTCATTGAGCAAATTAAGTTTACCAAAGAGTTGGAACTGTTAAAAGATTGTTTGTGATAGTTTTACAAGATTCTAGTAAACAGATTCACCTATTTATGTATATTTAATACACCATTATTTGATAACATGAAGTTACGCTTGGCAGTTATTTAACACATCTTTTTTTTTTTTCCAGCCAATCTTATACAGAGATACCTAGTCTTTCAGATGTTTGTTCCAAGAGGAAAAGAATTTTCTTTTGAAATTGGGTATGTGGGTTATATACTGTACATAAATTATACAATTTTTATCAGAGCTTTATGATGACATTTTTGTTGGAAATGTGTTTTGAGTTCATCTCATGATTTGTAAGACCCTTCTTAACTTACCTGAACTGAAGATTCCTGCAAACGATTGGGACAAAGTCATAAAACTGGAGTGATGGTTTCCTAACATGTATAGATTCAATGCCCCGATGGGGTGAGGACCAAAGTTCATGATTAATGATATTTATGTGCAAGCATATTGGGATCAAAATATTTCATAGGAATTCATGTATATAAGATTTTTTAATGTCTCAAAAAGGCATGTAATTAAGTTTATATTTACTTATAAATATGCAAACAGCCTTAGATAGTGGAGACACAAGTTTGTTCAAATCATGATTCCCAAAGGTAGGTTTTCCCGGAATTGGGAATGAAAGAGTTTTACTTGGGAATATATAGAAAATTGAGGTAAACTTTGTAGTTCATTAGACTCTTGAGATGTACTCCCATTTTTACCCATAAGGCTTTGAAAACTTTAAACTGACATGAAATTTTGAGTACTTTTGAAGTTCTGAAAAGCTTCATACCAAGAACTGAAGTAAAAGTCTATTAAAGGCACTTTGTCTAAACTGAACATTGTTTCAGTGCAAAGCAAGAAAGTATTAAATAAAAATCACCATTTATCAGTTTGTTATAACACATCTACTTTATCAGATTCCCTACATTGATTTTTCCTTTACTCTTTCAGGGTCATAGATCAAAGGAAAAACAAGAGAAGACTTATGTTTTCCTCAGCACAGAAGGACATACAGGCAAATGAACTCCACGCTCGCATACCTCTCACCATAGTCAGGAGACACATGGTAATGTCAGATATAGTACTGCATTCATGTAATACATACAGGCAAATGAACTCCATGCTCGTAGCTGCCCCACTGTAGTTGGGAGAAACATGCTTTTGTTCAGTATTACCTAATACATGTACCTCATAAACATAGAGTACAATGAACCAGAACTTTTAATTGAAATCCAAGCACTCCAATTCACTTTAGCATTATTAAAAGTTTAAATTCCATCATCTGAGTACATGATACTCAACATGTAAATACTACTAAAAATAGAAAAAGATTGTAAATTATGTCAAAATGCAGACCCTATTTTATTGTGATCTGTTGTGTTTTAGTGGGTTAATATGTGTGTGGACTTGGTGTCTGTTAATACCTGGTTGGACCCTATCTGATTGTGATCTGTTGTATTTTAGTGGGTTAATCTGTGTGTGGACCTGGTGTCAGTTAATACCTGGTTGGACCCTATCTGATTGTGATCTGTTGTATTTTAGTGGGTTAATCTATGTGTGGACCTGGTGTATGTTAATACCTGGTTGGACTCTATTTGATTATGATCTGTTGTATTTTAGTGGGTTAATTTGTGTGTGGACCTGGTGTCAGTTAATACCTGGGTAGACCCTGTTTGATTGTGATGTGTTGTATTTTAGTGGGTTAATTTGTGTGTGGACCTGGTGTCAGTTGTGGGGGACACATGGAGGGGTCAGACGTACCGCTGTGTGGAGTCTGTCTGTGTGTCAGCCAACTGTAAACTGCGCCGGATATTTACGTTAAAAACCCAGCCACCCGACACTGCGGAGGATGAAGGTAAGGTGTCATATTCTATAGCAGTCTACATGTATATTTAGTGTTCTATTATTAAGTTCCTTAACATTCTCAGAGAGACAGCATTTCTACATGCATCTAAACATCATGTTATGTACTGAAGAAGTACTTTTTTTCCGTGTGGTATTAATTTATGCTATGTACGCGGTCACAAATTTTTCGTGGAAATTTGTCCAATCATATAAACATAAATGTAAAGCATTTAGTGACAATCTAGCAAATCAGCGTAATTTTCTACCCGCGGATTAAAAGAAATTGAGATTCCGCGGAATTATGACCCCGTGGAAAATAGTACGTCTGCAGTATTTGGAATCTAAAATGATTAACTTTGCATGATGCATGTACATGTATATTTGTGAATCTGTAATTTTTTTAAATCAATGAAGCGGATCAAATTTGTATAAGAAATTTTTGTGTTTGACTAGATTGCACATGAATGTACAGTTAATAATGAGTTATTAGTGTGTCAGCATTTTAAAGCAAGCTTTATTGCACATACTGGTACCTGTAAAGTTACAAGGTACAAGTAGATATGTAACTATTGATCATGATAAATATTGTACTTGGGAATGTTTGGATGAATTAATTATGGTGAATCTGTTACAGAGATGTACGGATGTGAACCTTGTAACACAGGAGAACTGGAAATCATTCCTAAACAGTGTCAGTTCGCTACCGATGTACAGTTTGTTACTCAGGTGGGACATTAATGTTATATGAAAATACTGTAGAATCATCATTGTTCTTAGGGGACCAATGTTCGTAGATTTCGTGGATCACCCATACCCACGAATTTACATCCCCACGAATGTTTATTTTGATAACATATTGATTCATTGAACCATTATAATTATGATTAATCCACGAAATTATGTCCCCATGATAAGGTAAAATTTTGCTTACCAACAAACATTGACCTCCACGAATTAAAATGATTCCACAGTACTCATGCATGTTAACTCTCCCGATTTAGGCGGGAGTCTACCGCTTTTTCACTCCATCTCCCGCCTACCGATTTAATTCAGAAATCTACCGCTTTTCTACAAAAGCTGTGTCTAAAGTATTTTTGGTTCGCTTGGGTATCCATTTTTGAAGCCACTCTCGTAAAATCTCGCTAGATATTGCGTGATTTGACTCGGAATCATACAAACGCTTTTTTTGTACATAGATTTCAAGCACGGATTTGACAACGACAACAACATAAGACTACCAGTGATTACATTGGTTACGATTATCAACATCCCTGCCATGAATCAGCTTTTAAGAATTAGATGAAAACATTTGACATCGTCTTTAAAAGCACAGAAGCTCACAACTTTATCAATAAAGTCAATAGAAATCACTCGATTGACCAAGGCATGTGGCACATCTCTACTTTCGATTTCGATCATCGCGGGAAATCTGATTTATATTATGCTTTACCATGCCATCATTTGTTTTGTTTAACATTCAGAGTTATTGCTTCTAGGCTATTTCAGCAAAGATCACTCTTCAAAAGGCTAAGTAAAGCAGCCAATCCAAGCAAAATGATGAGCATGAAAAATATTTGAATTTGTACAATTTATGTCAAACTTAAAGTGTTTCTGTCTTCTTCTTTGCTGTTGATATTTAAGATTAATTAGTGTAGGTACCTGATACCTGATTTCATTTAAGGCTTATAATTTACATGTATATTCCATGAAAGAGATCGATAATCCAAGCGTTAAACAACACGCACGCAATGCTACCGCTTTTGAGGTTTTTAACATGTATGAGTACTTCACAAATATAAGGAGAAATTCTGCAAGTTTTTATTTTGCATTACTGTTATCTTCATCATTTAAATTCATTTTATTCTTGCATTATTTAAAGTAAATTTGTACAATTTATTACAAGTTCAAGATTTGAAAAGAATACATTACGAGGGGGCATTTTATTTGTAGGTTTTAAACATGGCCAAAATCAAGCATGCTGAGAGGTTGAAAGGAGGGGATAATTCTGTCAGGTCATCCACAGAGATAGGTAGAGCCTCACATCAATTGTCTCTTTTTGCACACCATGTTCCATTACCAAAGTGAATGACTTCTGAATTATTTCTCATACACTGCAATGTACATGTATAGATTTTATTTTGATTTTAAAGAGTTTTAAAATTTTTCTATTAAACAAAGGTTCCAAGAGCATTGAATAAAATGTTCCTTTTTTAACTGTAAATCAGATTGTAAACTTAAAAAAACCCTGTAAATTTATGTCATATATCCCATTGTCCTGTATGTTTTAGACCTGAATGCCAGTGGAAGACGGACTTCTCTCAATGACTCAGCGTACCACATTGCCTTTGGAACTAAAGTTCCTGGGGCTCCCACGGCCAGCAAAAACAAGGTAAAACTACAGACTTAATGTAATGTAATATTTAAAGGTGCTAGATAGATCCGATTAAACTTTCTTTATTTCTGGCTAGATCAGTAATTTCAGTTCCCAGATTTTGTTTTAGTTTGTGATGGATTTAGACTTTTTAGCTCACCTGAGCCGAAGGCCACTGGGCCAATTTCAACCAAACTTGGCACAAAGTATCCTTGGGTGAAAGGGATTCAAGTTTGTTCAAATGAGGGGCCACGCCCTCTTCCAAGGGGAGATAATTATGAATTAATTAGTGAAAAATTAATAGCATTTTTAAAAAATCTTCTTCTCAAGAACCACTGGGCCAGGAAAGATGAAACTCATGTGGAATCATCCTCAGGTAGTGTAGATTAAAATTTGTTCAAATCATGACCCCCGGGGGTAGGGTGGGGCCAAAATGGCCGATCAAAGTTTTACATAGGAATACATAGGAAAAATCTTTAAAAATCTTCTTCTCAAGATCCACTGGGCCAGGAAAGATGAAACTCACGTGGAATCATCCTCAGGTAGTGTAGATTGAAGTTTGTTCAAATCATGACCCCCGGGGATAGGGTGGGGCCAAAATGGCCGATCAAAGTATTACATAGGAATACATGTATATAGGAAAAATCTTTAAAAATCTTCTTCTCAAGAACCACTGGGCCAGGAAAGATGAAACTCAAGTGGAATCATCCTCAGGTAGTGTAGATTGAAGTTTGTTCAAATCATGACCCCCGGGGGTAGGGTGGGGCCAAAATGGTCGATCAAAGTTTTACATAGGAATATATATTAGGAAAAAATCTTTAAAAATCTTCTTCTCAAGAACCACTGGGCCAGGAAAGATGAAACTCAAGTGGAATCATCCTCAGGTAGTGTAGATTGAAGTTTCTTCAAATCATGACCCCCAGGGGTAGGGTGGGGCCAAAATGGCCGATCAAAGTTTTACATAGGAATATATAGGGAAACCTTTTAAAATCTTCTTTTCAAGTACTTTAAAGCCATGCTTAGTGATATTTATAGGGAATCATCTTAAGTAGTGTAGATTCAAGTTTGTTAAAATCATGACCCCCTTGGGGGGTTAAAATTCATGCCCCCTCTCCCCTGAGTAAACTTTCAATTCTGATCTGATATGTGCTTTTTCCTAGCCAATTGCTCAGGTGAGCAATGTGGCCCCTGGGCCTCTTGTTTTAAAATTAGAACGTTTTCTTTTTATATTTAAAGTTATGTAGAAGGAGAACTTTCTCCAATGGACTTGCTTTAGCTGCATCCTTTAACTGGGGGGTAATGAACCAATAAAAATCACTTTAGCACAGTATTTAGTGCCCAGTAATTTCACTGAGAGTGAAGTGCCACTCATCTACAATACTGATTTTATACTGATTTATATCTAGGTGTACTTTGTAGCATGATTTATTTAATGGAATAATACACAGCACCTTGAGGTTATGAATATTATTTATCTGTTACACTTTTCATCCATGTAACTTTATTAGGGCCCCGCAAGGATTTGCGGGTGCCCTATAGTAATCACTCTGTCTGTCCGTCTGTCTGTCATTCTTCCGTCCACAAATTTTCTGTTTTTTTCTAATAACTCTTTTTATGGTTGCCCAATCAAGTTCAATTTTGGTATGGTAGTTAAGTAGGCAGAAATACATATTTTGATGCGAAGTTTTTCTCTCTACGTCTTCTGGTTTGGAGCTGGGGTGGTGGGGTAGATTTCTTAACTATGCATACTGAATGGGCAAAGAGAGATAACTGCTGAGAATGTTACCATTGTAAACTGGGAACGCTGTGCAAATTGTCCTTTAGGATTAATTAACCTTCCACATGAAGAAAATTCCAAGCATTATCTTTATCTGTCTCATTCAGGTTAATTACTGTACCACCTCTGTCTGCAAATGAACTTTGTTTTCAAGTTAAGGTCAATTTTGAATGATGTGCACATTCTCTGAAATATGGATTTAAAATAATATTCATACTTTATTTTGGTTAAATACTGTACACAATGATTTATGATAATTTTATTGAATTCTAAAATCAAGATATGTATTAAGATATCCTTTCTTATTATTACTATTTTATTTTTTTTTATTTTTTTTTTGCTGCCTTAGCTTAATGCTGTTAATTTTAACAGGTAATCAGATATTAACCCCATTCTTTCAGTGCTGAAAAGTTCTTATTGTAAATTTAGAAGAAAAGGATGAGAGAGCAGTTCATTTAATCACCTGGGATTAATTATCTTGCTTGCTGCAGAAAATTTAGAGGCTTATCTTTATCTGTCACATGAAGATTAATGAACACCTTTGTCTGCAACTGATGTTTATTTTGAAGTTGAGGTCAACCCTGGATGATATTTGCATTCACTGCATTTTATAAAACACCTGCTTAAATCTTTTTTAAATACACATTAATTTAGTTTTTTTTTATAAGACATGAGGTTTTCCCTGTTTTATGTAAATACAAGGTTACCATTTACAGGTTTTTGGACATTCAGGAATTATCTTGAAATTTTAAAAATATTGTAACAGTTGTTACTTATAATCTTCATATATTTAAAAAAAATAATCAAGTAAAACTCTCATTCAATGAGCTGCACCCTTATATTTCTACCCCTCAGCGGGGCCCTTGCTGACTGGTCAGTTATCTAGTTCATAAAGTTATAAAATTCTGTGTGTAATACACATACATGTACTGTACGTGTATAAAACTATAAATGCGTACACAATAATTTTGCCTTACATCCAAACAAATGTAAAATCACATGTCATGATTTAATGTGAATTACATGAATGTGTAATAAAAAGTGCTTTGAACACAATGAACACACTAGTACATGTATATCTTTGAGAAATATAAATTCATTGATAATGTATGAGTAGATGCAATCTTTATTTGAGTATGGTGTGTAAATTAAAATACATACATGTATATTGCTAAAAGACAACCATATAGTTCCTTGTATAAATTAATTTACTAGAATATTCCTTTGAAAATTAATAGGGAAAAGGACTGCATGCAGTATGGCTAGTTTTCTGAGGCAATTTGATTGTTTATATATTTGTTTTGTATCTGACTTTCAGGGAAATCTTACAAACAGAAGTAATCGGAGTGCAGTATCCAGAGCTGAGGGTATGTACAGAAATGTAGATTAGTGTTGTCATTATAGTCCCCCACTATTAAAAAATCATCAATCATCAATAAGATTTAAAACATTAGTCATTTAAAAATCAAAAATATTTTTTTTAACCGAGCAAATTTGTCTTGTCACATTATCAAGGGATATAACTCTTCTCTCTTTTCAATTGGCTGGCATAACTTATTAACAGAAGAAATGGTCTGGCAAATGATGTTTGTGCTGTCAGTAAATATGATTTTACAACTTAAATAATTTACCCTCATTTTGTTATTAACCAAAAATAATGATTTTTTATTCAGATGCTGTTTATGAAGAGCCAACATTCCGAGATCTTTCTGACAGTATCTTCCGAGATGGTGCGGGGTTTGATCCAGGTGGGGGTGGAGACAGGCCTCCCGAGACGGTACACCGAGCAGTATTACACAGGCGACAGCTCTCAGATCCAGCTACACAGCAAGACCTAGAAATGGCCAGTCGAATAGGTAAGATACAGTTGTTGACCCTTTTGCCTCCTTTACACTTGAATACCAATGGTAAGTGAAGCAAATCAGAAGTTGTTAACATGTTTCTTTGGATTGATCAATCACTCACCACGACCAAAGTAAATAATAGTTTGATAGAGATTATATTTTGAATTTTTTTACCGTCCAATGTATGCTTGTAGATTATGAGAAGCCTGACTTGTTGGTCAAGCCCCACCCTCCCAGGGAGCCTTCCACTGACCGACTCCGCCGACGAATCCGGGTCAAAAACGGGTCCAGCAGCTCCAACAAAGACCGCGGGTCCAGTGCCGGGTCATTAAAAGGTTTGGAATTCAATCAAAAAATAATATGTCAAGATTAGACTTATGTTAAACATGTCTGTATTCAATGCTTGAAGTTGACTTTCATATATCTTAAGTTCTATAGAGTTTGAAATTTTAGAATTATGGTATATGTTCTTTGATGGCCATTAAATCATTCAAGAGCCAATTAACAATTATAATGTACAGAGACCATTCATACCCACCAAATGAAATTTATTTATATAAACTGTCCTTATTTATACATAGAATACTTATTGCTTATGCATAGTCTTAAAATATTTACATGTATCAGCTGTTCAGCTATAGATGGCATATTTCTGTTCACAGATGAGGCTACAAGCTCATCAGTCAGTGGAAGCAGTTCAGCTAAGACTTCCAGTTCACAGCGGGGGGCAGGGGAGGAGGGGCGTCGCCAGAGACTGGTGTCTGACACTGAGCTGGTCAGTAAACACAGGGGGGAGAAAGTCAGATCCCCGGGGAAGGGCAGCGAGGAGGACACCCCAGTGTCAGGGTCAGAGTCAGGAATATCCTTGTCTCAGTCCTACAGAAAAGGTTGGTATAAAGAGTTGGGTACATGATGCCTTTCTCTTTCCATTTCAATACAAAAGATATGTACATTACTGTAAAATCACATATTTTCCTGGGGTCAAATTTTTTGTGGTTTGAGTAAAAACTCTTAGTTTGTGGGGATTTGAATTCGTACATGAAGAATTGTTGAGTAGTTATGTATGTAGTATTTAACAATTCATGGTGGACTTGAATTTGTGGGTCTCTTCATACTTTGAAAACAATGAAAATTAAAACAGTGAAAATTTGTGATTTTACAGTATACATGTTTGTAAAATTTACTGTTTATGTTGAATTGAGAAACCTTGAGAGGATGATTTTATGTAAACTAACTCACAAATAAAACATTTTGACACAGATCATAGATCTGGAGTAATGTACCATTACAAAATTGGTAGAACTGAACTGTTTGAAGTGATAACACATAATTTGTGTTTACAGAGTATAATCGTGGTGACTATGAGGGAGATGGGGCGGTGATGGATGACTCCTTAATGGGTGTGATCAACATCTTAAACCCTGGCCCCGGGGATGTGGAGGAGGATGAGAGGGAAGATCTCGGAGAGTACGAGGAGAGTGAAGAGTAAGTTACAGAGAGTATGTTGAAAGTGAAGAGAGTATGAGGAGAATGAAATGAGTATGAGGAGAGGTATCACAGAGAGAGTAGATCAAAGATAGTGTGAGGAGTGTGATTACTAAGACTAAGAGAGTAAGAAGAGTACAGTAGACAGTTTGCATGCTTGTTTGTAAGACAAGAACTAGATTGAAATGAACTTTTATTCACTTGACAGGGAGCAGGAGTCAGATAGTGGGATGTTTCTCTTTGTATCAAAACCCAAGTCAGCCCCCCGACGCCATGTCTCTCCTAGTCAGCTGGACACGGAAGAGGAAGTACAGGTACTGTCCATACAACTACAGGGTTAATATCATTATGGTACTGGTCATATAGCTACAGGGTTAATTTCAAATGGATACTGTCCACTTTATAAAACTTGTATAATAGCTCCCCCATAACTACTGGGATATCAATTCTGGTGGTGGCTTACAAACACGCTGAGGCATTGCAACAGGGGTTCAAAATTTTTTTTGTCATGGTCAAGTCCAGGACTTGAAGAGTAAATTTTAGGCAAGTCCGAGGAAGAAATTTCAGAATCCATATTTACCTATACATCATTAAATTTATGTAACTTATAATTTACTTTCATTTGTTGCATTGAATGAATAAAGACTATGTGTACTAATATATGTTTTATTTGTCCTCCATAAACTGTCATATAGTCATACATGAGTATTTCAACACAATACCAGACTGATAGATTACTGGTAGATTACAATAACTTTTACAAATACTCACTACTGAATAAACCATCTGTTACAATAAATAGAAATTAGAATGTGCTGTAAGTCACAGCTAAAACCGAAATTTAACAAACTCATTGCCATTTGTCATATAGGAGGAAACATGAGGAATTGCGTAAAAGCAAGAGTCTAACCGCAACGGAAAATAAAAAGACGGATTGTATTTTCGAAACGTTCGTAATGTTTTATGGGTATTTTAACGCCCACAAACCCACATTTTTACTTAATACATTTGAGAATTTGCTTTATTTTTAGCTCTACGATAATTTTTTTAATTTATAAAAAAAGATAAACAAGAAACATAGCCAAGTCCCAGGACTTTGGCGAATTCTAAATGCCGAGTCCGGAACCGAAATTTGTTAGTCCGGGACGTCGGGCTTGAGGATTTTTGAACCCCTGATTGCAACAAAAAAAGCACAATTATACACTCAAACACAGACTCTGGCTTTACAACTGCAGGGAAATTAACTTTAAAGTTGACCTTCATTATCTTGAACACAATTTTTCGAAATACAGGGGTACATGTATGTTGAAGTGTGTTGGTAGTCCCAAAGCACTCCTTGAAATGTTTTTAACCTCTGTCTGGAATCTTTTGATATCTCAGATTTTAATCTTTTTCCCAGCAAGTTCCAAAAAGGAAGTTTGACTGTATATCACTTGATAAATATATACCTTTGCTATAAAAATTTAGCAGATAATGATTGTATAATGTATTGATAAGACATTAATTATTTTATAGGTAAAGAGCCCAACCTGCTCCAAAGGGAAACAACAGAGAGGGCCAAAGCTGGAGAATGACTTTGTTCACAGTAGTGATTCCAGCTTTGAGGACGAGGAGACCCAGAGACGTAAAAAAGTTCCTGGATCTCGCCCCACCAGCGGCTCCTCTAGCCGACCCCACAGTGGTTCCACCACCAGTAGACCACAAAGTGGTGCCTCAAGCAGACCCACCAGCGGTACCACCAGTCGCCCTCACAGTGGCACAACAAGCAGACCGCATAGTGGGTCCAACCGTCCACTCAATGTCCCAAGACCCACAAGTGCAAAGTCACAAAGCATTTCTAGTGTTAAAAATAGTGCTGCAAATCATGTTAGTCCCAAGAACTGTAAAAATGTTCCCAAGCCCCAAAGAAAGGATAAAATAGACCTTTTGACCAATCACATGCCAAAAACTGCGGAAAGTCCTGAGCTTCAGATGAGCTCGCAGCTCCCCACTCACCGCTCGGACATAACCAATGGGAGCCTGTCTAGCAGGAGTGTTTCCAGGATGAGTCGTAAATCTGTGAAAGAGATTCCTAAGGATGATGCTCGTCTGTCTGTGATAAAGTCTTCTGAGGTAGGGAGGGACTTGGATTACAGAAAATGTACTTTTTATTGGCATAGACAATTTTTGCTGTGTATGTGGTTTGAAGGATATTAAGTTTTATCCAAATTTACAATCTTGTGAATTGAATTCTTATTTTGCTCTTTTTGTTTCAAAATATAAATCTATATATGCAATTTTAAATTATTTCTCATTGATTCTGTTAAGTAACAAGTGTTTTTGTGTATTTTTTTCCAGAAGCCCTATGATTTTTCCAAATACAGTGCAATAAACTATAAAATTTGGTATACAGATTAATCAGATTTTTTAAGCTGGTTTTATGTTCTCCAGTGCCATTTTTGAAAAGACAAACTTGTACTTCGAAAAATTCTGATTATTTGCTGTTTCCGTTCATTTTCTTCACAACCCTTGCACACACCGAAATGAAATTTGGTATACAGATTTATCAGATGAATATCTATGTGTAGTTCTGTTTGGCCAAAAAAAATTAATCAATAGTTTCTCAGGCCAAAAAATTCAAAATTCAATGCGGCAGGCAGGTTTTTTTTTTTTTTTTTTTTTTTTAAAGCAGGTTTGACACCTTATTTTTGTATCACAGAAATTAATATCTACTAATTGTTTTAAAAGTTTTGTTCTCTGAAATTAGTTATAATATGACAACTTTAAATAATGTTAGGCCAAACATTTATTTAAATGTTAACTGATAAAATACTTTAGATTTAGAGCTATATTGTTCTCTAGTGTGAATGGATTTAATGAATGAAGTACATGTATTAATTTTTGAATGTATGTATAACGTTTGCACTTTTAAAGTACCAGGCCAATGGTAACATGTACAAGGGCATTTACATATTAATTTTTTTTGGCCTTTTGTAAAACGAATTTAAAGGATGCCCCTTGAACTATTCCATTATTTGCAGTTTCCGCATTTTCTTTGCAGCCAAGTTTTTTTGTGTTTTATTTTATCAGATGAATATCTAGGTCTATTTCTGTTTTAGTTTAATTTTTAATGAGTTATGCCCTTTTGGATTTTTTTCAATTTCAGGACACTGTTGTTACAAAAATCTCTTTTTTACTTGTGTTATGATTTAATTGAAATGTTTTTGTATTTTTTTTTCCAGAAGCCCTATGATTTTACCAAATACAGTGCAATAAACTATAAAATGGAGGACATTACAGATTCTTTTGACACACTGGCATGTTCTCCAGTATGAAAAGACAAACAGAGGAAGATAGTTTCATGGAGTTACATAAATGGTTCCCCCAGCCCCAGCAGGTGCTATGACAATAAAAAATGTCCTAGAAGCATATCACAGAAATTTATACGATTTCTCTCCCACTCTGACCCTGACTAGTGATGAAGACAGCACCTGGCAGGCACCTGTAAGTACACTGCTCTGTAGCATGTGTTCAAATTATTTTTTAAGTGAGAAATTTTTTTAAATGTATGTTGAAGGTTTTGCACTTTTGAAGTAACAGGCAAAAGGAAACGTGTATAAGAGCATCTACATATTACTGAAGTGTAAAACACAGTTGCAGCAAAGAATTTTGTAATGAATTCAAGTGTTTTATTACTCTCTTTAGTTTTATTTATGAACTTATCATATATTACCAGTTTAATTTTTAATGAATCCAAATTTTTCATCCATGACACTTTGTTACAAAAACATTTTACTTTGTTATGATTTAATTGAAATGATTTTGATATTTTAGCCAACAGAGATGAAGTTAGGAGTCAGCACGGACACACTGACTTCCTCCAATCCGCGGTATGTACAGCAGTGTATGGAATTACAGAGATTTGATAATGATATCAGACAAAATATTAGATCATATACTAAATTTATATTAGAAAAAGCTTTAATAATTACAAACATAATGTTAGATTATCTACTGAAATTATATGATAAAAAAGCTGAAAACTATTGATAGAGACAAAATATTTTTTTAAAAAAAATTTTGTGATTTCAGGTAATTTTGAAATAAGTTTGTCCTTTTCCTTGGTGAATGTTTGAGGTCACATTACAGAAAAATTGCTTTTATAATTGTGTTCCCCGGTACATATCTTTCTTATGGATAAAGATTTATCCAGCTGTTCATTATCACACAAAAATTCACCATGAAGGTAGGGATCTGTGTTAACAATAACAGCGACTCCTAGATATTGGCACTTATAAAATACAGGATATTTTTATACGGTCACTGGACGAAAAATGTTATAGGCTTCGTGTCCGTCCGTCTGTTTGTCATATCCGTTGTCTGTTAGCTTATGGATATAACTTTAATACTACTAGGCCTAGGACACAAACTTTGTCATCTGATGCATCTTGGGTAGAAGGTGTGTGTCTTGACCTTTATTTAAGAAGTTATAGCCAAATATGGAAAAATCCTTTCCGGCCCATAACTAGAAAACCATAAGACCTAGAATCATCAAACTTGGCCAGTTCATGCATCTTAGGTAGAAGGTGTGTCGCCACCTATTTCAAGATCACTGTGACCTTTAATTTAAGTGAATTTTTAAAAAAAAAAATGTGTCTTTTTACTATTCATTTACACATAAAAAATGTAATGAGTATTGCATTTCTTATTAAAAAAGTTTAAATAGAAAATACTTATTTTTCTCTTATACTTGACAGCAATCTATAACAAATATAATGTATGTCAGTAAATCCTGCCTCTCCCATGAGTGTAATTATCAAGCACTGGTCAAGAAGAATTTTGATAACAGAAAATTGCATGTCAAATTAGAGAGAAATTAATGGGTTTTGAGTGCGAGGAGCTAGCATTGGTGTTATCTATATCCCTTGAGTATTGGGCAAATGGGTAAGCCTGTTTTATTAAAAATAGCTCTTGTTGATAGCTTAAGTTTTATATATTTGATGAAAAGTAATTAAAACTTTTGATATTGCATAATAGACTAATCTGATATTATGTACATGTAATATTATTAATTTAAAAACTAATTTTTTGGGGTGGGGTGGAATCAGCATGTCCATATGAATTACATATTAAAACCTGTCCGACATTAAATCTCAACCAAAAAAAAAATCTTTAGTATTTTATTAAAATTATAACATTGATCTTTCTCTTGGTAGAAGGTTTGACAAGCATCCAGTTAAAGATTAATTAATGAGTTCAATGTAGAAAGGCTAGCTGTCTCAATCACTCTGATCAAGTAGTCTTGTCTGTATCCTTTGGGGATTAGACAGAAGAACTGCTGATCAGTTTATAGCATATGTCATTTGATGGCCAGCCTTTTCTTTTCAAAATTAATTTGGTATAGATTAAGTTGTTAAAACTAATTTGATGATGGGCATTTGACAAGGTCTAACACAACCAGCACAGAAATCTATCAGTGATGTAATATTTATTATAATTGATGCCTACATCACAGGGTATGGATAAATATTTTAAGGAATGGAAAAATCATCGAAATCTTAGAATCGAGGTTGATGTGATTTTCTTGCACGCTAAACTGTTCAAGAAAATTGTAATTTTTTGACGGGCGTATCATGCTGTGGCGCGGCACTTTATTAATTTTGGTAATATATGTATGTGCAGTAACCCAATGTGAACATGAAATAATTTATTGTTTAAGATGAGATATATAATTCTGAATTTGTTTTATTTTATTAGATACAAAGTCACATGAGCAGATTTATGCACCATCAACTCGGGATGATGGAACAGATGAAGATGAGTTAGACTTGTTATACGACTCGTGTTTAAACTGTTACTATGATCCACACACCCAAAAGTATTATGAGCTCATCTGAGATACTTCTGAACCCTTAACCTCACAGTGACTCAACAACTAAGAAGGATTATTAGCTCATGCAAGATGTGACTGAGCCCGGGACAGTGGCAGAACTACTTAGAAAGGTTGCAAGCTCATATAGAATCAATCTGAACTGTGAACTGTACAGTGACTCGATTATACAGAGGCATCACAAGCTCTTCTGAAATCAGTCACAATCTGAACCATACACTGATTTAGAGAAGCAAACATTAGGAGCTTGTCCTAAATGAAGGTTTTGTTATAGCTCTCATGCCTCTCAAGTTCTAGTTGAATTCGACTTCATGATAATGTCATCAAAAATCTAATGGCTCTTGTGCCCAAAGACCAATGTATTTTGGTGTGAATTTAAACCATTTTATTAATATGTCATTTTATGGAATTATCTTTCTTGAAGAATAAGTTTTCTTTTGAATTGATTCTGATGCATTTTGAGATTACAGTGTAAATGTATCATATTGTATCAATGGTCAAATTTTAGAGAAGAAAACCCCCCCAGAAAAATTGGCATGGTTTCCCTTGACTTATATGGTTCCCCGTGTCTGATACACATTCAGTCCTTGTCTTAGAACAGAAATCTTTGACAGGTTTATAATTGTAGTTTGGCTGTGAATTGTTAAACACTGACACCAACCATACACAGGCCTGACATTTCAAGATCTGGATGCAAATGACACACAGAGGGTATACTATTATCCCCTCATTATGTTACAGTCTGAAGGTCTGTGATAACATAGGCTATGTTAGTGATAATTGTGATTAGAAATCACACAAATGATAGACCACATTCTTTTAAATATACCTTCATCATATGTAAAAGTGCCATGAGATTCACGATATTGTCTGTTATTATAGTTTGTACTATTTAGAGCAGTGCATTGTTTTCAAAGCAAATTGTGCATAAATATGACACAAGAATAATTTTTGCATAAGAAACTAAGGAGTTCATGTGTATGTACATGTATATGCAAATTAATTTTCATGTACATTTTCATTGTTTGAAAATCAGCATTTTAAAGCCACATTTTGCAACAGTATTTTTGTTCCATTCATGAAAACTGTCTGTGATCAATTGTGATTAAAATATATTTAAAATGTTGTTATGTCAATCAAACAGTAAGTGTTACTGATGAACATACCTTGTTGACTCAGGTGATCTATTGCTATCCGTTATCGTCCGTCGTGTGTTAACATTTGAACATTTTCAGCTTCTTCTCTGAAACCACTGAACCAATTTCAACCAAATTTGGTTTACAGCATCTATGGGTAAAGGGAAATTGTGAATTTTATGGCCCCTGCCCCCCCCCCCCCCCCCAGGGGCCTGAGGGGTGGGCCAAAACCACAAATTAATGAAATCTTTAAAAATCTTCTTCTTTACTTCTGGACACCAAGCAGTCAAACTGTTGACATGAATGCAATGAGCATTGAGTCCTCAACCAAAATTATGAAATTCATGTCCCCAGGGTCAGGGGTTCTGGTGTTAGGGTGGGTTCTGGTGTTAGGGCGGGGCTCTATTGATTATATAGCGAATATGCATTACATCTTTGAAAATCTTTTTCTCTGCTTCCATGCAGTTGAATTACCTATACAGTTTTGATGTGCAAGGGTTTTTTCTTCCAGAAATGTGAATTACAAGGCCCCTGGGTCTGGGATACCATAGAAGGGGGAGGGGGGTCTACTTATATACTGAAAATGAATTGTTTGAAATCTGCTCCTTGGTATTAATCAAACATTTTTGATAAGCAAGTGTGCCTTTTCAAAAATTGTGCAGTGTGTGGACCTAGGGTCTGGGGTTCATGTGTGGTAGGGGCACTTCTTATTATTGCTGAATATTACTGATTAGTTGAAATGCATTTTTGTTCCCTTACCCTGCCAATGGGTATTAAGTAACCAAACTAAGCAATTGCTAAGTGTAAAGTTATGATTAGTAATGGTGCCTCTTTCAAAATTGTGAATGCCATCATAGCATCTAGCTTAAAACATGGACCAAAATCAATCATTTGAAAGTTGTTGCATGATTCTCAAGTGACCTATAAGGCCCATGGGCCTCTTGTTTAATAATCATGTTAAGAAATGTATCTTATAATCCTAGCTTCTTTTAAAACCTACAGAAAATCTGTGCCTTTTTAAAGTATAGAAACAGTAAAGCAGGAAAGGATGGGATATCGATATAGCCTTGAGATTTTCTATGACAATTATACATGTATACTAGTAGCTACCAAGAAAACCTTTAAAACCCATCTCCCTCCCCGAAAAAATATCACCATGTAAAGTAAGTAGTTGGTATAATTATTCAATGTGTATAATTAAAATGAAGAATAAACTGAAGCCAAAACCAGTTAGTTACATTTGGGCAAAAGAGTTTGGGAGAAGTGGGTATTGGAATCATTCTAAACTTGGCTTTCTAGCTTACATAGAGTAAAAGACACCTGAGAGTC